CGGGGCAGATGAAGTTTAATGTGGATAAATGCCAAGTGATGCATTTTGGGAGGAAGAATGAGGAGAGGCGATATAAGCTGATGGTACAATCTTAAAAGGGGGTGAAGGAACAGAGAGACCTGGGGGTTCATTTTAAGTAAATTTTTGAAGGTGGCAGGACAGGTAGATAAAGCTGTTAAAAAAGCATACGGGATACTAGGCTTTATAAAATAGGGGCATAGAATACAAAAGTCAGGAAGTTATAATGAACCTTTATAGAACTGGTTAGACCTCAGCGAGAGACTGTGTTCAGTTCTGGGCACCACATTTCAGGAACGATGTCAAGACATTTGGGAGAATGCAAAGGAGATTTACCAGGAGGGCACCAGGAATGAGGGACGTCAGTTATGAGGAGAGGCTGGAGAAGCCAGGATTATTCTCCTTGGAGCAGAGAAAGTTGAGAGGAGACTTAATAGAAGTTTTCAAAATTATGAGGGGATTCAATAGAGTGAACAAGGAGAAACTATTTCCACTGGCGGGTGGGTCGGTAACCCAAGGACACTGATTTAAAATAGTTTTTGAAAGGAAGAGGGGAGGTGAGGAGAAATTTTTTCACCCAACGAGTGTTCTGATCTGGAATACATTGTCTGAAAGGATGGTGGAAGCTGATTCGATAATAACCTTTAAGAGAGAGTGTGGATAATCATTTGGGGAGGACAAGTTTGTCCTCAGCGGTGACACACTCAGTGTGAACAGCCGTGACACACTCAATGAACACTTCTTCCACCCCGTCCCGCCATATCTCCCCCACTGTAGAGACCCGGCTCCTGTTCTGTGGATGGCCTCACACAATGGGATACCTGCCAGTAGAGATAACTCAGCTGCTTCTGTGCATCTGTTAGCAGCAACTTCACAGCAGCCTGGGACCAGCCCCAACCCTGTGAGGGGATGGCTGGGTCGGTGGTTAGGTAGTGGGAAGATTGAACAAGGGGAGAAAATGGACATTTGAGTTCTTGTGCTAAGTTTCTCGTTGACTGCTGCAAGCACAGCTCTTCCAGCAGAAATCAAGATTAGAACAGAGAACATTTCTCACCACAGAAAACAATCAATCAAATAATAAGATTATTTTTAGATGCTAAAGTGCCTTCTGGAGCCTTAAACCCTGATAGTAAGAACCACAACTAGAACATCTTAGATATTGTGTAATTCTTCCCTTCCAGCACTCCCTGGTCAGGTGCAATGTGGATTAGTACTTAACCAAGAAGTGCCTCCTTGTCTCTGACTTTAACTCTATTGACATCCCCAGTTGCTCCATTCCAGTTCACATAATAATAAAAATAATAATCCTTGCATTTGATATAGTGCCTTATCACATCGTCAAGATGTCTCAAAGCGCCTCACAGAATATACTGTAAAGTGTAGTGACTGTATATTTTGTGAGCAAAACGCGGCAACGAATTGCACACAGCAGTGTCCCACACGCAGTCGTGGATTAAGTGACCAAATCATTATTATTTTTGGAGGAATTATTACCCCCGGAAAGTGAGCCACCAATCGACTATATGATTTATAATTTATTATGATTTATAATTGTATTATGTGGAGTCCTGTAGCTTAGTGGGTAGAGCGCTCGCCTTACAAGCGAGAGACCCGGGTTCAATTCTAGGCAGGGTGAAACCTTGGGCAAGTTTCTTTACTCCACAATGATAATCCCTCAAAAAAAACAATAATAAATTGATTATTTCAATCCATGACTGCTGTGCGCAATTGGCTGCTGCGTTTCGCCCACACATATCCAATCAATTCACTTTACAGTATGTTCAATGAAGCGCTTTGAGACGTCTAAAAGATGTGAAAAGCGCTATATCAAGTGCAAGAATTATTATTATTATCATTACTAGCAAATGGGTTCCTACTTACTAATAGGTAAGCAGAGGCGTTCATGTGTGGAGTATGGAAACTTGCCTAAGGTTTCGCGCCGCCCACAGAACCACAAATGTTGGCTTTGTAAATGGAATGAGTCATTGAGGGGAAGAGAAGTGTTTGACACAGAGGAAGAACTAAGTTTCTTAGAGACAACTGTAGAATGGAAGAATTTTTTTTATGGTCAGCTGGGTGAGCTGAAGATTTGGCAATTTCATGATTGGCTCATTTCACTGAAAGGTGGACATTTTGTGCTTAGATCCAATGCTCCACAAAAGAGGCCCTTGATCATCCTTGCAGGGTTCATGAGGGCACTGGTGATCTCTATTATAGCATGATATTGTGACAAGTATAAGGTCAGACAGATGTATGTTTCACACACAAGGTTTCAGAGCAGTAATGCTCTCCTGCACTTCCTTGTTTCCACAATGCTTCTTGTCTCCTGCAGCAGAATTGGATGAAGATGGCTCCTATGAGGAGATAATGAGGACAGTGTGCAATTTTCAGACTAAAGTACAAAGGTATTGAAGAAGAGCAGAGAGGAGAACTGTATACCCAGCCCACACCAATATTTGCTGAGGACTCAGAAGATTGCTTTTATATGAGGAGATGAATATTTACAGACACTGAATTACATTGGCCTTGAAGCTTCCTCCTCTCTGTCGTTTCGGCAGCCAGTGAGAGTGTAGTCTGCAGACATTCTTAGTCATGTTGGAAACTGAAGTATCTGAAAGCTGTGACTGGCGCTGTTCCCTATTGACTCGATTTAACTCACGGAGACTGAATGTGACTGGAATTGTGGGAAACTCCCACTGCCAGTTTCCCCGAATTTCAGGGGAGGCACATTCCTGGCTTTCCTACCCCACGTGCTGGCACTGACTGATGCCAAGCAGCTCCTTGCCTATCAGACCTGTCACTAGTAACAGGTCCCAGGAATCCCAATGAGCTAATCCGCTGTCAATATTAACGATGATGAGAGTTAATCTCTCATCACCTAATGCATTTTACTCCTCCTGGCTGATTGGCCTGATGGTTGCAATATCTTATTTACTGACCACATCACCACACGGTGTTATTCATCAGGGCTGTATCCTCTCACACTGTAATCCATTTAAAATCATGCAGAAAGTCTTAAAATTCTTAAATTCAGTCTTAATTTAGAAACTGGTTTCCACAGATTTTTTTTAAGAACCGATTTGCTGAGTGAGATTTAATTTAGGGATATTCCAGCATTCTGCACAATCTAAAATTTAAGACCACCAAATTTGAAACTGAAACTGAGATGGTCTAACAATGAGAGGACTAATCTAATGGTTTACCTACCTGCCCGTACCCACCGTTCCTCTGGCTCCGGTCTGCTCCACATCCCCTGCCCCAACCGCCCTACCATCGGTGGCCGGGCCTTCAGCCTCTCAGCCCCGAGGCTCTGGAACTCTATCCCCCAGTGCCTTCGCCGCTTCCTCCCTTTCCTCCTTCAAGACCGGTCTCAAGACCTTTCTCTTTGACCGTGCCTTCAGCTCCCCTCTCGACTCTCTACCCCCTCCTCGCTCCCTCCCTTCCCTCCCCTCACCCTGACCATTTCCCCCCAATGCTCGGGTCCTGACCCAACTGTACAGCGCCGTGGGACGTCCTCCCGACGTGAAAGGCGCTCAATAAATGGAATCTTGTTGTTGTTGTTGTTGTTTGATGAGTCTGAACAGATCATAGAATTAAGGAACACTGTGTGAACTGAATTGTTCATTGGAGAAGAATCAGAGAGGAATATTTGTAATTCAGATCTTCAAAGTGCATGTAAAATGATTATGAGAATATACTTTTATAAGAAAAACTGAAAATCTCCCAAGAGCTCAGTTGCAAAAGTGAATGCCAGCTATGCTATAGACACATAGAGACCCAAAGATCCTAAATTAATTTGCAGGCTGTATATGAGTTAACTGATTACGGCCAGGGTCACAAAGAAATGCTATAATCAGGCCCAGGATTAAGTGGCTCGGTGACATTTTGGATGGTTGATATGATACATTGGAGAGAAGGTAGAATAAACTGAGATTACTCTGAGCCAATAAACCTTTAAGAAAATCTTAGGTGAATCAAAGAATGGTCTGGCACAGAAACTGACCATTCAGCTCAATGAGTTTCCACGTGAGCCAATCTTTTTCCTGCATCTCCAAGTGCTGTAGCTCAGAAATCTCTACACAAAGTGCAGATACTGAATGGGACATGGCAAGGTGAGGGGGAGCGGTTAGATCCATCCATCCTTCTCAATGCCAAATACAGGTCCAGCACATAGGACACTTGTATATGATGGACGTAGTGTAGTGGGTTTCCACGCACAGCTTGACATGGCACACACAAAGGTAGCCATGGGAAATCAGAGCTACGTTGGAGATGCTCCTACTTCCCTTAGCTGAAGACTTGCTTATAAAACGCTGGCGGAGGTGACGTGGAGACGGTGTGAGCGGTAGGATCTGAACCAGTCAGGAACAGAACCACGAAGCTTGAGGTCAGAGGAGCGGCGGCGGCGGCGGCGGAGGAGGATCGAGAGCGTTCATCGGTGTCGGAGGCAGCAGAGACGTCTGAAAGCGCTTCACGGAATAGACCGTATAGTGAACTGACCGGGTACTTTGTGGAGAAAACCCGACAGCCATTGGCGGACGGCGGCGTCTCACAAACAGGTGTGGGTTGAGCGACCAAATCATTATTGTTGTTGTTGTTGTTTGACTTTGGGGCAACAGAATGGGCGCAGACAATGCTGAGCCTCCAAACCCTCACTGTGTTTGTCCTTTTAAGAGGTTTGACTGCAGCAGCCCGACACCACGTGACCTGCCAGGCACCGGGCGGAAGGCGGAGCCTCCAGCCAGTGGCCAATAGAAGCGTAGATTGGGAGCCGGCCAATCGGAGAGCGTGCTCGGAGCCAGCCAATCGGAAGACGGGCTGGGAGCCGGCCAATAGGAGAGTGGGGTGGGAGGGCGGGGTGGGGGGGGCGGTGGCCAATTGGAGAGCGCGCTGGGAGCCGGCCAATGGGCGGGCTGGGATCCGGCGCGATCCGGTCTGATCCGGCTGCTGTCAGCGCGAGGGCGGGGCCGAGCCCCAAGTGCGAACCCGAACCGGAAATGGTGAGCAGGAGCTGGAGGCCCGGCTGCTGAGGCCCGGAGAGCGCCCCGCACACCGGCAGCCGCCCCGCGTCGTCAAAGGGACTGCGCCCGTAGAGTATGCGGAGGACGTTGCAGCGCAGTCATGGTGAGTGTCGCGGGCGGTGCAGCGCAGAGCAGCGCAGCGCAGAGCAGAGACGCGGGGCGGGGGCAGCCGAGGCCTTCTCACCTCCCCGGGCCCTGACCCCTATCACACCCCCTCCCTCCCTCCCCAGGGGCTCCTCAGCACAACCACCGCCCTCCCCCCCCACCCCCCCCGCTGCCCCCCTGCAGCCGGAGCAGCCGCAGCTTTGGGGCTGACTCGCAGCTCCTTTATTTATGTCGAACCAATTCCTGTGGTTCACGTTGGGTGGGGAGGGAGGGAGGAGGGGGCGGCGGCGGCTCTGAGCTGTGTGGCTGTGCCGCGTTCCCCAGGGCACCGCACTCCCCCGAGACCGCAGCGTGTGGGGGGCACCATAGCTCCCGGCGACTGTGTGTGTGTTGGTGTGTGTGTTGGTGTGTGTCTGTCTCACTTCTCGGACTGGATGTTTTCTAATACAAATTTTAAAACCAATCTCTTCCTCACGCACTGCTCCGCCCGAGTTCCACTTTTACTGTTGATGAGAGACCAGATTTCGAAACCTTCATCAGCTCCGCGGACTGCTCCGTGAACCGAGCTTCCCCACCGCTCCAATCCTTTTGAAATCTCCGCCGAGTCTCTTCACAGTCTTATTTTTCCAGTGATCAGAAGGACCCAAATTCATTAAAGTTTTTTTTTTAAAAAAAAACTGGACCTGCCGTTCCCTGGTTGCCCAAAGCCCTCTTTGATGGCCACAAGAAATACTTTCCCTCCGGTGTGGCTGCACACCAAACACTTGCGGCATAATCTTCGTTTATGTCCTATCCCAGCGTTGATTTATTAAAGACTTGTCCTGAGGAAATTGCCTCAATGATTTTTAAATGCGACTCACTCCGCCGCGCCCCCCCCCCTCCCTGTTATTTTGCGATGTATAATTGTTCCATTCAACCACCATGGATTTTATTCCTTGATCACAAACTGCTACAGGTTTACGCGGTGCTGCTCTTGACATTCCATTGCTCAGTTTACTGAAATATCCATTTTTTTTCCCCCCTCTGAATCTGGTTGCGCTCTTGCTCATTATTTGCTCCGTCTTCATTATTAACATCAACTGCAGTGTTTTAAGATCTTGCTTTAAACACCCCTTCCAAATACCCTAAGTGATTGGGTCTCAAGGCCTATACTGGAATGCACTGCACCAAACCCCTGGGACATTAAATATCTTTGGAAATCGGGAAGTTCAAAAAAAAAACTTCCGAAGCCCATGCTGTTGTCCAACACAAAATAAAATAATACACTTGGATTTATGTAATGACCTTCACATAAGAACGCCTCAAGGCACGTATTAGAGATGGAGTAGGGAAGCCAGGAGAAACTCCCTTCACTTTGCAAATAATGGCATGACAACGTTAATGTTCACCTGAACAGACGGGCAGGACCTCATTTCAACAGCTTAACCAAAGACTGGCACCTCCAGCAATGCAGTGTTCCCCCAGCACTGCATTGGAGTGTTAGCCTCAACTTTGAGTTCAGTGTCTGTCCTGGGCTACCTCAGAAAAGCAAGGGTGGAAACTCGGGCTTTCCAGGTTTGTGTGGTTCAGGTTCATCGTTGGAGCTAGTTTTTTATTTTACTAAGTGTTGCCGAGGATGGCCTGACGTTGTGCACAGTGAGCACAAATGTGCACTTTTGTACAGTTCTGTAGAATTGATCCGACACCAATCCTGAGCCGTGGCCATTAATCATATTGATTCAGGCTTTGCAGCAACCAATCTGATTGTTACATTTAACGGCTGGTGCACAATTCACTCATATCAGCTTGTGAAACTGACGCTAATTGAAACCCTCCCCCACGATTTGGGTTTGGTGTTTTCACAGGATTCATTCTATGACCTTTGAAGGGATGTAGACTGCCGTATTTTCATGGCCGCTTTGAAGCAGATAATCTGCTATCCAACTTTCTGCAGTAATTGAATTTTTTTTTATCTCAAAAGATTTCTGTATTTTTCATGCAGTCATTCCAGCAAAAGTATATTTTTCGATAAAGCTGTCCAGTGCTTCAGGTCTGTGCAGTGTGTCCTAAATGTTCTGGCGTTGTTCTTGATATAGGGAAGTGGGGTCAGGCTGAGCATGTCTAGAAGTGGCCTTGAAAATAAGCCAGACCTTGGCCTACTCCACTTGCTGTGATTCATGCAGTGTTTTCACTGTTGCTAACCGTCTGTCCTATTCAGTGCCTAAGATGGTTAGTGGTGTTAGTTATTTCCAAACAGATGGAAAATGTATTTTCTGGTATTTCTGAGGCAAGTCGCCTTTTAATCAAATTTCTTGCTCGGATGTGAAACACGTACCCAGGTCACTCCTAGCCTTAGTTATTGGGGATGTTGCTGTTTGACTGACCAGTGACAATCTTCCTTTAAGAAGGAAAAAGGTAAGAGTAGCCTCTTTGGCCTGAGCTGGCTCCAAAGTGATGCATTTGTCTGGCAATAGAATATCACAATCAAGTCAATCCTCTGTGGCTGTCTCAGAGCTCTGATTTCTGAGCCGGGCTATGGTACTCCCAAGGCATTGATGATGATGAACCAGCAGCCTACCTCATTGGCAGAACTTTCAGGACAGACCTGAGTGTCTTCCCACGTTACTTATAAGCCCAAATTCCTGCTGGTAAGAAGTTCAATGTTTGCAATGGCAAAGTCAGCAATTTTATCTGGTTAAATGTCAGCTGCACCCAAATTCACACTGGGGTTTTCCAGCCTTGGCTTTTGCCAACCTGTGCTTTCCGGGATTTTAGGTACGCAGGGTGCTACCTTGCGATACAAACAGAAACTTCCATCCCTATGTGTAACTCCATCTGATTGGTTTTTGTGTGTGTCAGACACCCAGCTGACCAAAACAAAACTTTATTGTCACCATTGGCTTCATACCTCCCAAGTTACAGTTGTTCTGCTGAGTGTACAGCGGGAGAGAGAAATGATTTTGCATTAATGTTGTATAAAGTAGCTGATTGGAAAGAGAGCATTCATGAGAAATACGCTGGCATGTCACTCCGGAATCTGCTGGTACAGAGGCATCCATACTGTTTTAAGGCATAAGGTGTACTCTTAATAGTCATATTGGTAAGAACAAATATCACTTTCTGAAGGGATTTTTCCCACAGCTGAAATACACCCCATGCAGTGCTCCCTTCACGAGCACATCACTGCAAATTCCAGATGTGTGAGAACCAGGTCAGAACTCAACACAGTGTCCACCACGTTTTATTGTATTGAAGCGTGTGCAGAGAGCAGAAGGTGGCATCCTACACTTTGCGACATTTTCAGTGATGCAGCCTCAACCATTCCATTGATTTATGTGAGATTGCTGTAGGTGACAAAGACCTTAGCAGTGTGGGTTAGTAGTGTCTTGGCTTCCAGCCCAAGGGCAAAACGCCACGTCCCGGGCTCTGAATCCCAGCTCAGTGGCTTAACAGCACGTCAACATGCTGTCAAGACTCACAATAGTGACTTGGATGAGGTTCTGGTGGGGGGGGAAGTTGCTGTGGGCAATGCCGCGAGTAAAAAGGGGTCAGACCTCTTAAGAATTGGAGAAAGGGAAGAAATATATAATGTGGGCGTTTTTCTTGAAAAAGTTACAAAGAACTTAACTACAGTCGCAAACTACAAACTGACCTGATATAGTGGGGTCAGGTGACCAGTAACGATTTGGAAACGAGCAGACTGACTGTTCTGTAATGTTTATTGTAGGAAGCTGTACAGACCTTGAAACAAATTCCCAGCTATATACAGACAAGTGCTGGTGGGGGGGGGAGGGTAATCCTGGTTTGACTAATGCTAGCAAATTTACTTAGGGGTGAGGGGTCGGTTTCCTTGTTAACGAAGTAGAATTATTTCCCTGTTCTTTGTCAAAACTTCTGCCAGCATTGTGCAATCAGAGTTGAAACACAGTGAGCAAGAAAATACACTCAAGCAGTCGAGGACACTGAAATAAACAACACCCAGAGCTGGGAGGGGAGATGTGGTGGACGCAGTGCAGGAATGGGTGGTGGGGGGAAAGGATTGTGATGGCCAGTACTTGGAGGAGTGGGGATGTGCAATCGTAGTGTGTGTTTTTTTGGATTGAAGTGTGGGCAGAGGGTGAAATGCTGTGCTTTGTCATATATGCAGTGATGCAACCTCATCCATTCCATTGATTTACATGAGACTGCTCTAGATGACAAATAGGAAAATGAGAGTAGCTTATGAGGACACTGAAATGTGTAAGAGGTGAGTTTTTTTTCCGAGGGTTCCTATTATAGACTATAATAATAATATTTTTTGATGGACATTTTAAGCACTATAATCCAAATTTGTGGGTAACCCCAATGGAGGTGGAAACCAGTCTGACTCAAGGATTTGGATCTTTTGGGTAGATGAGCCAAAGGTGACAGAGACAGTATCACTGTGGAGAATTAATATATATATTAATCCTTGCATTTGATGTAGCATTTTTTCTCGTCTTTGAGATGTCTCAAAGCGCTTCACAGAATGTACTGTAAAGTGAATTGACTGTATATTTGTGGGCAAAACGCAGCAGCCAATTGCGCTCAGCAGCGACCCACAAACATTTGTGGATTGAGTGACCAAATTATTATTGTGTGTTTCTTTTTTTTCCTTGAGGTATTATCAGACTTGTGGAGTAAGGAGACTTGCCCAAGGTTTCGCCCTGCCGGGAATCAAACCCAGGTCTCTCACTTGCGAGGCGAGTGCTCTGACCACTGAACTACAGGACTCCAATTAACTGGTTCAAGTGGAAGAAAGAAACCAGTAGAGACCAGTGTATGATCTGAACAGCTGTATAGCATTAGTTAGGAGGGAGGTCCAGCTGTTGTGAGTAAACCAAAGGGATAGAGGTTGCTGTTTGGTGTTGGTGAGACTTTTTGGAATTCCCCATCTAGTGTGCACGTCACACAACTTTAGAGATGAGCAACCACAGTGAATCCTTGAACTTTCAGGACGCGAGCGTGTTTGTCCCCTCAAGGTTTCTGATTATTAGGAACCTTAGGTTCTGTGAAAAGTTCAGTAAGTTGTGTTTGTTCCTTTTTGAAAAGAAGAGGCTGCAAAGTGAACTGGTAAAAATTTTCAAGGTTATGTTAACAAATTGAATACATTTCACTGTGGGGAAGGCAGTGTCCTTTGTGCCTGCTGATCAACATATCATCTGCATATCAGAGCTCATCTCCAAGGTTTTCATGTTTTCTGTTAACTTTGTGGAGTCCTCAAGTACATCCAAATCCTGAGTCAGACTGGTTTCCACCCCCATTGGGGTTACCCACAAATTTGGCATGTGTGCCCACATTAGTCTTATCTTGCTTTCCTGATTGGTATGGCTTGAACTGTATCACTTAGCATAATTTGTCACACAAGCTGTGACTTTTTTGTGTGAAAGATATTATGAAAGTTGAATTTTGCTATGATTTTTCACACAATCTGCAGTTTCCCATTGAAAAAAGGGGATAAAAGAGCTTCAGTCTATCCTGTCAATTTTCTCTGATGCTTTGAAGACGTCTGCCTGGACCAACAGCCTTCCTATTAAATTCTTCCAACTGTGGATTGCATTCTTGGTGGGGGGGAGAAATACTTCCCGGTTGTCTGTCCAAAAGTGTCCTTCAAACCTCTGAAACTGTGTCCTTTTGTCCCGCTACCTCAGAGTATCAAAGCCTTGTTCTGGGTTCTCAATTCCATTTGGTAACTTGCATACAGTAGACCTCCACTTATCTTTTCAAAGCTTAATAGTCATAACTTATCTAGTAGTCCTTCCTCATATTTGACCCCTCTACCACTGGGGGCAGCCTCCTTTCCTCATCTCCACTGTCTCTGAGGGTCTGGATGGCCCACTTGTGTAGCTGTGACCTAGACCTTGTGCGTTCAGAAGAGCAGCATTAAAGAATGGTCAATAAATAAAATAAATAAAAATGAGCGCAAAAGCAACTTGCATTGTAATGCCAGTAGTTCTGCATAATAGAGCTGGCTTTGGATGCCCTGTTTCAAAAGCAGTTTGCTGGCTGTGAAGAATTTAGTTCCTTTTTGCGAGTTCTCTATTCTAATAATATTATTAATATACATTATAATAAATATAATTATAATATTCTAATTCTATAGCAATATTCTAGACATTATTTTTCACTTTTAATCTTCAATCTATACATATTCCAATTATTTTCCCGAGTTCTAATTCTTTCATCCCCAGTTACCATAACATGCCGAACTGTGCGGTATTTTCTGCATGAGTGGAAATGGGCACTTTAATTAAATGGATAATGTGTTTTTTCCTTTACTCAAACCCAATATTTAGGGCTACATTCTTCATGTGCTCACCCTGTGCTTGGGTTGTGTTGATATTCATTTCTGCTTGTTCCTGCTCTGTATATTTAAGCTAAGCTTTGAGAGCTGGTGAAGGAAGTGTGCTGGGAACCTTTTCTGATGAGTGCAAGTGTGCTGGGGGCCTGACTGGTGCTGGGGAAAGGGGTTTGCTCGATTAACAGATGGAAAGCTAGAGCACATTCCAATGTGGTGACACTATAGAAATGTCATGAAAGCGTTGTGATGATTCCTGCATTTGGTAAGAGTTTAGTCTGTTTACACATTTCTACACAAATTCCTCTCTTGACATTGTTCAGGCTATTACATGTTTTTATGTAAATTCCTTCCCATTGCTCCCAACTTGGCTGAGATGGGTCAAATAGCACTATTCTGTAGAAAGGGAGAGAATCTGGGAGTACTTTGACTAAAATTTCGTGAATTGCCCCTCGTGTTAATTTGTATGTTGCTTTCTTCGGAGGTTGCCATAATCTGACCCCATGTGTGCTGCTGTGATAAGCATCTGAAATATTAGGTGCATATCTGGTACAACCAGAACAGGCTTGAACAACAGGTTAATACATCTGTAATGTTTTTCACAGGCATCTGAGGAGAGCTCCCTGCAAGCATTGGATAGTCTAATGACAGAGTTTTTCCACAATTGCACAACCAATGAACGGAAAAGGGAGATCGGTGAGTGAGCAGCACCAGTTGGCTGCTTAGTTTTTTAGCCTTTTGGGTCAATGTATTATATACAGTGACGCCGGGGAGTGAATGTCTGAGTCTCTGATATTGCCATGATGAGGAGACCAAGTTCGGTTCTCTCCTGCTGGCCACTGCAAGTCCCCACCCCAGTGGGCCAGCTGAGGACAAGAGCTTGCCAGGGCAACTGCAGGTTGAACTGACTTACAGTTTTATACTTCTGCTGTTAATTGGCTGTTCTGAACTGAAACCACATCCTCATGTAATGTGTGCATTTCTGTTGGACAGTACATAGCTATATTGTCCAAAAAACAGAAAAATTGGAAATCTGCAATAATTCAATCCGTACCTGAGAGAAGTGAAGGTTACGATTTCACACAGACACAATGCAGACTTGTGTGTTGGTTGGTCATGCATTTGTGCTTTCTTGTGACAGACGTTGCCAGTCCCAATCCTCTAGTCTGTGTTCTGTGTGCGCTGCTATTTGAAGTGTAAAAGTCTGTTAATATTTGTGAACCTTTATTCCCAGAGGAGCTGTTAAATAACTTTGCCCAGCAGATCGGAGCATGGCGGCACTGCCTCTACTTCCTTTCCAACACGCGCAACGAATACGTGATGATGTACAGCCTGACCGTGTTCGAGGTGAGTCTGGGACAAGAGGAACTGGTGTTTCCTGAACATGACCGCAGCAATCAGCCAATCCTGGGCAACACTGCATTGGAGTTGTGGGGTGCAGTTGTCCAATCTCGCACATTTAGTTTTACAACAGGAAAAACTCATTGAGGATTGTAACCCATTTCCATTCATCAAAAAGATTCCTAGTGACCGGGTGGTCAGCAGAAAATTGATGAGAGGGAATCTGAGCTGAGTGGTGATGTATACATAGGAGAGAAGCAACATTGGAGCTGAAACTTGGCTGAGATGCATCAAATATATTTTTAAAAATTGCATTTTATATAGTGCCTGTAATGCTGAAATGTCTCAAACTACTTCACAGGTAATTGCTGCCTGTGCCCACTGCTTGTGATAAATTGAAACATGCTACGAGGTGTATATGCAACTCTGAGATCTTTGTTTAGGATTATTTGGTCGGCACTTTATAATCATGGCTTTTTATGTCCATCCAGAACCTCATCAACAAGATGTGGCTGGGTCTCCCGAGCCAGGATAAGATGGAGATCCGCAGCTGCCTGCCCAAGTTGCTCCTGGTACACCACAAGTCCATACCGTATTTCATCCGTAACAAGTTGTGTAAAGTGATCGTGGACATTGGTAGACAGGACTGGCCCATGTTCTATCATGACTTTTTCACGAGCACCCTGCAGGTAAGTCAGCAAAGTGCTCCATTGTTGACTGGTATAAGGACAGCTCTTTTAGCAGTTTTGAGAGTGCAAATAGCTTTTCGCCATTTTTTTGGTCAACTGAGAGTCTGACGGAAGCGGAAACCATCACTATGCTTAAGGATATCCTAACGAGACCCATTACATTTGATATAGCGCCTTTCACACTGAGTTGATGTCTTTTAAAGTGCAGTGACTGTAATTTGTAAGTAAATGCAGCAGCCAGTCTGCACCCAGCAACATTCCACAAACAGCCATGAAGCTCTGCATTTTTCCTGGTATCTGGTCTACAATCCCTTGGATAAAATAGGTCATTCACTTCATGCCTACAAATACAAAAAGTCACTTTACAATAAATCCTGAATCAAATGCAAGGATTATTTTCTAATCATTTGGTGAATTTCCAGCATTTTGGGACATCCTCCCGACGTGAAAGGCGCAAAACAAATGTAATTTTGTTGTTATAATATTGCATCCATTCCAGTTAATTCAGGCGCCTTCTACAACTTCTCTGGGTCTGATTATGTTGAAAACCACTTCAGAGGAGCTGGCCTGCCCGCGGGAGGACCTCAGCGTGGCGCGCAAGGAGGAACTCCGTAAACTGCTGCTGGATCAGGTGCCAACAGTACTGGGGCTTCTCACAGGTCAGTAATTGAAGGGAGGAGATGCCGCCAAGTTTATACCTGTTTGAAACTCTGGACACAGATTGCAGCGGGACTGTGACTGTATGACAGATGAAATATGTTCCATATATATAGACGTGGGTATATATGATACCTGTTACCAAGTAGAGCAGGTCTGCAATATTTAGGGCGCTCAGGAACCTGTCCTGCTGTTGGTGATAGTGATTAATGGGCTGCAATTCCTGTTCAGGTTATGGGGTGTACTGTGTAACGAGAGAGGCTGCCTGTTTATGAGCAAAGTTCCAGTGGAATGAACCTGTGCTCTGAACCTTTGCCCCTAACCTTGAGCCTCTGTCTGGGGTGGAGGCAAAATGTTAGAGCCAAGAAGTTGCTTTCAGGGTAAGGGACTGGTGGTTGGAGCCACAGTTCCTCGGTTCTGGACTGTTGATTGGAGCTGTGCTGGCTTAGTGGCTAGAGTTCTCAGGGATAAGTTTCATTTTATATTTATTTTTGCAGGTATTTTAGAGACCATTTGGGATAAAAACAGTGTTATGGCTGCTACTCCACCTCCCTCCCCAACGTCAGGAGATAGTGGTAGGTACCGCTGGTGTCATTGTAATACTGTGTTGTAAACATGATAATCTTAGGCCGATAGGTTCAAGATGTAGTCCTCTTAACATACTGCTTTGTTATCAAAGATGTAGCTGGTTAAGTGAAGTTATTTAAAATTAAAGGCAGTTTCGTGACATGGAGAGAAATTGGTTGGAAAGAAGGAAGAAAATAGTTGGGATAAAAGGGACATTCTCTGATTGGTCGACAGTGTCAAGTAATGTCCCCCGGGAATCAGGACCGAGCCCCAGCTTTTCACCCTAAATATAAATGACCTGAATATAGGAATAGAAGAGAGTAATTCTAATTGTTGACACAAAGCTGGAAAGTGTAAATTGTGAAGAGCAGAGCAGAAAACTTCAAAGGGACACAGTTACATTAGGTGAGTGGGCAGATGAAGTTTAACATTACAAAAGTTGGAGTACACTTTGGATAGTGGATGGGAATATGATCTTGATCTAAATGGGGATTCAGGGTAGATGAGCAAAGGGATCTCAAAGTTCTAAGTCCATAAATCATTAAAATCTGGTTTGAGGACTGGCTAAATGCTTTGACCGAAGCAAAGGATACTGAAAGGAGATATGATAGACCTTTAATGCAGAAAAGGACATCTTTCCTTTTATTGGAGAAACGGTGACAAGAGGGCACAGTCTCTGGGTACAGAAAAATTGGGGGAAGAGTTTAGAAGGCATTTATTTTGCTCAAGAGAGTTGTCATGATTTGGGATTCTTTACTGCGGGTAACTGATAAACGCTTGAGCCGGAAAAACATTAAGAGATATAGGGAAAGAGCTGAAAAGTGGGATTAATATTAAAAAAGTGATTAGAAAAGCAAGTAGTGAAGGCACAGGGTCGAGATTTCTTTATTTTTTTTCCAATTTGAGGTTTTGAATGATGAAAGGAATGGATGAGCTAGGTCGTGGGCAACGTTTTCCTCTGGCAGAGGAATCCAAAGATAGAGGGCACACTGAATTGTTCCAAACATGAGACACTGGGGGAAAAAATCAATTGTGCACATATATGAGAATTGTGAAATTGTGTGCATGCGTGTGAAGTCACAAGAGACATTGTATGTGTGTGAGAGAAAGAGAGAAAAATGAAGGAAGAAGAGAATCCAAGGAGAATTGCAGAGAAGGGCAAGCACAGTATGGTATCATAACGGCTTTGGAGAATAGTTAAAATTGCTGGCATGTTTTTTTTAAAAAAGGAAATGTGTTATCGTTGTTAGGGTAATTTAATGTACTGTAATCTAAAGTTATACAAGATGTTTTGACTAATACTGACTAATTCAAATGTATCTAGGAAAATTGGGAGGGGTCACCTTACGATTAAGTTTGTCTGATAGTTGGCAAAATAATATAATCTTAAAATGAGCAGGCTTGATGGGCTGAATGACTTCCTCCCTAATCTTTTTAATTAACATACTCGGGATTTACATGCAGGATAAAGTTTTCTGCACACTATCCAATCCAGAATTCCCAGGTGGGGAAGGGGAATTATCTCTTTGTAAATCAGCACTGGTAGAGGAGCAGTCCGCAATCTCACTGGCTCATGGAGGTAGGGATTAATTGGCAGGACATCATAGAAAGGGGATTTTACAAATATCAAGGTTCAAAGTAACAATTGTGCAAAACCAACTACTGGATTCATTATTGTGGCCTGAAAGATCATGGGAGCTGAAAGGACAAATAACCTGACTGTCAAACAGTGGATTTAAATGCACCTCAGATAAATTCCTTTTAATGTTTCCTTATATCCCGTGAAGCGCTTTGAGACATCCCGTTGACATGAAAAAGTGCTGTACCAACCAAGGATTATTACTTGTCAGAGTCGGGACTGGCTTTAATTAGAATAGTGTGTGGCCATTTATGTTGGTAATCTGGATGCATCATTGAATGAAGGGACGAAATGTTAGGGGGCGAGATTGCCATTGCACATGGAAGGCTGTGCGAATGGGGCACGGTGGTCATGTGGCGTTGTAGGGAGACTGACCACGTTTGAGTGTAAACAACCTGAGGCGCATGGCTGACTGATCTGACCTGGCACTCATCCCAGTTAAATTTAGTTTCTTGGCACTATCTATCAGTTTATAAATTCAGCACTGATTTTGGCATCGATTGTGGAGTCTAAACCAGTGCCAAATGGATGAGGACATTTTGATGAAGGCTCGAATGGTTCTGCGTTGGTATCTTTCTAGTTATCCATGGTTTCTCTCCATGCAATGACCTCTAGTATAAAGCATGTTATTGTTCTTTCACTGCTACACAAAGTATAAAATTGGAAGGTTGACTGATAAATGACTGTTCTTTGGAACCAGATGATCCTCACCATGACCCAGCTTTTTTATACACATTGTTTATTTCAATGATACAGAAAATGGGAGAGAACAAATGGGGTTGGGTCCAAATCGAGAACTCCAGTGCTTAAGATTTTAATTAAAACCATCTGATTTAATTCCGCACATCCTGTTTGTACATTTGAGTTCTGGGAAGCCTCATGAATTATCCCGTAACATCTTATCTATGCTGCTGAACAGGTGCATTGTTCCTGAAAGAGGGAGATACTCAATATACAAGCCCGAATGTATGACCAAAGTAATGTTCACTATTGGATGTTCTCTTGTGTGTAATTCACTACCCCCTACCCCTCCCCCCACCAACTCGGGTCCGTAACTCTTGTCTGTTCAGCACCTTGGGACGTCCTCCCGACGTGAAAGGCGCTATACAAATGTAATTTTGTGGTTGTGTGCTACCTTGTCGGGCAACTTTCCTGATGCTTGTCCATCTATGGCCACACTACCTGTTAGAGCTTTGGCTTGCAAGGTTAACCAGAGCTTTTAGGGAAGAATCTCTGCCCCAGGGCCTGGGTATGCCCCTCCAATTCTCACTGATGAGCCACGCAAGCTGATCTGTTATCAGAAGTGTCATGGAGTACTGCAGACCCTTCTGGCTCAGGATTCGGACGACTGAGACCGCCACAGAGAGTTGACTGAATTCTGACATTCTTTTGCCAAACATATCACCTTGGAGGCAGCTCAAGAGGTCAGAAGTTTGAGTATGAAAAATAAACAGAACAGACACTGGGAGCTATTTATTTTCACAGAGAGCAATTAACTATGGAAGTGAGATTGAGGCTGGCATGCTGGGATTATTTAGGAACCTGCGTCTGCTTTAATGCGAAGATAGTTTGTTCAAACCTCTCTTCTGCTGCATAAAATATCAGAGTTTATGTTTTTCAGGAAATGATGCTGATCTTTAACCACTGCATCCTTCCTAGTTTAAAAGGAAGTAGCATTTTGTTTTGAATTTGAAGTCTGTAGCTAAACCAGGAACATTCACAAATTTAAGTAATTTTCATTTTCTCACGACTTTACATAAACCAGTTGCACCAGGCCATGCTCACTAGTAGTCCTGACGTAACTGATTTCAATGAAGGCAGAGATGCAGGATACATCTGGCTTCAGGGAGGGAAAGATCAGCCAGGCTAGGGTGTCTGTCATTTTCGATTCCTATCTGGATACCTCTGTTGGATGGTGCATTTTTATGGGTATTTGTTGAAGATGATGATGCCCTTATGGCCTGTGATGCCCATATGGTCAAGCATCCTGCTTATGCTCACTTTTAGGGCTTTCAAAGTGGACTGGGAACAGACAATATCATGATGTCTAGAATGTACTTGTATTCCTTAGGTGTATGTGTGTGTGGTTCATCAGAAGTGACACTGATCTGTTTGTACCAGACCAATTAACCCAATATGCTCTGTATTTCTCTTGTCTGTGGCATTTCAGTGGTTAGTACAATCTTTTTTTGAACTGTTATACGCTTTGTCTCATAAACTCAATTTGACCCGTTTTCTGGCTCTGTGGTGGTCAAAGCTAATCCATTGTAAAGACCTAGAGAGTCTTGCCTTGGGTTTTCTGTAGTGCTTTGTGTAATCCACTTGAGGTGAAACAAATGGGGAAATGTAGGTAGATTGTCCCAGCGCTTTGGGCTGTCCTCCTGATGTGAAGGGCGCTATGCAAATGTAATTTGTTCGTTGTTGCCTGCATCTCCTTATTTGTTCTTTCAATCTCCACCTATGTTTTTTTCCCCCCTTTCCCTCTGGTAGGTGATTTGCTTAGCAGCCTGTTACAGAGTCCCCACGCTGCCAAATTATTAAACCAGCCAATCCCTATTTTGGACCCTGACAGTGAGTACATTTGCTCGCTAGCGTTGGACTGTCTGGCCCATCTCTTCAGCTGGATCCCACTCTCCACCAGCATCACCCCTACTCTTCTGACCACGATCTTCCACTTTGCTCGATTTGGGTGTGACACGCGTGCCAAGAAACTAGTTGCTGTCAACGGAAATGGCCACAACAACAGCATGACCCAGGAGCGGGGGAGGCTGGGCGTACTCGCCATGGCTTGCATCAACGAGCTTATGTCAAAGAACTGTGTCCCTGTGGAATTTGAGGAGTACCTGTTACGTATGTTCCAGCAAACCTTTTACCTACTGCAGAAAATCACCAAAGAGAACAATGCACGCTCCATCAAGAGCCGACTGGAGGAGCTGGATGAAAGGTAATGGGCTGGGAGAAGACGTGACAGACTGAGATGTACACAACTTCTGCTGTTAATTGCTGCGGTTCTTTTAAGATTAATACCTATGTCATAAGTGACCATTTTAGCCCTAATAAGTGTAGCAGGCAAGTATACTGAGGTAAGGCCAGGTGTGTCATCGTGTTAATGAATGTCGCTAGACCCAAGGTGATGCAGCGTCTTGCTCGACTCCGTTTCTGTGAATATTTAAACTTTCATTTAAGATTTTTTTGGGAAAATTAGTTTCTAATGTGTGTGGGGAGTTAGATTTCGGTATTTTTATGAGGGCCAGCAAAGGGATTGTCAGTTTAGCAGCTCTCGTGCAAGAGAATGAAGTTAGTAACTGGCTGAGAGAGTAATATTCTGCAATAAGCTTCTCAAAGCTAGAATTGTAAGTTTATAATTGACTTTTGGAAAGTGTGGTTTCCACATTCTAAATCTGTGACTTGACAAGTGTACAAGTCCAGACCACATGTTACATACAGTACAGTCCTGCTGAGTCTGAAGCTCTCACCAGCCAAGCAGCTGCCCTGAGATGATCTGTAAATATCCCTACCATCTGAGCAGAGTGCATGTATTCAATATCTATCTAGTGCTGGGGTGTGCAGTAGGTTAAGCTAATGGGAAGTGCAAGTAACATTCAAAGCTTTTTTTTATATTGTATGCTTAGCCGACAGTTTTCCGAGACTGCTAGGACAGTGTAACTTACAGGGATCACTCGATGAGGAGCCCACTCCCTCCTAAGAAAGCAAGAGTGTTGAGAAGATTTGGTTAACCTGGAACTCGCTTTCATCAAGACATTCCCACCCCCTTCTCAAAACACACAACAGCTGAGGGTTATGATGGGGTAATAGGAAGGCTAACCAGAAATGCAAACATACTAATGATCACCAAAAGAAAAAAAAGGGTGACTTTGATTAGTTTTTGCACAGACTTGTTAGAATAACGATCCTTGCATTTTATATAATGGCCATTATATGTTGACGGTGCTAAAGACGATTTCTATTACTTGCTCAGTACAGTTTGGCAGCACTCTCTGGGTCAGAAATTTGTATGCTGGAGTTTCAGCCTAGTCTATGGGCTCAAGGTATATTGGGTATACAAATTCACAATCACTACACCTAACAGTAATAGTAATTACTATAAAGCTGCTTCAGGTATTTCAACTTAAAGTGTGTGATTGCCAGTTTTGTAACTGATTCTTGCAAGGCAAGTGCAAATTTCCTAATTAGCCATTGTACTCCAAATATTTTTGCTTTAAATTTGATTTCATCCCTAGAAACTTCTTCTCCACAAACACTACACTTTATATCTTGTAGAATGCTTTAAGAAGACCTATGAAATGTAAGCGTTATTATCTGAGTTTCTGGTTCCTACGTGAATTCTCCCTGATCTTTCTCGTAGTTATGTGGAAAAATTCACGGACTTCCTGCGCCTCTTTGTAAGTGTCCACCTGCGAAGGATTGAGTCCAACTCCCAGTTCCCTGTAGTGGAGTTTTTGGCACTTCTCTTCAAGTACACATTTCATCAGGTGAGCTCACTACATACAATGTTGTAACACTTTAATCCCTTGTGAAACTGCAGTTCAGTTTGTAAAGTGTCCGACTGGAACAATTGTGCTGATACCTCTGTGATGTGCATACGTTGTTTGTTTGAAGCTATTTTTGAGGGTAGGTTTAGTTTTGCAATGCTCCTTGAGTTGTATGGGAATATAACGGTCAATGGGTTTGATTTGACATGTCAGCTTGGTTCAATAGGTAGGAGCTCTTGTCTCTGAGTGAGGAGTTGTGGGTTCAGGTCCCTTGTTGGAACTTGAGCTTGCTATGTGATTCTTCAGTACACTACTGGGGTAGTGCTGCTTTGTCAGAGGTTACTGTTCTTTGGATAATAATCTATGTATAGAAATGGTTGTTAAAGAGGGCAGTTTGACTGCTGCCCTGGCCGCAATCCTGAATCTTAATTGGTCGTTTACCTCTTGGGTGTTTATGGGACTTTTTAGTGTCTTATCGAAACGTCTCAAAGTGTTTCGCACTCAAACTCCTCTATTGTTTCAGCCCAGTCACGAGGGTTACTTCTCCTGCCTCGACATCTGGACCATATTCTTGGATTATCTAACCAGTAAAATCAAGAGCCGTCTCGCAGACAGGGATGAGGTGCTCAACAGGTCAGTCTCTGCACCTACAGCTTTCTTCATGCTTCCGTATGTGCGGTGTACTTTGGGTCACATTACGGTAGTCTCCTATATGTAGTTAAACTTATGTAAAAATCCTTGCATTTGAGATAGCACCTTTCATATCAAAAACATTGAAAAGCACTTCACAGGGTTTACTGTAAAGAGCATGACTGTGCATTTTGTGGTCGAACGCCTACGAAATAGTATTGCTAATTATGGCCCTAGTTGCTGCCCCATCAAAGCCCCAAAACAAGAAATGGCACCCAACGACCAGGCCCTTGCAGGTAACATGAGCTTGGTCATGTTTGGTTTTACAGTGAAACAACATAGTGTTGTGGACTGTTCGTCTTGAGATGATGTTATATCTGGGAACTGCAGTGATGCAGAGTTTCAGAATGTATTGTCTAGATGCTGCAGTGATGCAATATTGATTGAAAAACATTCAACACATCTTTCATAATAGGAAATCGGTTAGTTACTCGTGTCAACCTAGAAATTGCACAGTTGAGTGTGACAATTGGAATGCAAGAAGTGTGAGTTGTGCAAATTGTATCCAGAGTAAGTTCTGCCGCATACAGAACTAGTTCATTGTGTGTGTGAGGATGTCAGATTGTGGTGTATGAGTAAGCAGTGACTTGAGATTGTACTTCCTGTCCTTGCTACGTGCTGCTGGGCCTTGCACTATGTTTTGGCACCGAGCTTCCCGCACACACTTGTCAGGCCTGAACTCTGAAAATGTCCTTGATGAAACATGCAGCCAGAAATGACTTCCCAATCAATCCAGAGCCAATGACATAGTGTATGACCGTATTTTCCTGCAATTACTTGTTGAATCCCATTTAGTGTCTTTTATATAGGGCTAAAGAGACCCCTCTTATCTGGTTATTTCTCCTAACTCATTCCTCTAACACTAGAAATCACGTTGTTGCTATCCTCTGTACTGCCTTCCAAGAATTGAGATACCTGGAGTGTTGCATAAATTGCCAGAGTTAATTTGATTCTCTTTGGGAGGGGGGAACTAATTGTTAAGAAACTACACTGTTTGAAAGCTATATTATATATATATGTGTTCTGTGAAGCGCTTTGGGACATCCTCCTGACGTGAAAAGCGTGATATCAAATGCAAGGATTATTATTATTATTATATCTGCTATCTGGGATATCCAGCTGTTTCCTACCCTCGCAAATAATGTATAAAATGAATGGGCTGGCAACTGGCACGTGAACCCATTTTCTGCACGTTAGGAAGCCAGAGATACTGGGCTCTTTAGACATCCTGTGATTGGATCGCAGATAAACCTGATATCGCTAAATGACAGATGATCAATGGAAGAGGCTGCTGTAAATCAGACTTGCTTCAAGTTGGTCTTACTCCAACTATGATTCCAGCATGTAGCCAGTGAGTAGAGCAGAACAAGAACAATTCCAGCAATTTTCCTTAACATTCCCATGTGGTGAGCCAACATCACAGCTCTGAGACTCTGTTTAGTGCATTCCTTCGAGGTAGGAGTGAGGAAGGCATTGACGGTGGTGAGTTTTTAATTTGTTTTAAGTCGTCGGCTTTTTCCTCCGCCCCCATAAATGCTCTGCTGATGGCTGCTTCTCCCCCTTTCCCCAAGGTACAAAGACGCGCTTGTTCGTCTGCTGACTGAGGTTTTGCATCGAATCCAGTTCCGTTATAACCAGGCCCAGCTGGAAGAACTGGATGATGAGACCCTGGATGATGACGTAAGTGCTACAACAACAACTTGCATTTATATGGTGCCCCTCCTGCAGGGTAGCGTCCCAGAGCACTTAATGCTAAACTTGGTTTTCTTGCGGAGAGACTGAGAACTAGCGCTAAACGTTTACAAAGTCTTGGCTCTAGAAGCGGCGACACATCTTATTAATGCAATTGCCGAATGAAAGCAGTGTTGTGAAGTGGCTACGGTTAGCAACACTTTATTCATGGCTTGTTTCTGTTTTGTCCTGATCCCACTGCTCGACACTTGTGGTTGCTGTGCTGCTGAATATAGTGACTGAAGTCACCCAAGCTTGTTGCTTCAGTCTACTCCAGCACAGTAAAGCTAGAATCTAGCTGTACAAAATGGCAGGCCTCAAGAGTAGCAAAAGGATATTTTAAACTAGAAGGAACAAGTGACAAAAAAAACTGATCTCTTCTATTGTCCCTTTGATTTCTGCGAATGTTCTGTGCTTGGAGACCAAGGTTTGATAAACATTCACCAGCCATAGACTCGCTGCTGGAAGTTGCTCATACATTGGACAGGCTCAGTGTGATGCTCGTACTGTCAGATAATCTCACTCGCCATCAAGTCGCACACAATGGACACTCAGCCAAGCCTAAGTGCTGCAGGCTGAGACAAATTGCAGCCCTGACTGCTGCCCCAGGTGACATTAGTAACTCAGCACAGGATTGGAAGATGAGACTTTAGGGGTCTGTGTGGCACAGTGCCACTCAACCATTGGAAAGTTCCACATCAGGTTCTTTGAGATGAACATACTCGTGAAATTGACAGCGTTCAGATTTATAGTCACAAGTTCCCCAAGTCATCCATATTACCTTCGGCAGTGTAGCTTTTGGAGCATTGAGTGGGTGTCGGCAAGTAATTTCTTCAATGCAGGTTTTGACATGTGGCAGCCTATGGCAATAGGTTAGATCAGGCATCACATGACAGAGGTGTGGAATGACAAAGTATGTGGTTTTAGGGTTAGATTCCAGCACTACCCCCAATGCACACTCTGGGGTCCCTAAGGCTTGGTTCTTGTCAACCTGCACCTAATAATTTCCAGAATTAGGTAAGCAAGATGTGTCCCTCCAGGGAGAGTGTGCTTTCCATTCCATGTGTAGGTGGGATACTTGGAATTCTCAGTTTGATTCGGATACTCTTAAGCATGGTGATGGGTTTTGCTTGTGTCAGACACCCTGCCACTTAGCCAAGGTGCAGCAGACTAGCACCTGTGGCACTCAACCCCATCCAAAGCCCAAATGCCTCAGAAGAGTCGCCTCACCTCCTTCACAGCACATCTCAAGTCATTCGTCTTCATCTGCGCCTTTGGTCACCCTCCTATCCCTAACCTCCCTGCCCTCCACCTCGCCTGATCCCAACCTTCTGCTCCGGTCCAAATCCCTGACTGTCCAGCGCCTTGGGACGTCCTCCCAATGTGAAAGGCGCTATACAAATGTAATTTATTGTTGACATTTTCGGGGAGAAAAAGTTATGGTGACCATTTGTTGCTGTGCGCTCTCTATGCTTGCATCCGGGACAGTTTCCCAAGCTTTCATTTTGATCATATCCCTCCAGCAACAGACGGAGTGGCAGCGCTACCTGCGGCAGAGCCTTGAGGTGGTGGCCAAAGTGATGGAGCTCCTCCCCTCACATGCGTTCTCTACGATAGTAAGTACAACTCATTCCACAAGCCTTGCCTTAAAGATGATCATTGCAATATATTCACCACTGTTCTTTGTTTGGGAGAATTGAGCACTTGTAAAGCTGGATTTAAATGCTAGAACATCCAGTGAGCAGTTTGCACTATATCTCAGAGAACTTATTCCATTCCTTGTCTCATCTCTTCACAGTTTCCCATTCTACAGGATAACCTTGATGTTTATCTGGGATTGCAGCAGTTCGTAGTCACCTCAGGGCAAGGTAAGTCAGTGGGGACAAGAAACACCGTGTGAACAGCTAACCAGAAAGTAAACACAGAGGTTCAAAACTTCCTAAATAAATGAAATAAGCTATATTGTAGCCATTTTAAGTGATCACTTTCAAGCATCGTGACTATTCTTGGAGGCGAAAGAGGCATTCATTTACAACATGGCATTCCCACAAGTATTCTTGTTGGAAATGACCAATTAATCTGGTGCATTATTGGCCAGAACTCCAGAGGAAACTTCTTTCTCTTTTTCAATCGTGTAACGGAAGATGTATTGAGGTGTTAATTTCACATTGAAACAAACGGAAATGACTGGGGATATGGATTACACTGAAGATAGGAAGGGATGGAGCAGTGTGGGTTATACTGAGGGGAAGGTTGGAGTGTGAGGGTTGATTAATGCTGTCGCCTTCAGTCCACAGGTTGAACATCACAGCAGAGAATGACTGCAGGCGCTTGCACTGTTCACTGCGGGATCTCAGCTCGCTGCTCCAGGCCAGTGGCCGTTTGGCTGAGTATTTTATTGGGGACGTCTTTGCTGGCAGGTTCAATGATGCTCTGAGAGTGGTGGAAAGGTAAACCCTCTGTTAACTCACTATGTGACTTGTTGACTTGTGTGACATCTTTTGTGCAACAAATGTACTCGCTACCTACAGATTATTCCACTCCGTTTACACTGACTAGTAGTAGGCTGGTGGTGCGTGTGTGATTTCTAATTACTGGAAAAGCAGGAAACCCATGGAGTTGCTAGATCCCTGAACTGTTTTGTGCCAGTTTGTAACCATTGTCTGAAGAAGTTGTTCATACAGTTTGGCTACTTTTTGACTCTACATATATTCTACAGTTAGAGCAGGCAACCTCAGGAAAGGTGTTCAAATTGTTTCATGACCCAGCTGCGAGGAGATTCCTAAACCTACCACCTGCAGCCTCTCCGCTGTTCTACTTCTGATCTTCCTGTGACTCTTTTTCAGGCTAGTGGAAATGACACTATACGGATCCCAGATCAAGCTGTATGACATGGAAACAGCAGTGCCATCGGTACTGAAGCCAGATTTGATTGATGTGTAAGTCCACGGCACTTGGCTATTTGTCAGACAGGTGGGGTGGGTGGCTATGTGACTTTTGGGAAGGGGGTCATGTAGGGGGCCTGTGTGATGGTCGCTGGGGTGGGGGAGCTTAACATGTGCCAGTTGGGGTAGTGGAGAAGCTATGTGACTGTTGGGGGATGGGGGGGACTCGTGATGATTTGGGGCGGTTTAATGTGCGACATTTAAAGAACGTGTAACAGGACTGGGGCTAAACATTGCTCACTGATCCTGTGGTTTCCCTCCCTCTCTTTCAGTCATGCTCAGTCACTGGCAGCACTGCAAGCCTACTCACACTGGTTAGCTCAGTTCTACAGTGAAGTTCAGCGCCAAAATCCTGAGCAGTTTGTGTCGCTCATTTCCACTGCCATGGAGGCCACTGCTCCCCTCATCAGCTCTAAGGTTTGTCACTGCTTCTCTGGGAAACTGGAAAATCATAGAATTCTACAGCACAAAAAGAGGCCATTCGGCCCATCGAGTGTGTGCCGGCTCTTTGAATAGAGCAATAATATCAATCCCACTTCCCAGCCCTTTCTCTATAACCCTGCAAACCTGTCCTCCTCAAATACCCATCCACCGCGTTTTTAAAAGTAGTTATCGAATCGGCCTCGACCACCCTTTCAGGGAAAATAAACTTTTTTTTAAAATCTAGAAGCGCTATGGGATGTTTGCCTGAATGAGAGGCCCTATGTAAATGCAAGTTGCTGTTGTTCTGGAAACTTTCAACACCATTCAGCCCATTGTCTGTATTTTGTTCCCGATATATATCTATTTTATTCCCCACAGATGCCTTATTCTGAATTCCACTTTCCATCTTGTTCCCTATTTCCATTAATATTGTTTACTTTTCAATTTATCCATTTTCCTTTGGATTGATTTGGAGACTGAGGGGGAGTAGGGAGGCTTTTGTACAAGTGGTCAATGACCATTATTTTGTAACCCACCAACTTTTCCCCTCTGAGAGCCTGATGGAGTTTCGACTTATTGGGGTTTGGTTTGAGGTGGGTTCCAGTCTACCAGGGGTGGGGTGGGAGACCAGTTGCGAGACAGACCTACAACAGTGACGAGTGATATTTATATCGCGTCTTCCACGTCAGAAGGACTTCCTAGGTGGTGTGGGGAGGAGGCACGGAATGGGTTTGAGGCAGGGGAACTTGTATTAATTTGCTTGTGACTGCAGGTGCCAGAGAAGCTGCTGCTGTCAGCGTGCCATTTGCTGGTGTCGTTAGCCACGACCGTGCGGCCAGTGTTTCTGGTCAGGATCCGGGCCATCCAGAAGGTCTTTGATAGGATCACGGATGGCTCTGCTCGACAGCTCCCTCCAGAGGTCAGTATGGGAGGCTGCATTGTAAGCGTACAGATAACCTGTTAAATCTTGCTTCTAATCACCGTAACTGAGATGCATTGCACTTGGGTGGTGGGGGAGAGGGGAGTTTCAGGGATTGGCATCAGAGTTCAGGCTTGGCATTGTGTGCTTCTCACCTGGTGTGAGCTATGTGGGTCATTCATCTGCTGCTACAATGGGTGTGTAAACTGTGGTGAAGGGGCTCATCCTTGCAAAGCATCTGTCCGTGTATGTTGCTGGGTAAATTCAATGTTTAATCTCAGACCTGTTTCCCCTGGCAGGCGAGGGTGCTGGTTTGCAGGGCCTTGTCCAACATGCTGCTTCTACCGTGGCCGAACCTTCCCGAGAGCGATCAGCAGTGGGGGAACCGCTCCACCAATCACGCCAACCTCATCTCCACCCTGACCAGAGAATACCGGCAGCTCAAGGCCAGCGCAGACCTCTCACAGAGTAAAGTGGGGCTGCAGGACCGTGAGTACCTTACCCACATTTCGTGCTGGACTTGAGTTCTCCCGGTGTAAACTATAGTCCACTGCCGATGAAAGCCCAGTCAGTCTGGCTCATCAATAACACTTCAAAGGGCAGACCAGTTGCTGGAGGCAGGGATTCTTCCCCCTCAGCTCCTGCTAACCCTGCAAGCCACAGCCCTAATGGGTTGGGTGGTCCCAGCTCGACAAGCAGCGAGAAAGCTTTTAACGGCAAGCTATATGGTTTCAACTGGTTAAACTCCCAACAGTTCCTTAATGCATATTCTGGGGTCCTCAAGCCTTGTCTCTTGCGCTAATACTCAGGATGTGTCCGTCCAGGGACAAGCACATTCCATTCCAATACATGTGTAGGTGTGGGGGGCAGCGAACTCTGGTTTGGATACTTTTAAGCGTGGTGATGGGTTTTCTTATGCGTCAAGACACCCAACGATAAAATTGGGCTAAAGGCCCTGCTTGTAATATCACAGCAACATCTTCCAGCACTGCAGCTGGGACCAGCCATTGCTGAGCAGACTTAATTGTCGATGTAACTTGCAGGTTCGCTCTGTTTAGCAGCTCTAGTTAGTTACACATGTGGTACTGGTTCTCAAGTGATCGAATTGTCCCTGTTTTGCATGTAACGTGCCATCTCCACGTTCTCCTCTCTGCGTTTTAGCCAAAATGCTGGTGCAGCAGACACTGAGTATCCTGAAGTACATTGTGGAGAATATCTCTGGAGAGGTGACCAAATCCAGGCAGATCTGCTACCAGTCGCTTCAGGAGTCAGTGCAGATCTCCCTTGCGCTTTTCCCCATCTTCATTCACCACCCTGGTAAGTGAGATTTCAATATGTTCTGTGCTAGAGTGTAAAAGCCTGAGCTGCAGGCTGTGAGGAGTCCTTGGAGCAACGGTAATTGTTGGTTGAGGTCAGACTAGAATCTGCCTGAAGAACCCCTAGATTTGCCCCGGTGGGTGGGGAGAGGAGCCTGGCTGCCTGTGGACCTCATTCTGCTCCTCCTGTTCTCAGAAATTCTATCCTGGAGCTGCTCCACCTCGTCCTCTCCCTGCCCGGCTTTAAAGCCAGCCTTAAGGCCCATCTTTCTGATTGCTTTTGGTTCTCTTTCCTTTCCCCATATCCCACTGTGGTTGTACAGTCAGTAGCTTGAAGTGCTTTGCGATGTCCTCCCGATGTAAAAGGTGCTGTATAAATGTAAACTGTTGCTCTGGTCTCTTACCTTCCCCTGTCTTTCAGGTGTAATGGACGAGATGCTGAGCTTTTTCCTCACTCTGTTCCAAGGCCTGAGGGTGCAGATGGGTGTCCCGTTCACAGAGCAAGTCATCCAGACGTTCCTCAACATGTTCACTAGGTAAACCGTCCATTACTCACACTATTATCCAGCAGTCTTAAGTGTGACTGGCTTCTCAGGTCAGTTGTGCTGTTGTTGATGTATGGGTAGCATACATTTACATGTGACTTTTCTTACACATGGGTAAAGTGCATTTACCTGAGTTGGAGCGGTGCTGTTTGGAGGCTGAGGACACAGTCATGTTACAAGGGAGACTGCGTACTGATGACATGACTGGTCCAATGATTGAGTGTGCTGTATCCTCCCCTTGTTATGCAGGGAACAGTTGGCAGAGAGTATTTTACACGAGGACAGTGGAGGCTGCCGTGTGGTGGAGAAGTTCCTGAAGATCCTGCAGGTGGTGGTGCAGGAGCCAGGACAAGCTTTCAAACCCTTCCTCCCCAGCATCATCTCCCTGTGTATGGAGCAGGTCTACCCCATTGTGGCCGAGGTACGTACACTCGAAGTACTGCCAACAGCAAACTGCAGCTTCTTAGTGTTGCTGTTATAGACATGCTCAGTGTTGTGTCTTGTCCACTCCATCCTGCCAGCCCTTCCAGTGATCTGGTGAGTGATTTGAAGTCACTCCTGTTTCAAAACAGCCCTCACATGCCTGCCAGCTTTCCTCACCTACAATAGCTGCTGGCAGCACCAGTTTTCCAGATCGAAATTACCTGAAACTCAAGCCATACCACAAATGAGAATACATTAGACTCTTAGAATTCGAGAAGCTGGTGAGAAGCAAGATCATAAATCATCTCTTTACACTGAGGGTTTTTCCATTTTTCCATACCCTTACTTCCTATGTTGCTATTGTTTAAACAGCCCAATCAATTCTGCCTCTATGACCTTCTGTGACAGTGCATACCACATTCTCATAACCCTAAGTGCGTATAAAGAAATGATTGTGATCTTGCAACAAAGCAGTTTATCTCTAATTCTAAATTTTGTTTTGGATCCTCTTTTACCAGAGGACAGTATTAACACATGAGGGTGGATGAGAATTTGAACACAGCATCACAAAAAGGTTTAGCGCCGACTGCTGCTTTAAAGTGGCGAGCACCAAACCAGTGCCACTTTCTATAGAAATGAATCGAACAATACAGAGAAGAGGACTGATGCATCGGGCTTCTGTGTGTACCTGCCAAATTCACACACCACAAAACAACTTTTATATTGTGCCCCTCATGCAAGCTAGTGTCCCAGAACAATTGAACGCACTGGAGCTAGATTTAAGCTGGTGGGTCTGCACACCCTGCGATGAGTTGCTTTATTCAGGTATTATAGGCTACTGACTAGCCTTATTCAATGCAGAGCAACTTCATATCCCCTTTGGGTAGGTCTTGTTGTAGTGTATTGTTTGGGGTTACACCTACTCAGGTGAAGCCATGTCAGGGTGGGGGGGTTCTACTCTAACGTCAGTGCTATTGCTCTCTTGTCCTGCAGCGCCCCTCGCCTGACGTGAAGATGGAGCTCTTTGAGCTACTTTTTCAGATCCTGCACCATAACTGGCGATTCTTTTTCAAGTCCTCCATCCTGGCCAGTGTGCAGCGTGGAGCAGCTGAGGAGCCCATGGAGAACGAGGTGCACTTTATTGCCATTATGCAGGTAAACTTCCATCTGTCTTCCTCCACACTGAATAATATAATAATACTTACATTTGAGAGTGTGCCTTTCACATTGGAAGGACGTCCCAAGGCACTGGACAGTCAGGGATTTGGACCCGAGCAGGGGTGGGGATGTTCTGGGGTAAGGGAGGATAGGAGGGTGGCTGAAGGCACAGTCAAAAAGGAGGGTCTTGAGGCTCACCTTGGAGGAAGCACGGGAGGGAGCAAGGTAAAGGGAATGTGCGATGGAGTTCCAAATGGTGGGGGCGTAGAGGCTGAAGGCCCAACCGCTGATGGTACTGTTAAGGTGGAATGACTATTCTGTGTGCAAGCTTAGCCTGTTGTATAATAAAGGAGCAGATAAAGTGATATGTTGGGTCACCATCAAATACCAAGTGCTCATAGGTGCGTGGGTGGGTAGCTTGTGCCACTTGGTTGGTCTTCGCTTCATGCCTGTGTTTCCCTCACGCAGTAAGATCATGTTGTTGCTCAGCTGTGAGGCAGCAATTCAGTGCAAATGCACTGAACATGTTACACAAATGACTGTATTGAAGGTATTGGTCAGAGTGAAATGCTAAAGCCAGCACACTGCACCCGGTATCTGTTCTGCTCTTCCAGGCTTTTGGCCAGTCTTTCTTGCAACCGGACATTCAGATCTTCAAGCAGAACCTACTGCATCTGGAGACCCTCAACACCAAACACAAGTTGTACCACAAGGTGAGTTCCTTCCACCACTCGCAAGTGTGCGCGATCACTGCACCCTGCCTACGATGCATGTCATACCTTCCCCGCGTACACCACACTTGTCCCACCTCTGATCCAACAAGGAAATAGACCTGAGCATGTAGCTCTTCTACACTGGATATCCAACTAGATTCTGAGCAACACTTTAGAACGGGGGGGGAAATGTTGCCTTTTTTGTATCCTCAGTCACCTTTCTCTCTGTGTTTCTTGACACACCTTAGACAAAAACATGGAGAGGGTGAGTTGTTCTGGAGCTTAATGTCATTTTTCCTTTTTCCAGAAAATTTTCCGTACAACAATGCTGTTCCAGTTTATCAATGTGCTGCTACAAGTGCTAGTGCACAAGTCGCATGATCTGCTCCAGGAAGACATCGGCATTGCCGTGTACAACATGGCTTCTGTGGACTTCAGCAGCTTTTACACTGTGTTTTTGCCCCATTTCTTGGGCTGTTGTGATGGCATCGACTCCAATCAGAGGACTGTACTCGGCAGGAACTTCAAAATGGACAGGGTTAGTTATTCCCAAGAGCTGGAATCGCACAAGGCAACAAGTACAAAGTGGATGTAACCCTAAACCAATGTCTGGGCCTCTCAGGTTAAAAAGCCCATGTCTGCATGTCCTGTTTGCAGTAGAGGTTTGTCAGTGAAAGTCGCAGGTGTGCTGGGTAAATGTGATGTTGTAGACACTGTTTAGTAACTGTGCCGTGTTGGGTGTAAGTATACTCTGCACATGACAAGTAGGTCTCAAAACATCTCTACATCTATATCAAATACAGTTTGCATTACTGTCCGCATGTTCTGGAAGCTCAGAGTGGCTCTGATTCCTGAGAATTCTTTTAAGGTATCTGACTGCTAGTGCTCCCTCATCCAGATTCACCAAAAAAAACAGATTTGCTGATTTATCTCGCACCAAATTACCACTGAACCATTAATTCACACTTTTACCTCACAACGTGGCTTTGTAAATGCGCTCCTCACCGGCCTTTCCAGTTCTGCCATTCATAAATGCCAGCCAACACAGAATTCCCATCACCAGCATCCTTGCTGCACTAATAATAACAATAATAATCCTTGCATTTGATATAGCGCTTTTCACGTCTTCTAGATGTCTCAAAGCGCTTCACAGAATATACTGTAAAGTGAATTGACTGTATATTTGTGGGCGATGCACATCACCCCAGTCGTCACCACGCTCGGCTGGCTCCCAATGGATCAATGCTGTGAGGCACGTTTACCAGGCAGCATTCACACTGCCATCTTTCAATTGCCGGATGCAAACCCAAATATTTCCTTTCAATGTACTCCACTCCTTATCAGAAGCTACATTCCTAGTAAACAAGGTCGAGGCTGTGGTGTTTTCCCTCAATTCCTGTAGCCCTCCACAGTAACCCTTACGAGTGCTCAGACATTATCCTAAGTGAAGGGTGCTATATAAATTCAAGTTGGTTTATCTTCTGATCATACACCATCTTTAATGTCAGATTCTCTTTTTTCATCATGAAGTTGTTTGATTTTTTTTTAAAAAAGTTGTTTTTTTTACTTTTGGGACACACACGCACATACTACAATCCTGGTGATCGATGTGCAAATCGCACACTCACAGGTGACTTCTAAACATTGAGATGGTGCACCAATGACCTCAGCTCAGCACCGCGGGTATGTGAAGTGCACTCCTGTCTGAGTGCATCACAGCACCGCAAAGGCTCCCATTTGTTACCCCTGATCTGAAAATGAAGGAGCTGTTTGGAAGTGTGCTGTGAGCTTTGTGTGGTCTCTGTTCACCTATAACACGGGTATAAAATGCAAGTATAGGCAGTGTTTTGCAGTATTTCATTGAATTCACTCAATTTTTAGCGTCACGTTTTATTTGCAAGAATAATATTTATCATTATTTATTCAAAAAGAATGTTCATCGTGAGCTTTTTCTCCCAATTCTTACATAAGAACTTAAGAATTAGGACCAGGAGTAGGCCATTCGGCCCCTCGTGCCTGCCCTGCCATTTGATAAGATCATGGCTGATCTTCTGTTACGATCTACCAATATCAGCAGATTCCATAGTATGTACATCTTGTTTTGGGGGGAATCACAGAAACAGCTGTGTAGCAGGAAGATCCATACAGGTTGTATCCAGTGTCGCAGGATAGTGCTCCTCTGGTTTAACACACTCTACTGATGCAATCAGCGTACGGGGAAGAGAAGAGGAGAATCTTGCACTATGCAGTGCTCTCCCATTTAGCCCACTGTTCGGGTGCAGCAGTAAGCAAACACAGATGCTTCCACAGCCATGTCAGTTTTGAGCTCTTGATCAAAAGGTTTCAATTTGATACATATAGTATGGGGTCATTCATCCAATCTAGTGTGTGCTGGTGTTTTTCTCTAATTCCACTCTCCTACTTCTATATCACTCTGATTCGAGTGAGAAGTGCGTGAAACAAAATGTTTAAAACAATTCTCTGCGTCCTGAAATTGTATTTGATGCTTTACTCTACAAACTGAAGCATTGTTACTGTAGTTCTTATGAAAAGCTTAGTTTATATGCTTAAATTAACTGTCGCTCTCTTTCTCTTGCACTAGGATCTGCCTTCATTTACACAGAGTGTGCACAGGCTGGTGAATGACCTGCGTTACTACAGGCTTTGTAACGGCAGTTTACCTCCGGGAACCATCAAGCTATAGCCCCTCTGTGCCAACTCATGCCTTTCCCTCGTCCTGTCGCCAGGCTGTCGGTGTAACCTGCTAGTCGGACCCTCGGTATGATGCTGCAGCAATGTCTGTGTCTTTGTCCGGCAGGAATCACTGGTTGTATTCAGTATCTTTGACATGATGCCGATAATCATGTGGCCAACACTGAATAGACGTCGAACGTTTGCACCTTCGCATCATTCCGGTCTCTTGCCCTTTTCATTGGAGTGACAAGACTTCACCAGGCAGCGCTCCTGTTCAGCACCCCAGCGTGCGCTCTTCTGTGTGGTTTTGGCTCGATCAGGTCTGCTCTGTGTAAGTGGGCACTCAAAACGGAGGTCATATCATTCCTGTGTGATAGATACCAAGGCACCTGCTTAATGGACAAAGTGATTGCATTGTACAATGCACTGAAGTCCATCGATTATTTTTTTTTTCAAATCTCATTTAAATATGCTGGATTTTTTTAATTAACACAGATTTTAAGTTTGATAAGATGTATTTGTTTTAGAATGTTTTCGTTAGACTTCCACTCATTTCCCCCCCCACACCACCACCCCACAGCCCCCCCCCCACCCCCGCGTCTCCTGCAATCGACTGTCCTTGCTCCTCTCGTGTGCGTCACGACCCACTCCTAAAATATTAAGCGCTTTAAAAGGCACAAGTGCTGGAGGCTGCTTTTAAAAAGTCAGGCTGAGACATCACAAGTACCAGACTGAAAAGGAGGAAAATTTAAAACATGAGGAAAGGGTAGGAACGCAAAAAATGTAATGTTCCTTTTCTTCCCCTTTTACACTCTGACTTCTCCATTCAAGACTTGCTCTTGTGGCCCGTTGGGTTATGCCTTCTGTTAACCAGGGCACGACAGAAGAAAGCGCTCTGCCCAGACTCTTTGTGCTGCAGCTCCTCTGTGCCAGCCAGTTGTATCTTTCTAGAGCAGAGACTGCTGCCGCCTGTCTCCAGCTGTGCTGCCCCTGCTCTGGGAACCTTTTGCTGAATGTATTCTACAACTGCACATTAGTTGTCTACTGATCTAGAAACGTGGGCTTGGCTGTCACGTGTCTACATTTTATGGGTGTGCGAGGGGAAAGAGAAAACGGAGACCAGGACTTTGTCACCTAGGTTGAGGTGTAAGCAGTGGCCTGTATGTTGGGTGAATGTGGAGTGGACTTGTGGCTGTCCCTCGCTCAAGTTCCTGATCTCTGGGCTGACTGGAGCAGCGCTGGTGACTGCTCCTCACCTGACTGCGCTGCAGTTAGAAGCACAGAACACGTGGACTGAGAGTGTTGAGTGGGAATGAAGCTGCAACTCTACTGAGTTACGTTTTCAGAGAAACACATCTCTGCTGTCTTCTGGTACTTCATTAGTGAGACCTCAGGTCCTGCTTCAGACCTTACCAGCTTCAAGACATTGCTGCCTCGTTAATAGCTCTCATTTTCTACCAGGTAATCTGGTTTAAATGATTTTGATTAGTGTTCAATTCAATTCCTCCCCATGTTCTGTATTTTTTGCAGCAGCCTCACTCATGATGGTTCCCACCTGCTCTATCCAGTCAGATCCAGCATCACTCGCAGGAACATTTCATATCGATTTTCAGTTTGCACTTTCTTTTGTTATTGCTTTCTAGTCTCTTGACTCCTGACCTTGACTCTTTAGGGAGATCTGACTGTATTCGTCAAATGTAAGCCTGAATGCAGAGCCAAATTGCGTTGCAAATCATTTCATTGTGTCTGAAAAGCTGCACGTTTTATTTTTACGCCCCATTGAAGGGAGTGGTCCTTGTGTGTGTCGCTATCTGGAACTTTACTGTGAATTGCCACCAATTGGTCCCGTGCCTAATCCCCAAGCAAATTGGTGACGTGTGCGGTTGAATTGCTGAGATGAATGTAAGGAGAGTGCATGTACTCAGTTTAAGCTGTTCCGTATCTGCTCACATCACCATGGCAACTATTAGTGCAGCTCTTTTGTTTTCTTGAGTTGAAGGTAAATCGGCAGGTAACATGTTTAGCAGGTTGACTGCATTCCTACGGAGAACGCACTTTTTGCAAATCCCTGCAACTCGGACAGTTTCAGCTCTGGCCGTGAGTGGATGGATGTGAATGCACGTGTGTGTCGCAGTGCACCTCCCGGTAACGCTCGCAGACACGCTTCTGGTCCAGCGTGGCCTTTTGAGTTTAAGCGCTTGACTCCCATCATTGGGTTCGCCGTCAGCTGATCTATTCGTACGGTTGATTCTCACCTCGAAGAGCACATGAATAAAATGAACTTTTATTAAAGAAAGATTTTTCTAGGGTTTGCCGCCTACTACACCTATAATAATTAATCCTTTTGTTTGATATAGCGCCTTATCACGTTGTTGAGATGTCTCAAAGCTGAATGAAGCACAGAGCTGCAGGTAGCAATGAGTCAGGTTACATTCTGCGGAATGTATTTGATTAACTCTGCAGTGACTCCAATTGAAGATACTCCCCACCCTGTAGATAAGTGGAAGTCTAGTGTTTGTGCTCCAGCCTACTGTTGGATGGACACATGAACTCTTCTAGAATCAGGGGCAGCCGCCAGTTGCTGTAAGCCGTGCTGGTTGCCCATTGCTTGGGAGGTAGTGTAGCCCTGCACTTTCCAAAACTTTAATCCATTTCCCCCCTCCCCCCCCATCCACCACCACCACTGAGTCCTCCCTTGGCTTCTCAAGGCTCTACTTCTTTGTTCAACTGGGAGAACAAAATGACCTGCTAGTCTCTTTCCCCCCCCCACCCCATGGCCATTTCAGTGCTGCTGCACCACCAGCTAACAGAATGTGACCAGCCCGTTTCAGAGTACTGCAGCGCTGGTGTTGATTGACCTCCGCAATCGGATGCTCAATGCCATTTTGAAGGTTGGAAGTTTTCTGACGCTGAGGCTTGCTGGAGCTTTGCTACGTATTTCTTCAGAATTGACTCAAAACGAAAGCTCGCTGCTTTTACCCATCATAGAACCACTCTGTGGTATGGAACGCTCTGTGTTCTCTGTACATAAAAAGAGTTGTTGCCCCCACCCCCCTCCCCTCCCCACCCCCCATGCGAAAATAAATGTGACAAATACCACAGAGTAGCACTGTTGGTCACACCACTGTATCCATGTGGCTTTGACCAGCTTATGCCTGTGACTTTTGAAGGTGTGTTTACAGTTGTACTGAACGCCTGCAATTATACAGTCTCTTTGGGATGAGGACCATGGCTGCCCCTGGGAGCTCTGTGGCAGACAAATGATCCCATTGAGTGTTTATTTTGTTAGAATTGTGGAAATATTTTATGTAAAGGCCGATTGATGTCCATGCATTCTAACAGGTTCCAGCTTTGACCAGGACTGTATCAGTGTTTCTGGATGTAAATATATGAGACTCTGTATTGTGCCTGAAAACACTTACATGAGAAGTGTATTAAACCTACACACTGGTTTTTAATAGTTGTGTTGCTACCATTGGTTCTGTGGCATTCCACAGCCACGACTTGTCTTTTAATAACTTGCGTTTTTTTTTCAAAATTGTTTGTGTAGATACGAATTTTTTAAATAAATATTGAACCTAATCCATAGTCTATGGCTTTAGAGGGAATCGTGAACATGGGATGGAAGGAAGACTTTGGACTGACTTACATTAAGCGGCTGAGGGTACTCTTGAACGTTGAGACCAAACGGGGCAAAGGACCTTCGTTCCAACGTCTCACAAACCTGGGAATCCTTCGGTTTGGGGGTCCCACTTCTCAGAGCAAAATTGCACTTTGCTGGGAAGCCGATAAGGCGACTTGGTGTCAGGTATATGATGTGATAAGGTGCTATATAATAATAACAAGGATTATTATCATCCGAGTTAAGGTACAACAGGAGTTCTCAGCTTCCAGCAGTTCCAGCAAAACCATGTTACCCCCACACACCCCCTCTGGGGGCCCGAAAGCCTTGGCTCTCGCCGACCCTGTGCCTAATACTGTCTGGAAGTAGGTAATCGGGGGGAGTGGGGGGAGGAGAGTGCGCATTCCCACCATTTATCTCCGGAATTTCCGGGCGTGGGTGGGAATTGCACGGAAGCCGCGGCTCGGTCTGGATCCGCCGGTGCCGGGTTTCCGCCTCCGTCCGACCGTCCGTCCGTCCGACCGACCGACGGGAAAATCCCGACGTGGGCCGCGATCGGCGACGCAACGGGAACCGTTCTCTGGATCTCACCGCCGGCCCCGGGGTCCGGGCGTGGCCTCCGTGCCGGCCCGAGGGCGGCGTCTCGCGCTGGACCGCGGTCGGGGACCCGGGTAAAGCGACTCGATTTCCCCTCCGGCGTGAACGGACCAGGACCGGACCCCGACCGGGGGGCGGGGGGGGTCGGGTCGGGCTCTCCCTTCACCGCCCGCTATGGCTATTCCGCCGTCTCCGCCCGAAACACGCGGCCGCTCCGCGATCATCATCATCACCACCACCATCATCATCATCACATGGAAGGGTGGGGCGGGTCCGCGCAGTGACTGCGGACCCCCTCCCACTCACTCACTGATCCCGACTCCGCCCTCCAACTCACAACCCGGACCGGGAGTCACACCGAGAGAGAGAGAGAGAGAGAGACCCGCAGCAGTGGGGAGGGGGGGACTGAGCTGTGGGTGTGGGGGGGTGTGGGGGGGGGGGGAGGGGGGGTATCAGTCGCCATGACCCTGCGGCTCGGGCTCGGGCTGGTGGTGCGGGCGGCCCCCCGGGCGGGGCTCAGGCCCGCGGGCCCCGACACCGGACACCGCTACAGCAGCTCCGGTAGGTACCGGGAGGGGAGGGGGTGTGGGGGGGGAGAGGGGGTGACGGGGGGGGGGAGGGGGGTGTGGGGGGAGAGGGGGTGTGGGGGTGTGGGGAGGGGGTGACGGGGGGGGGGTGACGGGGGGGGAGGGGGTGTGGGGGGGGAGAGGGGGTGACGGAGGGTCTCTGTTTGAAGGCGCAACAATAATAATGATAATAAATGCGGTGATGACGGAGACGTTTCAGAGCCCCAAAAGGGTTTTTTTTTGCGCTCAAAAAAGTTGGGGCCAAACTTTTTTTTTTTTTCTTTTCTTTTTTTGGTTCTCTTTGCGAACTTCCAACTTCCCTCCGCGGCCCCGAGAGCGCGTCTGTGGGGGGAGAGGGGGAGTGGGGGAGAGAGAGGGGGGGAGGGGGGGGAGGGGGAGAGTAGGGGGGAGAGAGGGGGGTGAGGGGGGGGGAGGGGGGGGGAGGGGGAGAGAGGGGGGGAGGGGGGGGGGAGTGGGGGGGGGAGGGGGAGAGTAGGGGGGAGAGAGGGGGGGAGGGGGGGGGAGGGGGGAGTGGGGGGGGGAGTGGGGGGGAGAGGGGGGGAGTGGGGGGTGAGGGGGGGAGAGAGGGGTTATCACTCAGACTTTGCGGTTTGTTGGCTGAGGGTCAGGGGCTGAGGGTCAGGGGCTGAGCCCCGAAAATCGCCATCAAATTCACCCCCAAAAAAGCGCTGAGAGAGAGAGAGAGAGGAGAGAGAGGCCGTGATGGCGGGGGTTTGCTTTGTGCTGTTTTTCTCTCTCTCTCTCTCTCTCTCTCTGTGACTCTCAGCACTCGCCCCTGTGGTGGTGGTGGTGATGGTAGTAGTGATGGTAGTGGTGGTAGTGGTGGTGGTGGTGGTGATGGACTTGCACTTAATAATAATAATAATCCTCGCGTCTGACACAGCGCCTTATCGCGTCTGCGAAGGGCTTCGCAGAAGGCACTGCGGTCGCTGCGTATTTTTTTGTTTGAGCTCTAAGTTACTGTGTAAGTTATAGGAAATTCAACGGTCTCTTTGGGCAGATGTACGACTTAGACGATTATGTGATTCGTGCAGAGCAGACCTGTGCGCGCTTCACTGGAGTCGTGAATTCTTATTTTAAGGACTGTTCTGGGTTTGCTGCAGAGCAGTAGCGAGTGAGGGACACAGTAGTGTGGGTGTTACTGTACATCGTAACACTCGTATGGTTACACCCGGCTCAATCAGTAGCGCTCTTGCCTTTGACTCAGAAGGTTGTGGATTCAAGCTCCTAATCAGCCCTCTTTATCCGAAGGTGGACACGACTGATAATCCAGCTCTACGCTGGAGTTGACCGGCTTTCTCATTGGCTGACGCTCCAGTTTAGGGCTCGATGATCAGAAGTGCCCTTCTTCCTATAAGACCTTAAACCAAGATCCCATCCACCTGTTCAGGTGGACTTTACAGATCGCATCGTGTTATTCAGAAAGTGAAAGGGAGTTTCACCCGGTGTCCTGGTCAGCAATCCCCCAAATAAAACTGGTCATTCACTTTGTGGCTGTTTGTGGAACTTTGCTGTGTGCAAATTGGCTGCCTCATTCACTTACAAAATACACAGTCACTGCACTTTACAGTATATGCTGTAAAGCGCTTTTAGACCTTCTCCCGACATGAAAGGCATTAATATCAAATGTAAGGAATGTTTTTTAGTTACACAGGAACATAATAATGCAGTACTGTGGCCAAACGTTACAGTGGAACCAGCTCATCTCCAAGGAGTCTCTGCTTACCTCCCTCTCACCCCAAGGAGGATAGTCAACGCAGCAAAATACAGTAATGACATTAGTGCAGTGACATAGTATAACAGTGACATGGTAACAGTAATAATGACATACTAACACTTTTAATACAGTACAATATAGTTATGCATTAATAGTCCCAATTGAAGTAAGATAGTAGTTACATGGCGAAAGATTTACTTGGTGAAAAGTTTCCTTACAACAACAAAAAGATTTAATCTATAGAGCGTCTTTCACGTCGGGAGGACGTCCCAAGGCGCTGGACAGTTGGGTCAGGACCCGAGCATTGGGGGGAAATGGTCAGGGTGAGAGGAGGGAAGGGAGGGAGCGAGGAAGGGGTAGAGAGTCGAGAGGGGAGCTGAAGGCACAGTCAAAGAGAAAGGTCTTGAGACCGGCCTTGAAGGAGGAAAGGGAGGAAGCGGCGAAGGCACTGGGGGATAGAGTTCCAGATCCTCGGGGCTGAGAGGCCGAAGGTCCGGCCACCGATGGTAGGGCGGTTGGGGCGGGGGGTGTGGAGCAGACCGGAGCCGGAGGAACGGAGGGTACGGGCGGGTGAGTAGGGGGATAGTAGGTCGGAGAGGTAGGAGGGAGCGAGGCCGTGAATGGCCTTGTAGGTGAGGGTGAGGATCTTGAATTCGAACCTTACTCCACACGCCTCTGTTTGCCGAGCAGTAAGTAGGAACCCGGCTATGGTCGATTCGCAGAGCTCTTTTCCGGGGATGATAATTCCTTGAAAAAAATAATGATAATAAATTGGTCGCTTCAATCCACGACTGTTTGTGGGACGCTGCCGTGCGCAGTCGATTTTGCCAACAAAATATCCAGTCAGTTCACTTTACAGTATATCATGTGAAATGCTTTGAGACATCTTGAAGACGTGATAAGGCGCAGTATCAAATGCAAAGATTATTTATAACATTATTTACACTAACAATCGCACAGTGTCAGTAACATAATAGTTATGCAATAACGGTAATACAGTAACGTATTAAGTAACGCTTCCTGAGCTGCTGTTTTGTACCTTATGCGCTGACCACTATGCTACAGGACTCCACGAGAATGTTAACAGTCATCCTTTTTTTGGGGGGGTCTTAATTTACTAAAAATGGAACCACGCTTTTAAAATTCCATTCATATTTTTAATGCAATTAAAATAATCCAATTTGACATAATTCAATATTATGTAATGAACCGTGTGCGCTGTAGCACAGTGCCCCACTGTATACCGTGAGTTGCCAGAAACCCGGAGCAGAATGTGGCCTATTTTTTTAGAAGACAGACCGGATCTTGTACACTTTGGGAAGTCAGAATTGCTGAGTTTGCTGATCTCAATCCCTTTGTTGTGGCATAATTTTGACATTTTAAAGCACTGAAGCATACTGTACTTACGCTGCTGCTTGTTACTGGTTCCAGTGGGTGTACGCTGTGGTGTTTGCGTTCCTGGTGAGTGGGCAGAGTTTCTGCTCTGAGCCTAATGACTAACGAGCTCACTTCTCAATGACGTTTGCTATCTCCCAGTTCATTGGTTAACGATGGTAGTTGATAATAATAATAATAATAATCCTCGCATTTGATATAGCGCTTTTCACGTCGGGAGGACGTCCCAAAGCGCTTCACAGATCACACTGTAAAGTGAATTGACTGTATATTTGTGGGCGAACGCGGCAGCCAATTGCGCACAGCAATGTCCCACAAACAGTCGTAGATTGAAAATGACCAATTTATTATTGTTTTTGGTTTTGGAGGGATTATTAGAACAAAACCGGCAGCTCCTCTGCAAACCAGATTAGAAACGAAACAGGAGACGGTGAGGCGTCCCGTCAGCCGGGCTGATGGTAACTATTAGCACAGTTGTCAAAATTGTCCAGAGATAACATCTTGACGAGGCGTGCCCTATCTCTGACGTCCAGATCCCTCCTAACCCTCAGCAGGCTCTGGCCTGCTTCACGTCCTGCCTTGCCTGCCCCACCATTGACGAGCCGGCCTTCTGCCATTCTGCCCTCACCCTCTGGAACTCCATCCTGCAGTCCCTCCACCTCACCCCCTCCCTTGCCTCCTTCAAGATCTGTCTCATTGATTGTCCAGTGTCTCGGGACCTCCTCCCAACGTGAAAGGCGCTATACAAATGTGAGTTTGTTGTTGTTGAGAAAAGTTCGGGTGTAGTTACGTATTCCATATACAAACACTACCAGAAAGGTCCAAGCTGTTGAAATTCCCTCTATGATGTCCAGATCTTTACTACAAAGAACAAGTTCATCAAGGCACTTATTTAGGGTGTCAACCTGGCTCAATTGGTAGCACTCTCGTCTCTTGAGTTGGAAGGTTGTGGCGGCTTAAAGCCTCACATCAGGACTTTAAAGTGAAATATATAAATGACCTGAATATAGGAACAGAAGAGCAAATCTCCCCGGTTTGGTGAAGCTGGGAATTGTCAGGAAGAGAGGACAGTGGAAATTCGAAAAAGACAGAGATTATGTGAATGGGCAAAACTCTGGCAGATAGTGTTTAACATTGCAGTGTAAGGAGGAGCACATTTTGGCACAAAGAATATTGGGAAGGAATATGTTCTATGAGGAAGCAGGAGGAGAGGTAGATTAGTGGTTAGAGCACTTGCCTCTCAAGCAAGAGACCTGGGTTCGATTCCCGGCAGGGTGAATCCTTGGGCAAGTTTCCTTACTCCAGACACCTGATAATAATCGCTCAAAAAAGACTAATAATAAATTGGTCATTTCAAACCATGACTGTTTGTGGGACACTGCTGTGTGCAATTGGCTGCCGCATTTCACCCACAAGTATACGGTCAATTCACTTTACAGTCTATTCTGTGAAGCGCTTTGAGACGTCGAGAAGACGTGAAAATTGCTGTATCAAATGCAAGAATAATTATTATTAAACAACTCCTAACGGGAGGTGCAGGGATGCATTTACTCACTGCTTCTTATTCAGTCTGTAAACTCTTCTCACCCCTCAGGACTCCTTGGGATTCAGGAACGGACGCTGGTTGCTGTGAAACCAGATGGAGTCCAGAGGCGGCTGGTGGGAGAAATAATCCATCGCTTTGAACAGCGAGGATTTCAGCTGATCGGAATGAAGCTGGTGCAGGTAGGAAGGATGCTGCACTTATCCTCACTAACCAGCATGTTACCAGGGATGAGTGGGTCTTGAAGCTGAGATCATAACATTTAAAGGGGGGAATTGAATTACTGTTTGAAGAGAAACAATGTAAAAGGATAGAGGGAAAAAAATAAGGATTAGATTTAGGAACAGAGACACAGGAGTAGGCCAGTCATCCCCTCAAGTCTTTTCCACCATTCTGTTAGATCATGACTCATCTGTACCCCAACTCGAATTACCTGCCTTTGCCCCATATAACAATCATATTAATATTACGTAACAAAAATCTATCCACCTCAGTCTTTAAAATTTGAATGGATCCAGCATCCACGTCCTTTTGGGGGAGATAGTTCCAGATTTCCACTACTATTAAAGTAACTCACTGAAGTGGAGTAGCGCACGCCCCTCCCCTCCTCTGTTGTAATTCCCTGTATTTCTACATAAAATGTTACTGTCAGCACCGCTCGAGAAACAGATCCTGAACTCCCTCCTTCTGCTCCTGTTCGTCTACCACTTTTTTTTTTACATTGAAAATGCTGAGAGATGCAGACCGTGAATTACACCTTGACCCCTCGCTAAAAATGATCAGGCAAAATGTGTCTTGTTATATCAGTTTTGTATTTCTGTTCAGCAGTAACATGTGTACTGCATACTGAGACAGTTCTATCATCCCTTATATGTACACCCACATTCTTCCACGACGCCAGGTACTATCAATTACTATTTAAGTTAAAGCAAATTGGGAAGCTTCAGTCAATGAGAGGTTTATTTTACACCTCTGTGACCGAGGCTGAACCTGTTTGTGTATTCCCTCCTTTGATTTATACAGAGAGCTCAAGAAAGCACGGTTAAGTTTGCTCAACAGAATTTTACTGTAGCTTCGATGAAATCCACAACCCTCAGCATTAAACCTTAAACAACATGATAAATATTGACAAACAACAAACATTAATCACACTTAAACTACACAGCCTAGCAGCTACTGGCAATAAAGTTAATGTAAAAGTGCATGAAGAACCAACGCCTGACTTAACTCCTCGTTAATCGTCAGAGCACGTACCTTCGCTGTTATCAGGTAGAAAAATAGTGACCACGAGCACGTGACGCTCATTCATTTATGGGCATTATTCAGCCAATCCCCAAATTAACCATTTGTATAACACCAATTACTTGATGTAATTTGTGCCTTTTTATGATCCTCCCCTTAGTTGCCCAATAGGAGACACGTACACTTCCGATCCTTCATTTGTATACTAGAATGGTAAATTACCCGCCCATTTGTTGCAATCGACGCTAAAATCAGACTTGTTGACACCGTAAGTATCAAAAACGTTAAATACATTTTTAAAAAAGTGTATTTATTTTACGCACAAAAAAATGCGTGTAAAAAAACACATTTTTCCATACATTTAAAAATCTAAAGGTGTAAATTTGAATGGATCCAGCATCCGCAACCTTTTGGGGAAGAGAGGATGACTCAATATATTTAAACCACAGACAGGCATAGAAAACAAAAGGGATGACCACGACAATACCTATTTCAGTCAAATGTCTTCCTGTCCTGTCTTCATCAATATGTAGCTACTCAGGAGTTGCGGGTGTACTGTGCAGCTGATACTGTACACTAGACTGCTTGTTGCACCTCTCACCGGCTCCAGTGAACCAGAAACAAGCGAAGATGCAGGCAGTGAGGTGTTGGAGAGTGGCCCGACTACAAGGCATTGGCTGATTTACTTACTTATTCATTATAGGCTCCAAAGGAAGTGCTTTCAGAGCATTATCATGATCTGCAGGAGAAGCCTTTCTACCCAGCGCTGATCAACTACATGAGTTCAGGCCCCATCGTGGCTATGGTGAGGACTGGGCTGTGGGGAGCGTGTGGAGATGGTATGGCTGTTAGGATCTTCTGATCTGCAGATCTAGTGATGGTTGGGCTGTGGGTGTGGGCAGAATGTGGCTGTTTTCTGTCAGCAGGGAATCTGACATGCAAAAACCCATCATGATGCAGAAAATATACCAAACAAAACTCCACATATGTATGGTTTCTGTTTGGTACGAAGTTCACCTTCTTCCACAGAGAGACACACCTGCTTACCCAATCCCACTATTACCACAAGTTGACTTGAACCAAGGATTTGAGCTCCTACGTGAATAGTGGGTACTGCTGAACATAAATCAGTTGCAACCACACAGCCTACTGTTGTGGTGTGGTGAGCTTCCAGCTGTACGCTCAGCTAGGACTACCCAACCTGTTTATACGGTTATCAAGAAGCGAGTGGGTATAATTCCATCCCTCAGTGACCGATCTGCTCCTCCAAGTCTCTTAATCATCCACAAATATACCTTCTCGTATTGTGGACCTGCCTGGCATAGGAACTGGACTACCAAGACCACTCCAGGGATCAAGCTGATTGAGATCTTTCATTGTCAGGCACATCATTTTGTTGCCAAGGGAGCCCCAAAGTGTCCCCGCTTACCACGGCCCAGGATTGAGCAAGTCTGTGCCTCTGGTGAGCATGAGGTGATAACACCTGACGTCTTAAGTCATGAAAGCTTCACCTCTGGTGTCCTCTCACTTTCTCCCAACCCTAGGGCTCACTCCCCCCACCCACCCCCACATTCACTCCCACACTCATTGACTCCTTCTCCCCCCACCCTCTCACGAGCTCACCCTGCCCCGTCCAGTACTCACTTCCTCTTCTCCCCCCCCCCCCCCCCTCCCACACACACTCTGTTACCTTGAGGTTGTCTCCTGCTTTTACTGTGACTGCTCCTCAGGTCTGGGAAGGTCACAACGTTGTAAGAATGTCTCGGGCGATGGTGGGAGACACCAATCCTGCAGAGGCACGTCCTGGCACCATCCGCGGGGACCTCTGTGCCCACATCAGCAGGTAGGTGCCGGTAACACGCCGGCATTGCTTCAACAACAACTTGCATTTATATAGCGCCCCTCACGCAGGGAGTGTCCCAGAGTCCTTGGCTCATTCTCAGCATCGTACAGTGGGTAGGCTGCAGTTACAGTGTTGTCTGGTTCTGGGTGCCTTGCCTCAGAAAATGTCACGTTCATAGAGACAAAGGGTACAGTAGAGATTGGGATGATACCAAAGATACGAGACTTGAATTATGAGAAGAAACCAGAGAAACGAGTTCAGAAGTTTCATTTACACAGAGGATAACTTGCATTTGTACACTGCCACTGACTAAAAACAGTGGCTGAAGCAGAATTGCTTTTAACAGAGAATTAGATAAAACATCTGAAAAGGAAAAGGAAAAATCTAGAAAAGTGTGGAGGGAAAACACACATAAGCCAAAAGAGGTATGATGGGCTGAAAAGCTACCAGCTATCCTGAAAGAAATCTACAGCACTCCCACACTGGCTATTTCATCATTTGGTCCATGATTATCTGTGTTGATGCTCACTCCCCTGCTAGAGTTACCTGATCTTAATCCATTCCTCTTCTCTCTACGTGCTCCTATAATCTTTCTTACAGCAAAAACGCTCTCAACTTTTCAAGTCTCTCCACATTCACTGTAACACATCATCACTAACAATAATACTTGCTTTTGATTTAATAATAATAATCCTTGCATTTGATATAGCCCTTTCACGTGTACTAGACGTCTCAAAGCGCTTCACAGAACAGACTGTAAAGTGAATGGACTGTATATTTGTGGACGAAATGCAGCAGCCAATTGCGCACAGCAGTGTCCCACAAACAGTCGTGGATTGAAATGACCAATTTATTATTAGTCTTTTTTGAGGGATTATTATCAGACGTCTTGCAAAGCGAGTGCTCTAACCACTGAGCTACAGGACTTTAGAGCCTTAATACGTCTAAAGGTCTCAAAGCACTTTTTTTTTTTTCCCTGTAAAGTGAACGCAGCAGCCTATTGTGCACAGTAATAATCTTGCAAACTGCTGTGAAGTAAATGACAATTTATTTTTCCACATGGGTACTGTTGGCAAGGACACTGGGGGAAACTTCCTTTTCTTTTCCAATAGTGCCATGACATCTTGAACAGGATGAGATAGATGTTGGTTTAACATCTCATCCGAAGGACGGTATCTTTAATTTTCTCAGAACCGCAGGTGCTACCAGCAGACCCAGACTAACCCCTAAAGCCACTTTACAGTATATTCTGTGAAGCGCTTGGAGACGTCTCAATGACTTGATAAGGCACTATATCAAATGCAAGGAATATTATTATTGTTATATTATGCCTGCTATGATCCCAGTGGATCTCCACTGCGTTCTTTCCATGTTGTCCTATCTATAAGGTGTATCCCTCTACAGCCTAAACAATGTCTTGTACAAATGTAACATTATCTCTGTTCTTATACTCAATACTCCCTATTTATAGAAGCTAGAATCCCATGTGCTCTTTAACTTTAACCAGTTTGCATCTGTACTCCCAAGGTCTCTGTTCTCCAGCCCATTAAAAATGATTACCAGATAGGGTGCATTTCCTTTTTGTCTGACAACCTGAAAAACTGCTTCGTTTGACAGAAACGCCATCCACGCCAGCGACTCTTTTGAAGTAGCCAAGAAGGAGATCAGTCTGTGGTTCAGTGACCAGGAACTGATAGAATGGCAGTCCTGTATACACAGTAACCTCTACAACATGTAGAGTATTCTGGAGCCCAACACTCCGAAGAACTCTTACTACCTCCCGTGGTGTTTCCTGGTAAATGAATCTCCTGTTCAAATGCTGTCGTGTCTGAAGACTCACTGTCCACATTAATTAATATAATCCCACTTTCCATCAGTGTGGAAATGGCTGCCTTGTTTGAACCTGAAAACTAATGGGAGTGGTTGTGAATTCCTATGTGGTGCTTACTCCAGGCTGGTGCCAGTGTATCATGATATTCTTGTAGGATACAATCCTTCATTAAAGTGATTTTCATGTTCAGGTCGTGACAAGTTTGCTTGTATTAGGAATTTGTTGCTGATCTGCAACTCTGGAAGTTTGCTTATCAACCTTGTTCCAAAATATCTAATCATGGTGTGGTACAGAGCTGCCGAGGTCTATCATGGTACGGTCGCAGTCTCCTGGTGGCTCACTATTGGCCTGGGAACAGACTGTCCACCATTCACACAGTCACCAGGAGAGGAATTTGCAACAGATTTACACACTACAACTTGCATTTATATAGCGTCCCTCACGTGGAGTAGCACCTCTACACTCGAGAAAGGAGTGTATGCTTTATCTACTTTGATACACAATCATTCCTTGTTACGATTAAGGACACTGACATGTTAATCTGTTGCTGAGGATGAGCTGCCTTGCTAAAATCAAACAGTTTGTTAAAGCAGGATGGAGAACCACATCAGTGTAGCTCTGATCTTGACCAATACAACCCTGATCTAACCCAGACTCCCAGCCACTGGTTGGTGCACAGTCGTACCAGTATTGTGGTTCACAATATTTGCTTCCTTCAGCACTTTGGGGCTTCCTTCTGATATCAAAGGTGCTATATAAATGTAATTTTGTTGTTGTTGTTCCTTTCATTCACCCCACCTCCCCCACCATCAAATGTGTGAAACCTTTTCCAGACATGACTCACAAGTTTAGTGCAGTCAACTTGCAACAACAAGAAATTACATTTATATAGTACCTTTCACGTTGGAAGAACATCCCAAGGCACTCGATTCAAACAGTGAAGTAACCTTACAGCAGAGCTGTATTACCTTGGAAGAGAAAGAAACCTGGCAAGATTTAAAGTTGGGAAGAACATTAAAAACAGTTACATCTCAGGAACTGAGGGAAGTAATGTCCTGGTTGATGTTTCTAGCAGTTCCGTATATCTTGGAATAGCAGGATTGGGAGGACAATAAATGTTTTCCCAAGATTCAGAAAAGGAGCATCAGTGGGGAACAAACTGGGACTGACAGGCCAATCACTAACATAGGTGGGGAAGATACGGGGAACATTATGAGACGTATATTCTACGATTTCAAATTAATCGAAAGAAGCAATATATACTCTCTTACAAACCACCTGGAATTGGATGAGGAGGTAACCGAACAAATGGATTAAGAAGATCCAGTTAATGTAAAGTTAAAAGCTCGTGGAATAAATACTCTGATACCCTGAGCCCCAGTGTAGTGTGTGTGTAAAAAAAACTGATTCCTCATTTATCAGGACCTTTCCTGGCTTTATTGAAGATGCAGAACTTATACACAAAATGGTACAAATACAATGTGGACCTAACTACTGAGAAATACAAAAATCAGAAGCAACTGGATAAGCCACCGGACCCTGGGCTCCTGTGGAACATTTCCTCCTGAAGAACTAACAAATTTGGCAATCCGTGATCTTGTTGATTCGTATCATTGCCAGCTTTGAAGTGGATCAGCCACAATGTGTGATTGTGCTCCAGCACACAAGATAATCCGAGCTTCCAGCGTTACACCCACAATCGTTAATCAGACTTCCTGAAGCCACAGACTGTGAACGGTAGATACTGCTCCAGCACTTCACACTGGTGCCCAGGCAAGATATAAACTAAATTTAAAAAATAACTGTAGGAGGTGAAACACTACAGGTGCCAGCTGATCACTATCATCAGCGATGACAGCAGCAATCATCGCTGGCAGTGCCATGTGATGGACTATCTCCAATAGTCTGATTTAGATCATCCAACACCCAGCCACTGGCTTATTACCCCCCTCCCTCCCCAAATGCACACATTAGGTGTGAACACGTTAAAGCCCCACCCCCCTAACCTAACCACCACCCAAGTAAAGTAACACAATCTGAACAGTGAGATGGGACGTTTGCTGAAATTCAGTCGCGTTAAGTTTCCGTTTCAAGATGTTTCAGAAAAGAAAGAACAAACAAACAAACACACGGTTTCACAGTCTCTTATCGGGAGGAGTTGGAGCTGGACCGGCTGCGGTGACGTCGACGTCCTGGCGATCGGGATCGGGAACGCCTGCGGACAGGAGACCGTCGCCTCGGTGACCGGGACCTGCAACAGATCAAACAGTGTTATGTTAACAGAGCTGTGCATTACATTTCTACAGCGCCTTTCATGTCAGGAGGACGTCCCGGGTGCATTAAATCGGGAACCTGCCCCCCCACTCCAAACAACGGTGTCGTTTCAGGAATATGCCCCACACCCAGCAAACCACACCAATCCAGAACCTGCCCCCAGCCCAGCAACCACCAGCAATGCTCAAAACCAGAAGGGCTCAGTGGTGTTGTGGTGTCAAACCCACTATCTGCCTGAACCAATCAACGCCATTACTCTCGTTTCCAAAGGACTATTTCCACTGACCTTCTCCTCATGCGTGGCGGGGTCCTGCGCCACATGGGGGGAGGTGGTGGCATCCTGCGTGGAGGCGTCATTCTTCGCGGCGGAGGCCGGGGGCGCGGGGCTAACACCGCTGTAGCTGTCACTTCCTGTCCGTCAATCTGACCTGCAGGGGAGAGAAAATAGGTGGAACACGAATGAGGCAGGAACTGAAGAGACAGACACAACCCTACACAAAGCACTCGCTTACTGAACAGCCACCCTGACACTCCAGGAGCCTGGAGTGTACAGGATTAGGTCATAATAATAATAATAATAATCCTTGCATTTGATATAGCGCTTTTCACATCGGGAGGACGTCCCAAAGCGCTTCACAGAACACACTGTAAAGTGAATTGACTGTATATTTGTGGGCGAACGCGGCAGCCAATTGCGCACAGCAATGTCCCACAAACAGTCGTAGATTGAAAATGACCAATTTATTATTGTTTTTGGTTTTGGAGGGATTATTATTAGGTGTGTGGAGTAAGGAAACTTGCCCAAGGTTTCGCCCTCTGCCTGGAATTGAACTCAGGTCTCTCACTTGCAAAGCGAGTGCTCTAACCACTGAGCTACAGGACTCCACATGACCTCTGACTGCTGCATTCACCTACAAACAGACAGTCACCGCACTTAACAGCAAATACTGCGAAATGCTTTGAAGATGTTGAGACACCGGGGATAAGGTGTATATTAAATGGAAGGTTTATTAACACCCTCTTGCCAATGTACCTGTAGAAATACAATCATTTTAGTAAATTTCATAGTAACAGAATAGTTATTAATAATGTTGTGGCTTCTTTTTCTGGGTGGGCAGGGTAGAGAAAGAGACCTGCAAAACAGAATGTGCACCAAGAGCAACTACTTACACTTCACTACAACAATCTAAGCACTGAATATTGCAACTGTCACCTTTTATTCAGCACTCTGCACATCCCCCGTAAATGCCAGATGTTAAACGGGGGTATTGACGCTCACTGCACCCTTGTGTAAAGGTCTTTATCGAGTAGCTCACAGGCACCTCAGTGTTGTCCATTACCTCCATCCATGTGCTTGAGAGCTTTCTCTGAGTCATCCGGGTTCTCAAACTCCACGTAGGCGTAGCCCTTAGAGAGGTGTGGGTGCATACGATCCAACGGCATGTCAATCAGTTTGATCTTCCCGTAGGAAGCGAAGATCTCCATGATGTGTTCCTGCAGCAATGGGACAAACGAGTCAGAAACCTAGCAGGTAGTTCATTGTACCACGGTGTCCAATTTTCTGCAGCTAATGGGCAAGCAAGATTACCACACTCGAATAACATGGGCCCAGAGCACACGGCAGACTCGCCAGCAATCCTTTTGGAAAAGGAAGTCGTATTTCAGCACTGAGTAAGTTAAATGTGTTGGAAATCAATGAGGACTGCACCGGTTAGGTTTAAGAAGAAAAAGTCAAACTCCAGCACTGAGGGAGACAGAAAGTCAAACATGACCACCTGAATTTGAGACATTCAATCCACAGCATCACAGAGTGTGCTCAGGAACTCCGGTTTCATTTAAGATTGAGCCAAGCTACAGAAAATATTGTTGTGTTATCTATTGTAATAGTTAACAGCCCTGTTGCTGAATATTTTATTCTAATTTTAGCTGAAATATTATCCATAATTCCATAGCTGCACCAGGCTCCTGGAGCCCACCAACCTCATCCTCCACCAGCTCCCATTCCTCAGCAAATTAACTTCAAAGATCCGGATCCTATTAACTTTAAATGTCACTGGCCCTGACCAGCTGGGATTTATAAATACACTCGCAAAGAACCGAGGCAGCACCTTGGTGACGTTCCTGGTTAGCCGGCCAATGTGCACTTTGGTGGGTCGGGGAGCTGGGCTTTTCTTCCGTTCCTTGTCATCCCGTTTTGGAGACTTCGATCTGCCAACACAGCAAGTGACAGGATAAGTGCTGCATCACTGCAGCGCTGCACTACACACAGTGAATTCCTATCACATGATCTACTGCAGTTAGTCAAAAGTACCGGGAATTATTTACACTAAAAAAAAATCTATCGATCTCAGTCTTGAATATGTTCAATGACTGAGCACCCACAGCTTTCTAGGGTAGAGAATTCCATAAATTCACTACCCTCTGAGTGAAGAAATGTTTCCTCAACTCTGTTCTAAAAGGCTGACTTTAATCCTGAGACTATGACCCCTAGTTTTAAATTCTCCAACCAGGGAAACAGTCTCACAATATCTACCCTGTCAAGACCCTTAAGAATCTTATAGGTTTCTATAAGATCACCTTTAATTCTTCTATCTTCTAGAAAATATAGGCCTAGTCTACTCAACCTTTCCTCGTAGGTCAACCCCCTCATCCCAGGACCAATCTAGTGAACCTACGTTGCACCCACTCTAAGGCGAGTATATCCTTTCTTAGATAAGGAGACCAAAACTGCACACAATATTCTAGGTGCAGTCTCACCAAGGCCCTATACAATTGCAGAAAGACTTTCCTACTCGTGTACTCTAACCCCTTTGCAATAAACGCTAACATGCTATTAGCTTTTCTAATTGCCTGCTGTACCTGCATACTAACTTTCTGTGATTGTTGTACAAGGACACCTAAATCCCTCCGATTACTAACACTACTTAGGCTCTCCCCCTCTAGAAAATAATCTGCTTTTCTATTTTTTCTACCTGGATGAATAACTTCACACTTGCCCACATTATACTCCATCTGCCATCTTCTTGCCCACTCACTTAACCTGTCTAAATTCCTTTGCACCCTCCTTGTGTCCTCCTCACAGCTTACTTTCCCACCCAGCTTTGTATCGTCCGCAAATTTAGATACATTAAGGTCTATTTCCTCATCTAAGTCATTGAAGTAAACTGGAAACAGTTGAGGCTCAAGCACTGATCCTTGCGGCACTCCGCTAGTCACAACCTGCCAATCTGATAAGGACCCGTTTACCCCTACACTCTGTTTTCTGCCTGTTAACCACTCTTCGATCCATGCTAATATATTACCCTTAATTCCATGAGCCCTAATCTTAAGTAACAACCTTTTATGTGCCACCTTGTTGAATGCCTTCTGAAAATCTAAATACACTATATCCGCTGGTTCCCCCCTATCTAACCTGCTAGTTACATCTTCAAAACCCTCTATAAGATTTGTTGAACACGATTTCCCTCTCGTAAAATCCCCAAATCTTATTTTGACTTTCTAAGTGCCCCATGACGAGGTCCCTCCCCTCACCCTGACCATTTCCCCCCTGCTCGGGTCCCGACCCAACTGTCCAGGGCATTAGGATGTCCTCCCGACGTGAAAGGCGCTCTATAAATGAAATCTTGTTGTTGTTGTTCCTAATTATAGACTCTAGAATTTTCCCTACGACTGATTTCAGACTAACTGGTCTACATTTCCCTATTTTTTCTCTCCCACATTTCTTAAATAACGACCTTACGTTTGCGACCTTTAAATCAACAGGAACCTGGGAATCCAGGGAATTTTGGAAGATCAAAAACAGTGCATCTACTATCTCTGCAGCCAAACCCGAGGATGCAGGTCATCAGGTCCAGGGGATTTATTGGTTTTTAGTCCCATCAATTTCTCTAGTACTATTACTTTACTGATATTAATTTCTTTATTAAGTTCCTCACGAACATTAGTCTCTTGGTTCCCCACTATTTTTGGTAAGTTTTTAGTATCTTCTAACGTGAAGAGAGAAGCAAAATATTTGCCATTTCTTTATTCCCCATTATAAATTCTCCTGTCTCTGCCTGTAAAGGGACACATGTTTACGTTTGTTAACCTCTTCCTCCTTATAAACTTGTAAAAGCTCTTACAATCTGTCTTTATATCTCTAGCTAGTTTACTCTCATATTCCATTTTCTCCGTCTTAATCAGTTTCTTGGTTATCCTTTGATGTTCTCTAAATCCCTCCCAATGCTCAGATTTACAGCTCTTTTTGGCAATATTATAGGCCTCTTCTTTTAATTTTATACTTTCCTTAACTTCTCTAGTTAGCCATGGTTGAACCATTTTTCCCATGGAATTTTTATTTCTCAAAGGAATATGTGTCCGCTGGAAATTATATATCTTTGACCGTTTGCCATTGCTTGTCTACTGTCATATCTTTTAATCTACTTTCCCAGTCTATTTTAGCCAAATCGTCCCTCATACCTGCAAAGTTGGCTTTAAGTTTAAGACCCTTGTTTCAGACTTAACTAATCACGTTTAAACTTAATATTAAATTTCATCATATTATGGTCACTCTGCCCTAAAAGAGCTGATCTTCAAGATTACTGATTAGCCCTGCTTCGTTACACAATACAAGATCTTGGAGAGCCTGTTCCCTGGTTGGTTCCTCAGCATATTGTTCTAGAAAACTATCTCTAATGCATTCCATAAACTCATCCTCTAATTTACTTTTGCCAATTTGGTTTTCCCTGTCTATTTGAAGATTAAAATCATTATTATTGTATTACCCTTGTTACATGCTCCTCTAATTTCCAGATTAATACTTTGCCCAATACTGTAACTGCTGTTTGGGGGTCTATAAAATACTCCCACTGGTGTTTTCTGCCCCTTGTTGCTTCTTAGTTCCACCCATACTGATTCTACATCCTGATTTTCTGACATAAAATCATTTCCCTCTACTGTTTCTATCTCATCCTTTATTAACACCACCCCCCTCGTTTTCCATATTGTCTATCTTTCCTATACGTCAGATACCCTGGAATGTTTAGCTCTCAACCTTGCTCTCCCTATAACCACATTTCAGTAATGGCTACTAGATCGTACCAATTTATCTCTATTTGTGCCATTAATTCATCTATCTTGTTACGAATGCTTTGTGCATTCAGGTATAGCACCTTTAATTTTAACTTTTTACTATTTCCCCTACTCATTAATGCTCTATTTTCTTTGTTAAACTCTTTGTCCCTACTTGACACACTCAGTTCTTGATCTCACAAGTTGCTACTCTGCTCTACAGCCTTGACTTTTCTTATTTGTTTTGTGAGGGTTACATTTAACCGTAACCCTCCGCCCACCCCCACTATTAGTTTAAAGCTCTATCTACCTCCCTAGTTATTCGTTTTGCCAGGACACTGGTCCCAGCCCAGTTTAAGTGGAGCCCACCCTGATGGAAGAGCTCCCTCTTTCCCCAATACTGGTGCCAGTGGCCCATAAAATGAAACCCCTGCCTCCTACACCACTCTTTCAGCCATACATTTAACCCTTTAATCTGCTTGTCCCTGTACCAATTTGCGCATGGCTCAGGTAGTAATCCCGAGATTATTACCTTAGAGATTCTGCTTATTAATTTCATCCCTAGCTCATTAAACTCCCTCATCAGATTGTTATATATCTGCACACAAAATAACACAAAACTTTGGGGGATTAAGGAAAAAATATATAAATTAGAAAGTAACAGAACAATGCAGCAATGTCCCACATATAGCCTTGAAGTGAATGAACTATTTTACCTTGGAGTTATTTTGACATGATGAGACACGCATCGTATCACATGCAAGGATTATTAATTATTAAGCCTATCAAACCAGGCTCCTGAGAGTTCCACATAAATATGGAAATTTCAAACACTGGTATTTTACTTGTCCAGTTAGGACCACTGTACCAATTAGGGTTTTGGCTTGCAGGATTAACAGGAGTCTAATGGGAAGAATCCCAACCCCTGGTGACTAGCCTGCTCGTCCAAGTGCCACTAGTTGTCAGGCTTAGTCCATCAACAACAGTGCCTCGGAGTACTGCTGATCTGACTCATTCAAGAACCAGATTATTGGAACGCCACAGAAGACTGCTTCTATTCTGTTGCCAGGCTGAGCCAGGTTGACATAACAGACACAAACAATGTAAAACAATGACTGACTTGGAGCGGGTTCGCCTCCTGTTGGTGTGTCTGCGGCGGGATGGGCTTGGAGATCCAGAGGAGGTGCTGGAGCTGGAGCTACGGGAACTGCTGGAACTTCCAGACCGACTGGAGGCTGAGGAGGAACTAGACCCACTGCTGGAGGCCGAGGTGGAGCTGGATCCGGAACTGGAACTGGAACTAGACAGGGAACAATGGAGTAGTTACAAGATGTAAGCCATTAACATGTATCAACATCACAGCAAGCCCAAATCTCAGGCCAATTGCTAGTCAACAAAGTGTCCTAAAAGTTCCTATCAGAGTGACCCCAGGTATGAAAGCAAGAACTGCATCCAGGGTTACCTCTCAAATAGCAAACCTATTAGTGAAGAAAGCAGACCTGAACTTTCAGCGACTGGTAAGTCAAATAAAATACGTATGACCCTATTGGGTCGATTTTAGTACCAATCTTACTATTAAAGATATTATAAAATAAAATTGTACTGCAAACAGTGCCTTGTTTGAGAATATTTAGGAACGGAGGGTGAGGATTTACAGAGGGTCCATTTTGTCACAATTTTGCTCCAGACCTGCTGGTGCTGCTCCCTGTCGAGGCACTCCTTCTCTTTCGAGTCTTGTCTCGACCGCGCTCCTTCTCACTCGAGTCCTTGGTACTCGATTTATCCTTGGTTCTCTCTTTGGATTTCTCCTGGGTGTGCTCTTTACGCTTGGTTGGTGAGGGAGCCCTGATGGAATAAAAAGGATGTTGAGTGCTTGAGGCCAGGACACACAGAATTGAAGGTGACAGAGTAGAATCGTACTTCGCCCAAGCCTACGTGGGACAACTGAGACTCCGAGAGAGTGCTAGGAAAGCTCAAAGGTTAATTCCAATTCGAGGGAAGAGCAGGTAGAGCCACTTCAGCAACACTACCTCAACAGCCACCCAACTTCTGTCAAACAGCCCACAGCACCACGTGCATAAATGTGTTGAAATCCATACAAAAACAAAGTGGCCCACACCAATTGATAGATCCATCAACTACCAATCTCATGGATACCTGGCCTGGTTTGTGCACATTGTCCTTTCAGGGTTCAGTTGTCACTTTTTGAACATGCGATAATATCCACACTCTAGCTACATGCTCAGACACGTATGACCCCAGGTCCCACGTCACTTTTATTTGCAATGCAAGCAATGATCTAAAGAACAGTTTCTCTCAAAGCCTAAAGCCCTTTTTCATTTAGTTAGCCTCGGATGTAGCCACAATATAAAGGATGGGATTGCCATGTTCGCATTTCAAAAATATACAGACCATGACCAGGAACAGTTGACTCTATAACTGCCAGTTGATTCCATGACGCTTTCACTTAAACTACCCAATAGCAGCAACACTGTGCACACCGTGCTTCCCATAGAGACAGAAAAGAACAAGTAAAACCTTCCTGAACACGATCAGCCTGGTTGATCAACAAATACAGTACATTATAAGAACTCTTTACATTTTCCTATTTAACACTGCTAGGTCCAGTACAGCACAGATTAGATACTATATAAGTTCTCCTTTAACTGTCCCTTCCAGCATGAATTAGATATGTAGGGACACCCTCTCTACACTGTCCAACCAGTAGAAGTGCAGGGAAAAGGAATGGGCACATTTGAGTTCCTGAATCACATTGCAGGAGAAGAAGAGGAATACAGGCTGTTGTTGAATTGGCTGACCCTGAGATCCACAGACATCCGGCCGTAATGCCACACTTTCATATTATCACAGCCATCGTATCCAAGGCCTCCGGAACCTCGAACATAGTACAATTGGTACAAAGAATTGGGAGGGTCAGGCATTTCAAGAATCAGCAGCATGCAGCTGGCATGACCCTCAGTAAAGCCAGTCTGAACTTCTCTGTACCAAAGTATTCTCTGGGATCCCACCCTCTTTACAAATAACACACAAGATCAAGGCATCAATACATTTACTTACAAGTAGATCAGATTACCTTATTTTTACATCTCATTTTTACCAGCGCAGAGTACAATACCCACAGCTATGCTGCCTGTACATTGACAATTGTCAACAACCTTCCATTTAACATTAAAATTGAATTCATTTTAGGGCTAAAATAAGGAACATCTGTTCCAAGATGTTCTATCTCACAGCACACACCCTACACCTACTCTGTGGAGTCCTGTAGCTCAGTGGTTAGAGCACTCGCCTTGCAAGCGAGACACCTGGGTTCAATTCCAGGCAGAGGGCGAAACCTTGGGCAAGTTTCCTTACTCCACACACCTAATAATAATCCCTCCAAAAAATAAAACAATAATAAATTGGTCATTTTCAATCCATGTCTGTTTGTGGGACGCTGCTGTGCACAATTGGCTGCCGCGTTTCGCCCACAAATATATGGTCAATTCACTTTACAGTATATTCTGTGAAGCGCTTTGAGAAGCCGAGAAAATGTGAAAAGCGCTGTACCAAATGCAAGGATTATTATATTATATTATTAAATTCACATTCCACACTGCATATACCCTAATAGTACTGGCTCACACCCACAGCTCATTGACAATACAAAAACAACAGTAAACATGACTGATCAGGCAGTAGATGTAGGTTTACAAATGCCTGTTCAGACACACGGGAAGGGTTGATGCATCAGCAGCCTGGCTAAAGGCCATATTGTAGGGATTTGAATTCATGATTTGTTTTGCTACGTACAAACAATCCTTAGTCAATTATGTAATTAAATGCATTAGCCCATGGTAAGGAATAAAGAAAAATACCATGGAAGTAAGATGGGTGTGGGGGAGCCTTCCCAGTAAAGCACTTTCATCAATTAACCCAATTCTAACCAAGCAGCCACTGAACCCAACATTCCTTAGGCTGCTCCTGGGCACCAATCTGATGCACATCAAAAGCTCTGCTCTGTATCATCCTGTACGTCAGTCAGAGAGCAGTGAGAGGCCAGGCTCAATGCGCACCTGGGCACACAATACAACAGGACCCAGTATGAGTTCCGACCGGAGCAATAAGGAATCTGTAAATGTATGTGCATTTTTACAGCGCACAAATTTGGATGAGTTTCCTTTGCAACCCAAAGAAAAACAAATTCAAGGCACTACACTCTCTGTCCCCAATCCCCTCCAAACAGCTAGTTCAGTATTTCCTACTGATTTTGGGGGCACAATAAGCCTTCCAACCCCTGGATTTCCATTATTTTAATCAGATGGGGGGCCCCATAATGTGGTTGAGCTACGACTGAAGCTTAACCAGCTAAAAACACATAAAACTCAACTTCTCAAGTCTCTTCATTAATCCTCTCATTCTTAACATTTGTTCTTCCTATAAGAGGATGCCCAACATTACGCACACAAAAATAATCATTGCATTTGATATACATCAGGTGAACATTTGGCAGCGCTCTGAAACATTATCCTATGTGAAGGGCGCTGCTATATAAATGCACGTCGTCGTTGTTGTCGTCGTTCCAAAGCGTTTCACAGGATTAACTGTGCAGTGTACAACAACAACAAGATTTCATTTATTGAGCGCCTTTCACGTCGGGAGGACGTCCCAAGGCCCTGGACAGTTGGGTCGGGACCCGAGCATTGGGGGGAAATGGTCAGGGTAAGGGGGGGGAGGGAAGGGAGCGAGGAGGGGGTAGAGAGTCGAGAGGGGAGCTGAAGGCTCGGTCAAAGAGAAAGGTCTTGAGACCGGCCTTGAAGGAGGAAAGGGAGGAAGCGGCGAAGGCACTGGGGATGGAGTTCCAGAGCCTCGGGTCTGAGAGGCTGAAGGCCCGGCCACCGCTGGTAGGGCGGTTGGGGCGGGGGATGTGGAGCAGACCGGAGCCAGAGGAACGGAGGGTACGGGCGGGTAAGTAAAAGTGTAGCGACTATGCACTTGAAGGCTCCCAACTAACGTTCTTAAACCCGTGCAGCGTTACTCCCTCGCTTTTGGTAATCGGCGCGTATCGCCCACAAAAACGGTCGCACTAAAAGCCAGTGAGAGGGGCTCTGAAACGTCTTCCCGCCACGCAAGGCGCTGAGAACCAAACGTGAGGCTTGTTGTCGTCGTCGCGGTCGTGGCGGCGGCGGCGCCGGTCTCCAGACGCGATGACGGAAGGATTGTTTGGGGCACGTTTCTCGGGTTGAAAAACGTGAAGAAAAAGCTGAGGCGTCAGTCTGTCTGTCCGCCTGAACTCCCGCCTGTGACCCCCCCCCCACACACCCTTTACAGTCTGTGGCCGCGTCAAATATTATTAGGGAGAAATAAATGAATGTGTTGTTATGTCTTATGAGGGGAGGGGGGGAGGGGGGGGGGGAGGGGGGGTGGCGGCTCTGCTTCGACCGTCGGTCTCGTGTGGCTTTCACAACCCCCCCCCGGGCCTAACCCAGGCCCCGGCCTCGGCCTGTCCTATCCTCTCAGGAGCCACACTCAAGGCCCCGGAATCACCCCGTCCGCCGGTCCTTGAGAGCCGCGGCCGCCATCTTCCTCCCCTCCCATTTGATTCCCGCCCACCCCCCCCCCCCCCGAGTAGGCCTCAGGCTCTGGCCAGGCCTCTGGCGGGTCTCTGTTCCGATGCCGCCCCCCTCCTCCCCCCTCACACCGCACAAATAATAATAATAATAATAATAATAGGCCTCGGGCGCGGCCCCCGGTAGCGGGCAGTCGGGTTTTCGCGGCTGCTCGGGTGGTTTCGGGGCGCGGATGGAGGCGGATCGCAGTGCCCCGCGACTTACATTGCGCCCCGTCTTCGTGCCGCTCGCGCTTCTCCCGCCGGTCCCAACGGTCACCCTCTCCCCTCCCCCTCCCCCACACCTCAGCCCAGCACCAGCGTGCGCGCGCACCCCCGCAAACGCGGAAGTACAAAAACAAAGCCGCCGCCGGAGGGCGCTGTTGCGCAGGAGAGGAAGAGAAGGGGTTGTTGTTCAAGGGATCAGTAGTCAATGATAATAATAATAATAATAATAATAATAATAATCCTTGCGTTGGATATAGCGCTTTTCACGTCGGGAGGACGTCCCAAAGCGCTTCACAGAACGCACTGCGAAGTGAATCGACTGTATATTTGTGGGCGAAACGCGGCAGCCGATTGCGCACCGCGATGTCCCACAAACAGTCGTGGATTGAAAACGACCCAATTTATTATTGGTTTTTGGAGGGATTATTATTATTAGGCTCTGTGTGGAGTAAGGAAACTTGCCCAAGGTTTCGCCCTCTGCCTGGATTGAACTCAGGTCTCTCGCTTGCAAAGCGAGCGCTCTAACCACTGAGCTACAGGACTCCAGAGAAGCTACAGAGAAGGGATTGTTGTAAACTGAGGGATCAGTAGTAAAATAACAAATAATAATAATCCTTGCATTTTGATATAGCGCTTTTCACGCCTGGAGGACGTCCCAAAGCGCTTCACAGAACACACTGTAAAGTGAATCGACTGCATATTTGTGGGCGAACGCGGCAGCCAATTGCGCTCAGCAATGTCCCACAAACAGTGGTGGATTGAAAATGACCAATTTATTATTGTTTTGTTTTGAAGGGGTTACTATTAGGCTCTGTGTGGAGTAAGGAAACTTGCCCAAGTTTAAACATCCTGCACTACCAATAGAAGAAGCAGCTCGGCTGCCCCTCTGTGTTCTTTCACTCTGAAGACAGAGCGCTCTGACATTCACAAACAGCTCCATCTCATTCTCCACTCAAAAACCCCCTCACCAAGGTCCCACGCGAACCACGTGCTCCCTTCCAGCCAATCACACCGTTATCCCTCACCAAGATGGCGGAGGCGCGACGTCCCGCCCCCCTCCCGCACAAACCACGTGTCACCACTACACAGCCAATCACAGACTGCTTTCCCCCCCCTTACCAATATGGCGGCCCCCTGTGGTGGCGGGATCAGCCGGGGAGGGAGGGTGAAGGCCGCTTCAGTTGGGAGCGGCTCCGCTTCACCAGCAGCGAGAGAAGGTCCTGAGGTCAGTGTGCGGGAGAGAGGAGCGGTAACGTGTCTGTCTGTCATTCCAGTCCGTCAGTCTGTCTTTGTGGTCTCTTCGGGCCTGTGAGCGAGTGGGTGTGAGGTGTCAGTCAGTCAGTCAGTCAGTCACACTCTCCCCTCTGGTCAGAAGGTGTTGGGGAGGGGTCCACGTCGTGACTTTGAGCTCACAGTCCAGGCTGACCCTCCAGGTCCTCGGTCCATGTCGGAAGGTGGTAGGAAGGAGCAGTTGTGTTTATACAATATTCCCCCTCTGGTTATGTTTTTTTTACTACTATGAGCAGAAAGTGGGATTGTGGTCATAATGTTGCACAGTCCTCACAAATCGCGTGTTTCCGGGCGCAGTTGGGCTGCCGGGTTTCGTCCACAAAATGCACAGTCACTCCACTTTGCAGTATATTCTGTGAGACGCTTTGAGGCATCTGACAGACGTGATACGGTGGCTGTAACAAATGCAAGGATTATTATTGTTGTTTAAATTCCTACTCTTCCGTCGTTTCTTCTTGCTTGTTAGGGTTAGTGTAAACCATGGAGCCGGAACATTTGGAAGTGCGTTGTGCGGTCCGACAGGCACTCAATACACTCTCATCCTCCAAGGACAGGGCAGAAATCACACACACCCTCCAGTGCATCAAGCGGTATCTGGGGGGAGCGGAAAGTGACATCCCCCTGCGGCAGAGGGAGGAGTTCGTGAATGTGCACTATTCCAGGTTCCTCCACGGGTTGATCGGCAGTCTCAGTGCTGACTGCTTGGAGCAGCAACAGTTGTTCGATGAATTGTTTCTTGAAGGACCCGCTGACCAGGCGTTCCTTGTGCTACTGGACACCATCACATCCACCAGGTGACCCTCCTGTCAATATTGATGACCAAAACTTATTCTACAAATGGGTATAAATGTGGAGTCCTGTAATTCAGTGGTTAGAGCACTCACCTCGCAAGCGAGGGACCTGGATTCTATTCCCAGCAGGGTGAAATGTTGGGCAAGTTTCCTTACTCCACACGCCTCTGTTTACCTGGCAGTAAGTAGGAACCCTACTGTTGTTAGTAGATTGGTGGATCACTTTTCCAGGGATAATAATTTCTAAAAAAAAGTAATAATTTGATCATTCAATCCACGACTGTTTGTGGGACACCGCTGTGCGCAATTGACTGCCACGCTTCACCCACAAAATATACAGTCAATTCACTTTACAGTATATTCTGTGAAGTGCTTTGAGACGTCTAAGAAGACGTGAAAAGCGCTATATCAAATGCAAGGATTATTATTACTATAAAAGCAAGAAAGACCCCATCCTTCAGGGTGTTTGCCCCCTCCCTTGTCTCCTTCAAGGCCTAACTCAAGACTTCCTCTTTGACCACGCCTTCGGTCACCCTCCTATCCCTGTCCTCTATCCCTCCTGATCCTAACCCCCAGTTCAGGTCCAAATCCTTGACTGTCCAGCTCCTTGGGATGTCCACCCTCTGCCACTGTAGCAAAGAGCTTGATCACTGAAAGCAGATAGATTAACACCTCTCAGGAGCTAGTCACAGCTTGCTCAACTGAGGGGCCATGAGAGTCAGGGAGTGAATTGAGTCTCAAGTGAATTGAGACCCAAAGATAAAAGAACCAATACAAAAGTATGAAGATTCAGGTGTGTTTGAATGTTGTTTGCTGGTACAGCTCGAGTCCCCAGCAGACCCGGTGTGTGAATGTCTTGGAACGCTTCCTGCGGGATGGCCGGATGACGGAGATGATCTGGGAATTCTGTCAGACACAGGATGGACCGAGCCCCTCCAACTTGCACCAGGCGATCCTCAGCAAGACGGTTTCTCTCCCAGATCACTTGGCAAACAAGCTGCAAAGCAGCAACCGTCCGGCCTTCTACCCAAATCGTTACTTTCCACTGCTGGCTCAGCAGATGCTCTTAGCCCTGCGGAGGCTGTGTAACCGGCTCAAAGGTGAGGCAGGGCAGCCTGAAACATGGATTCAGAAGAGTGGATTGGGTGGGGTGCATGAGGCGGTGGAGATGATGGACGGAGACAATGGTGGCGGAGGTTGGGGATCGGGCATTGGCAGTCAAGACTTCAGCCTTTCTGCCCCATCCTTTGGAAATCCATCCCCGAATCACTCCACCTCGTCCCTTCCCTTGTCTCATTGAAGGTCTGTCTCAAGATCTTCTTCTTTGACCATGCCTTCCGCCACACTTTCACCCCCATTCCCGCTACCTTCCAACCCCTTTGACTTCAATCCCCAGCTCGGGGCAAACCCTTAACTGTCCAATGCCTTGGGACGTCCTCCTGAGATGAAAGGCGCTACATAAATGTAATAAATTGTTATTGTTGTGGAGGGCATAGATCGTCCTTATGACTAATTCTGCATTCTTTTTCCCTCTGTCTGGCAGGTGGAAAGGACTGTTCCCTCTGCTTTATGTCTCAGCTCCTGGGGAAGCTTTGTGTGCAGGGACATGGCGGTGAGTGTTGGTGCTGCAGTCAGTATGCAGTGTACGCAGGACCTCACGGGGAGGAGCTCAGGTCAGACCTGACCTTGCAAAGCTCAGTTCAGTTTCTTGTCCTTATTCTCAGTAATATCTTTGTCCTCCACGTTGTCTACTTTGGACAGTATTGCTGACAGTGTGGCACGTGGAGAGATGTGTGGGGACAGGAAGTGGGAAGTCCACTGAAACCATTGGTGCCTGCGCTGTGTTGTTTCTTACTCGAGCTGTCCTGATCCCTGCTGCTTCTCCACATTAATGGAAAGTGAGGCTTATTGATGGGCTCAGATACAGCTCAGTGACGCTCTGTTGCTGGTATCTATATTGCACCACGTAGTTCATTCATCCTCTGAGCCATTGAGGAGGAGTTGTGAACCATTCCCCGTTATGGTCTACGATTGACTTGTCCTGGGGGGATGAGTGTTGGGTGCGGAAAGCAGAAAGCATCGAGTGCAGTGCACATCAGCAGCTCAGTGGATCCCAGTCCTGATATTGGCATAGCTCGGATCCAGATATTAATGGCTCTGCTGTGTCACCTCCAAATTGTCCGTTCCGTGGCTTGGGGGTTCAACTGATGTCAAGGTTCATCAGGGGTTGTATGTGTGTGTTCGTATCCAGGGTATTTGCATGTTCCCTGAAAGCTCTGCTCTCTCTGACTCTCCCGTATTCCCTCAGATGCTGTTCTGCAGGTGCTGCTGCCCCCTTTGACGTCTCTGACTCAGTCGGATTACATTTGGCAGAGGATCTGTTGGCGATTGGTGGAGAATGTTCCAGATCGATGGATGGAGAGTGTGATTTCTGGGCTGGTGTGCTTGGCGGCAGGGTGAGTGAGAAGCCACTCACAACAGCGAGACTGCAGCTCCAGCTCTGTCTTAGAAACATAGAAACAGGAGTAGGCCATTTAGCCCACAAGCCTATTTCACCATTCTATAAGATCATGGCTGATCTGTACCTCAAATCCAATTACCCACCCTTGCCCCGTCAGGACAGATGTGTAGTGTGTGTCTGAACAGACAGGGACCTAATGTGTCATCACAGATGGAGGGAGGGCGGTGTATGTCTGTTTGGAACAGTTTCCATTCCACCTTTTTACTCTCCAAGGAAGCTTCCAAGTCCCAGCTCAGGTGATCGTGGTCGGGGTGTATGGCAACGGGAGAATCCCCGCTGAGCCCAAATATTCCTCATGCACTGTCCAGCAGTGAGAATGACTTAAATGTGAATCCTGGCTTTTTTTTTCATCCTTTCTCTTCAATAGCCCTGAGATTCGGTTACTCCCCTCTACCCCCCTCCCCACCCCCCTAAGGTTTCCCAGGATGAAAACAGCTGATCTTTAAATTGATTTTTTTTTCTTCTTTCCCCCACAGGCCAGAGGTGCTGTGTCGGGTGCTTGGCAGCATTGTGCTGAAGAATAAGAAAGCTCAGTTTGTTGTAACCCATAAACTGCTGCTCCTACAGTTCAGCTACCAGGTGAGGCCTTCATAAAGGATAGGCGAGCATTGGTACAGAGATTCAAAGCAAGGACTGAGTCTCAATACTGTGGGCAGTGTGAGAGCCGGAGTGGAGGGGAGGGGGTCATGCAGGAAAGGAAAGAGCCAAGCCGGGAAGCCACAACTCATTCCAGTACCTTGGAGAGGAAAGGCAGATTGGAGAAGGGAAGGTGGTTAGGGAGCAGGGATGTAGCCATTGTGAGGCCCCCCTCCCCCCCCCCACACACACTTAGGTATCTATCTGTAGATGTGTAACACACGTGTCTGTAGGTGTGTAACGTATTGTGTGGAATGTCAACACTACACTAATCTATTCTGATTGCTGCAGACTGCTGTGCTCCAAAGCCTCCTGGGATACCTGGCAGGAGAGACTGGGCGACGGCATTTACTGATCAAGGTAAAGCTTCCTGTACACGGGTCACAGAGAGAGAGAGTGAGACCACACTGACTGACCTTGGGTCACTGAGAGAGAGAGAAAATAAGAGGGACACCACATTGACCAAAACTGTTTATTGAGATAGAAAGTGCACGAGTGGAGTTAAGTCTCAGACTCTGGGAGCTGAGGAGATGTAAGGTTTGACAGGTATAAGGCGGGGGGAAAGACAGGGGATTCCCTGCACAGATAGCTCATACTGAAAGCTGGTATAGACACGAGAGCCAAAATAGTTGCTTTTCAATTCTGAATGGTGCACAATGACTGGGACACTGGCTGAGAGACAGATTGACGGCACTTACAACAACATTACATTTATAAAACGCCTTTCATGTCGGGAGGACGTCCCAAGGTGCTGGACAGACAGAGTTACGGATCCGAGCTGGGGGATCCGTAACTTACTGATCAGGGTAAAGCTTCCTGATTTACAGTTTGTGATGCTAGGTGCTGAAGCAGCTGATGGAGACCTGGAGTAACCGCAGCGCTGTCCGGCACACGCCAGTGGAGCAGCAGCTGTACATTACCAAAGCCATCCTCATTAGCCTGGCACACCTCCGAGACTCAGAGCTACAGGAGCACAGAGCAGGTATGGGCACACCATCATAATGAGCGCTGTGGGGCGTGTGTGTGTGTGTGTGTTTGGTGGGGAGGTTTACTGAATCCCATTACTACCACAGCACTCTTGCTCTCACACTGCACACTCGGGCACTCAGACTCACTATCTCCGGTAATGTTTCGCACACTCCTTCTCAAATGACTCTCTCTGGTACTCACTCATTCTTGCACTCTTGCTGTTGCTCACGCGTACACTTCTCTAGCAATGCTCTTGCTCTCACTGGCTTGTTTATACCCTCTGCCAGCTCGTGTTTTTGCTTTTGTGTGTGTGTGTGTGGGGGGGGGGGTGGACAAGACTGTATGGGGAGGGTGGGTGTTAGTGTCGGCTTTATGGTCACAGTGAAGTTGGGTGAGTTCCATTGTGTATTCTCACAGTGACTGTTGGTCAGGGCTATAGAGGGTGTGTGTGGTTGTGTGTGTGTGTGGGTGGTATGTGAGGTCAGGGGTGTGTATGGTGTATTCTCACAGGGATTGTGTGGCAGAGCTACTGGCTGCAATGATGAGTGGGATGGAATGTCACCTGGACAGTAACCTGCCTCGTGTGCGACGTCTCGGCATGCTGCTGGCTCAGAGTCTCAGCCCCAGGATCTGCCCCAGCGAACAACCCCTCAGCTTCCAGGTACAATGTAAGCGCTCATCTTCTGGGGGACATTAATATGTGGTGAGGAGGGAGAGGGCTAGTTACTCTTTGTTTTGATCAGCCAGGTGTCCCGACAGGTTTGTGGAAACCTGTCACAAAACGAACCGAACTGAGAGTTCCATTCATTCCCACCGCACCTCACTCTGCAGACACATGGGAATTCCAGAGACGTTTATTGGAATGGAATGCGCACTCTCTCCCTGGATGGACCCAACCTGTTTAACAAATTCTAGAGCGTATTAGGCGCAGGTTGGCAAGAGCCATGGCTCGGGAACCCCAGAGTGTACGTTGGGGTAACCGCCTGAGACTAACCAGCTAAAACACGCATAGCTTACCATTGAGAGCACTGCCTGGCAAGCATCCTGATGCTTGTCCAGCTAGGTCCACCCTACCCACTAGGGCTTTGGCTTGCAGGATTCGTGGCAGATAGTCCCTGTCCCAAGTGACTGGTTTGCCCTTCCAAGTCCTGCCCATGAGCCAGCTGGGCTGTGCTGTCATCAACAGTACCCTGGAGTACTGGGGACCCACCTGGCTCAGGAACTGGACTATCAAGACAGCCGTAGAGGGTATATGGAGGGAGCACTAACTTGCCATTGCTCTGTGACTTTCAGTACGAGGAAGATGAGGAAACAAAAGAATTGCAGTCTCTCTTAATACTGAGACCGCAGTCTTCCTGGAAGAGCACTCAGCAGGAGCAGAGGTACTGAGCACTTGTGTTCGAGCTGCCGAAATCAGCAGCAACAATAGTCAGGTTTCCGCTGCTTTAGATATTGATCACATCACTTACGCCACAGATGGACATGCACACGGCTGCGCGCAATTGGCTGCCGTTTTCGCCCACAAAAATGTACAGTCAATTCACTTTACAGTATATTCTGTGAAGCACTTTGAGACGTCTCAAAGACGTGATATGGCGCTATATCAAATGCAGGGATTATTATTATTATTGAGATTACCTCTTAGTGGGCCCCGGCTTCTTAATAAACTGAAATCTCACAGAAGTTTCTCAGCCTTTAACTGAACAATGATCTCTCCACATTGTGGCTTGTGTTGTACCAACCTCTTCAGACGCGAGTAAATGCAGTTCCTTCATCCACTTTGACACAGTCTCATCCATTCTACAGTGGTGCTGGGTGTGAGCCGGCCAGGGACATCGAGGAGCAGTGTGCAGGGCTAGCTCCCCCCGGCCTGCCCTCGCAGGACCCAGAGTCTGACTCCGAGCTCGACAGGTTAGTAATCAGGAGAACAAGGGAAGACTTTCCTCTTTCACTGCACGTTCGGTCATTTGACCTCCCACCACCGCCCTTGGCCCTTAGCTCCTACTCCTCCAAAAGCCAGCCTCCAGCTCGGGTGCAACCCCCTAAACTATCCAGCAGCACCTTGGGACGTCCTGTCGATATGAAGGATGCTGTATAAATACAATTTGTTGTTGTGATTGTTGTTGAGATGATTGAGGCCATGCAGCTTTCCTTACACCTGATCAGCAACAACGTACAGAGGTCACTCACGAACCTCAAACTCCATTGTGGTGGGAGAGAGAGAGTCTTCCGGGGGAGTTGTGGATGGATTACTCCGGGGATTTCCATGGGGCTGTTGCTCTGGGGTTGCTGTGTTGGGTGTGGAGGAGACTGTGAGCTGTTTGCATTCCTCTTAGTGATGATGAACTCATCCCATACGATATGTCGGGTGACCGGGAGCTACAGAAGTGCAAAGCCCCAGCCTACATCAGTGGCTGCGTGGAAGGTAAGTCACCAGCCATGGGGAGGGAGAGGGGTCTGCGACTGAATACAGGACCAGCTCTGGTCAGGTGCCATTAACTGAGGATGAAATACATAATAATAATTGCATTTGATATAGCGCCTTATCACATCTTTGAGAAGTCTCAAAACGCTTGCCCTTTGGGCAGATTTGGTGGTTATTTGCCAGGTCGGCGGGGCCTGTCGGTTCATATACTCTGTACGTTTTACAGTCCTGATGAATTGCGAAGATCCTGAGCAAATTGAGGCCACTCTGAACACTGTGGAGAGTCTGATCAGGAAAACTCCCGCTGCAACCAAAGAGGTAAAAGCAGTTGATATCAAGGCGTGTGGGGCAGGTGCTGTGGCGTGTGAATAAATTGAATATATTACACTTGCGGATAGGAGTTTATCAGGGGAGGGTGGTGTGTCTGGAAGGGGGATTTGTGGTGTTTGTTTTGGTGGTTGGTTATTGCAGGGTGTGTAAATCTGTCTGCCTGTGTTACAGCTCAGTCTACATTTAGCGAGGCTGCTGCTACATCTTGATGACAAGTACAACATTGAGGGCTTTGTGTCTCTGCGTCAGCGAGCGATGGTGGGGCTGCTTGTGGTGGACACCATTGCTGTAAGTACAGCGACAATGCCGGTGACTCCACAGTGAGTCAGGGACCCCTTCCTGCGTCACGTCACATGCTTTGGAGCCTCGCTACAAAACATGCTGGGTACAGGGTGCGAGCAGGCTGGCTGTGCAGGGATCCCCCCGGGGACTGGCTAACCTATTGATCTCAGACGCAGCGAGAGGGGTGAAGTCATTCACTGGGTCCCAGCCAGCAAATCTGGCCAGTGTTGTGTGCGGGGAGGTGGGTGGGATTATTGTGAATCGCTGTGAAACATTTACACAGAGTGAGCACGTCATGATGGGTGTGTCCCTGTGTTACAGGTCGCTCAGTACCTTACTCAGCAGTTTTACGCAGTAAACTACAGCTTGTGCCAGCGGCTGGACATCTTGGATGTAAGTACTTGTTACTGACCTTTTTAGCAATAATTATATTGAAAGGATGATTTGAGTCAATCTCAGCCAATATGCCTCGAAACTCTGAAACACTCTCCTTCAATCCCTCCGCCTTGCCCCTTCCTTCCTCATCTTCAGGTCACGCCTGAAGACCTTCCCCTTTGTCCGGGCTTACTTACTGTCAAGCGCTCTGCGACGCTACCTTGCGTGGGAGGTGCTATTTATAAATGCAAGTTGTTGTTGAGCGAGTCAGCAGTCAAGTTGATGATCGTGTTTGAATTCAATCAGGTTCTGGCATTGGCTGCACAGGAACTATCGCAGCCTGGCACAGAAAGCAAAGCAGCACCTGCACCTCTGCTCGATTGTGGGAGAGGAGGTGGTGGAGCAGCGCTGCCTGTACCTCACGCCCAGCACTGGCGGAGGATAGTGGATGAGCGGATAAAGAGCAAGACCCGGCGCTTCGCTCAAGTAAGTCCTGATACTCAGCAGCTGTGAGTGGCTAAAAACGGATCTCTGCTCAGCAGTGAAGCAGCCATCACAGTGTGTGAGTTTCCCGTGTGCAGTGTGTGTGAGCCCCAGTTGTAGTGTGTGGGAGGGGTGGGGTACAGTGGGACCTATGCCTGGACTGTGATGGGCTGTGTATTTCTCAGGGAGTCTCCAGGCCAGAAGCCATTGCTGCTCCAAACCGATATGGCCCCGTCGCTGCTCACTTCTTCTTTCCTCTGATCAGCAACTATGACAGGTATGTGTGTGTGTGGGGGGGGGTCGGGGCAGAGGGTCTGGATGATGGACAGGGGCAGGTGACCGGGGGCTGAATGGGTGGTGGGAGGTGATTTGAGAGAGGGCTTAAGCCGGGCTGCAGAGCAGGAGAGCGACGTGTGCTGTGCTCCGCAGGCCCCAGACCAGCTTTGACTTTCTTGGCGAGCAGCCGCTGATGATGGGACGCCTGATCCACACACTGGGAATCCTCATGTACTTCGCTGTGAATACACCGGTTGGTACAAGCGCTCACTCCCACAACGCTTACTACCTGCGGCTTCCCATCTGTTGTCTTCTGGCCGGTCATTCTTGGGCCACTGCTGTTTAACATGTTTTTTTCTGTACGAGACCAGTGCAATGTCCAGCAGCTTTAAGGTGGAAAGGCCAGTCCCTGGGAAGGCAGGAGGTGAGGGGTACTGGGAGGGTGAAGATTAGCTCAAAGGTTGACACTCAACAAAGCTCCTGCCTTTGTCACAGCAAAATCTCTGGACTGGATCCATCTCTCCCTGTTGGTTCCTTGTGACTCTTTCCAAGGTGGTGGCTGTTTCGGTCTCGGGCTGTGTTTGGATGCACAGTGATGGTTTGTAGTTTGGGTGTGTGCGCTGTGTGTGTGTGTGTGTGTTAGCTGTATATGACTAGTGACCTGTTCTCTGTGTCCTCTCTCTAGATTGCTATTCACATGGGCAAATCACTCCTGGATTTTATCTGGACTGTTCGGTACCATACAGATACGTAAGTACAACATGGGCGTTGGCGCTGGGGGGTGGGGGGGTGGTGTGCGGTGGTTCAGCACTTAATCCTGTCACGTTTCTCTCCCCCCTCCCTCCCACCACCGCCATCGCTACGGTGACACATGTGTTACCAGGTGACTCCCACACAGACCCCACGTTTTGCGGAGGTTCATTACTCTGTGACCGAAGAGTTTTCCAGACCTGCCATTGGAGGACAGTTGGTGTCGAGAGCGCCCTCAGGTGGCAGCAGCTGGTAGTGCTCGGTCTGGCACTCAGGCCGTGTCCATTGCGGTTCAGAACTGTCAGATGTAGGACTTTGACTGAGACGCAGCCCCCTCGGGTGAATACCCAATTGACTTTCGCTATAAGTGACTCCCTCATGGATAGTGGCAGTTTAGGAGAGGTTCCAGCCGTAGACAACGGAACCATCCCCCAAGTAGCTACCTCCAACGCCTACCTGCTATGTGTCTGTTTCAGGCACGTTTGGCTCTCCCCCTGTGGCTCTCGAGTCTGATTCCGTTGCTGTTGGTCCTTTACAGATATGTCCGCCAGGGAATCCTCTTTGCTGTTTCCTCACTGCTACTGAGCGTGCCCAGCGAGGGTCTCCTGTCTGAGGTGCTGGATGAGGTCCTGGAACTGAGATGCTGGCTGGCAGGTGAGTGCTTCCCTGGCAGGTGCTGTGTACCCGTGGCTGGGTCTCCCTGGTACGTGTGCATATACACAGCGAGTAGGTATAGAGCGTGAGCCTAACAGGGCCCTGAACAATGCCGCACTCCTCGTCCCTTTCCCTAATATCAAGGTAGTGTGATGGCTGCCCTCACTCAGCACACTGACCTGCAGAACCGGCCATTCAATACTGCTGTACTCTGGGCCTGAGCATAACTACTGTATTGTCCTGGGAAAGGCCATGAAGATCCACAAGCCCATCCGACTCACATCTGCAGTTTTCTACCTCTCACCAATCCCTTCTCCAGTGCTAGAGAGGTCTGTTGGGGTGCTGCTGCAGTGAGTGTTATTGGTGGAGCATAGGGAATGTGAAGACAGGCAGTGAATGGAGGCATGTAAATATGTCACAGTGTGAGATACGGACAGCAGATGTGAGTCAGGGAATATGCTAATTTAATGACTGGAAATAGCTGTTGTGTTCAATTCCGTTTAAGAGGATATTCAGAGTCTTAGCCAACGTCAGCAGGTAAAATGATTAGGATTCTGGAGCCACAGCAGGAGCCCTATAACCTGCCAATTCCTCTAGTTGATGTCCAACATATGCTGTAAACTAAACTGGTTGTGTTGTGTGGAGACAGTTTATACCTCACATGTGGTGTCACAAGCACCAGATTGGTTCACTGATGAGGTCTGAGATGTAGCCTGGCCTTTGAATAATAATCTTTGCATTTGATATAGCACCTTATCGTGTCATTGCGCTTCACAGAATATACACTAAAGTGAATTGAATCTGAAAAACCGATTGTTACAGCACAGTACAGAGTCCCTCACAACTCAGAATCATGCTGTGTTACGGCATAGAAACCGGCCATTCAGCCGATCAAGTCTGTGCTGGCGTTTTTCTCCACAAGAGTTACCTAATCTAATCCTACACTCCCGCTTGCTTCCCCTATATACCCTTTAACATTGCCTCCTCTTCAAGCATTTTCCAATTCCTTTTTTTTAAATGTGGACTCTGCCTCATATGTAGTATGTGAGACAATTCCACAAACCATCTTCTGGGTAAAGGTAATATTTTCTAACCTCCCTTTTAATTAAATGTGTGTCCTCTCATTACTGACTCACTGTCTGTCCTATCAAAGCCTTCCTAATCTTGATTAGGTCTATTGGGTCACCCCTTAAACTTCTCAGCTCTTTTTAAAAAAAACTTCTCAAATCTTTTCATAACCGAAATCCCTCATCTCAGGGAACATCCTTGAGAATGTTTGTGTTTCCCAGCGGGATTCCTAAATAAAGAATTTGAATTGCAAATGGTGTACATCCTTCCTGATATAAATCCGTGCAATCCACTTCCTGAGCAGAAGTTAGTTTATTTTTTTTAAACAAATCCTGTTGAGAATTACAGCAAATTAAAATTCAGTGTCTCCGTCTCTCTCTCCCTCTCAGACGTTGCTGAGAAAGATGCAGATGGAGATTGCCGGAGGTTGGCTGTGCAGAGTCTTCTTTTACTAGAAAACATCAGACAGAAACTGGGAATCTGTCTGGAATAGTTGGAGCAGTGAAGCTAGAAGACATGTCTCTGGGTGTGGCTGCTTCTCGTTTACAAAGCAAAATGTTTTGTGACCCAGAAAATCGGTTGCGCTCGCCAGTCTCGACGGCTACAGAGCAGGATCTCCAAGGCGGTACAGAGTGTACTTCGCTCCAGTAACAACATGTATATCATCGTCCCAATTCATGGAAGGTCACAGAACTTGAGTAAAGCTGAGACACAGCATCGGAAAAGTGATCGTAACTGCCCATCGCTGGCACTGCCTGACACTAGTGTCCCAGCAGAGGGCAGATGGTTGTGGTGCAGTGCACAGGATATAAAGTTCAATCTGTCAGTGTAACAGAAGCTGTTAAAGCCACTGCAATATGTCACAGATGTAAGATCATGTACACTGATGTACATGAATAGGCTTTCTGTTCACAGCCCTGGTCTAAATGAGCATTTGTGTAATAAACTTTGTGCTATTTTATGAATCTTTGAACTCCCTATGATGTGAGATCTAATCAATTTGTAATATAGCAGCAACAAGTGAGACTGGGACAATAGTTTGATTCACAGAATTCTGTGCTATATGTAACTGCTCCACATGTGATGTTAGTCTTGTGTATATTGCCTGAAAGAGTTGCTGGGTGTGTCTCAGAGCCAAAAAGGGGAAGTAGATTGATTGGGGCCCATGTTGTCCCCGTACTGACTGACTGAAAGGACATCAGCAATGACCTGGGGGACCAGGGAGAAAATAACAAAGCACTGGTAAAGTGACCCAGAGCTGCAGAGTGCAGGGGACGGTATTTCCTGCCGGAGCAGACTGCTTCACTGGACCATGTTACTGCTGGTTCTGAGAATTTTGGGGTGGATCCTTATTTCCAAACTGCCAATGGCAATGACCACAAAACAGAGTTGATTGGGGCAACTATCTCAGGCAGTTCGACCGACCCGTCTCTGCCCTCACAAAGGCAGTACTTGTGATGGGTAAGCTTTCATCACTGGTGCCTGACCCTAGTGTGACGTGAGATGGTGAGTGGCATGCCATGCAAGCTCAATCTGACCCTCCAATTTTGACCAGAAGGGAAGTCTCAGGTGAGCGATCAAGAGGAAGAAATGTGGCTGAGGTTTTCTTTGGGTTGAAAATACTGAGTCAATTGGGACAAATCTACCACTTGGAATCCTATTGATGGGATGGGCAGCCTCATATTGATCACCAAGGCCCCAGAGATCCTCGATCTGCGTGGCTCAGGCAAAGCAACGTTATTGCAATTGCCCACTCACTGGGCATAGCATTGTGAAGCCAGAGATCCCTCTTACTCCCACACCCACCCTCCTTTACTCTCCTCCCCAACCCCATCTTCGCTTACTCCCACCCTACCCCACCCTCCCTTACTCACTTCCCCATCCTCCGTTACTTCCCCCCCCCTCCCCCTTACTCCTCCCACCCCACCTTACTCCCCCACCACCGCAATGGTGAGTGGTCTTATTTTGATGACTTTAAGCAGAGATGGGGTTCCAGAAACAAAGTATTTATTTATTTTGTCTTTATACAAAAGGTAACAGTGCAGTTGTGCTGAATTTATAACTTGATCGCTCTTACCACCCTCAAGGCAATAAAAACAGTAGTCAGTCCATCATCTTGGATTTACACAATGTACACGGAGAGTAGCTTGTACCAGGAACTGTGCTGTCACATGTGTGGCTGTTAACTGTGCAAGGCCATCGTATTCAGCAACAGTTGTTAGTACCTGATGGTGCACTGCGAGTAACAGTGCAACTTGAACAGCAGCGTACCGTATGTGCTGCGAGCACACAGCAAAGTAATGTGTGCAGCAATGTAATGAGCATGCAATGATGTAATGGGGACATTGTAAGCAATTCAGAGAGTTTTGTGCCTGAACCTGAGATTATTACTTGTTTGGGGGGTGGTTAGGATGCATTGGCTTCATGCTGGGGGAGTGGTGGGGGGGAGGTAAGTCAAGGTAGGAAGGGCTGGAGGGAGAGGAGTCATGGGCGCAAGGGGAGGGGGGTGGTGGGGGGTAACAATACTTGTAATGAAAACTGCTCAAAACATTGAATCGTGTTCTTAGAGCACAAACATCTGACAGAAAGGCAGTGATACAGGAATGACTTTTCTGCTTGTTACAACCATGTGAGGGGGGCAGAATTATCCACAAATCTTTAAGAGCTACAAAAAGTGACTGCTGGTACTTTAAACGTTGAGTTATTCTCAGCATCAGTAGTGTAAAAAGCACATTTTATCAACACCAGGCAGACATTCCAAAGCACCCAAAGTTTCAAAGTTCTTTTAAAAAATGATCATGAAATAGGAGAGCTAAACTCTCATTGTATTAGTAACCTCCAGTCACATATGGACATTGTCCACAAGCAGAACAAAACTGTGGTCTAAACACACCAATCTTCACATTCAAACTGTTCATGACTATTATAACTTAATAAAATTAGTAAATTTCTATTTATAAACCTTCTCCAGCTATACAAGTTAAAATGCAAACATGTTAAATCCTAAATATTCACTCATTTAATTCCAACACTAAGTAAATCGAGTGAGTTGTATACATCAAAAATATAGATTTTAAGGCAGTTAATGTTGCGTTTCTACCAAAGGAGTGCGGGAAAAAGCATTACTGTCTAAGGCAGACGGAGAATTGTGCTGTGTATAAATTGAAAAATTATTGCTGATTTCTACCATTAAAGCCCTTTAAAGCAGAGATTTGAGAATAAAGTGAGGAAACATTACAGTATCTCAACCTAGTCACATGTGCGATTGCGAGAAATACATTTCCCATTATTATAATATTCACAAAATCGGATATGGCTGTCAACCCCACAGAATGGGGATTTTGTTTTGGTCAGCTGGTTGTCTGACACAAGGTGAACTCATCACCATGTTTAAAGGTATCAAAACCAAACAACTGGAAGTTCCACATAAACATGAAAGTTTCCCTCTGTCTGGAATGTATGCTCTCCCCGGAGGGTCACATCCTGCTTAACTATCAGTTTGCCTCTGTGAAAACTGTCAAGGTTACCACTGCTTGTCCAGCTGAGATCATTCTATCTATTAAGGATTGGGTTTGCAGGGTTAATGGCAGCTGAGCAGATAGAACTCCGGCTCCCAAATGATCCGCTATGCCAAGTCCTACTAACAATCAAGGATTGGTGGTCTGACAGCAACAATGTCACAGACCTCTGTGGTTCATGAAACAGACGACTGAGACTACTACAGTGGATCCGATATTCCTTGCTAAGCACGTCAGCTTGGAGCCAAAGGGCTTACTTACCTCTCATCCCAAGGAGCATGGATGCTAATTGGTCTTGGGAGAAGGGAATGCAAGTCTTACCCTGATAAAAAATGCCAACTCCATATAGATATATAGTGAGTAACCCTAACCCTTCTGAATAAGTAGCAGTTCTGTACATTTACACAGCACATAACTTTTTCCCTGTTAATTAAAATATAGGCCAGTTAACTAAATGTCGATATTAGAGAATCACATTAAAGTCTTAAACCTGAAGTGCAGCTTGGTGCACATGTCACATGAGAGGTTCAGGTGGTGAAGAAAGGCCCTACAGACCATTTGATCTCATCTTTCCAGAATACTCGCTCTACCATCCTCCTATTGCAACACAATTGTGTCTTTTTTAAAATGAGTCCAGCGTCCTGGCCTCTCTCACCCTTCCTGGTAACCTGTTCCAGTTATTAATTACCTTCTGGGTAAAGAAATACTTGGTGTTAGTGATGAGCATTGCTATTAAATGTTCCCACAGTGCTCCATTCGACAACAACTTGCATTTTACATAGCAACCTTCACGGGGGGTAGCTTCACGGAGTGCTCAATGCAAGGACTTGCCTGAGTGCGAGGAGTCAATTCTTCTGATGCAAACACTTGCTCGCGTTGACGTGGAGAAATGTTTTCCAAGGCTTTGGTTTGACATTCCCTGTGTTTTTCCGAGTTTGTCTTTTGCAAACGTTAAACAGTTAAACTGTTTGAACATCACTACAGCACATCTCTGGAGAAGAAACCAGTGCTGTGGGAGTTGTATTCAGATTCCCAATTTAGGGACTGTCCCAAAATGTGGAAAAAATAGGCTCCTCAAATAGAGCTGTGTACAACCTGAGGTCAGTGCATCGCCCAATTAATTTTAACAAATTCTTTCCCTGTTTTGAAAGACAGTAAAACATTTTTTACAAAATACAACTTGGGAGGTATGGTCATTTGATCATCTACCTTCCACAAAAGCCTGAAATAGCAGCACTCAAAGCGATATGTATGTATGTATATTTCTATGATGCACAAAGTAAAGAGCCCAATATCTGTTCTAAGTCAGACCAGCTCCATCATGGATATCAGTCATGGATAAAGTTTTATAAGCCTGGACTCACCTAAGCTTTGGTTTTACACCGTAGGATTTCTGCTAGTAGTACTCTGTAATCTAATTCGTACTGTGGTTATCCAGCCAGTTTTGGGATATTTAGTTGTCACCTGTGTACTAATACTAATTGCTGTCAAGCAAAGCTACTGTCTTTGTGGTCAAACAGAGCAGATGTATTTGTCAGCAGTCTCACAACTAGGTGAATAATCATAATGCTTGGATTTGTCATAGCGCATTTTATGTCAGGAGGACGTCTCAAAGCGCTTTACAGTATTTACTGTAAATTGTACAGTGACTGTATTTGGAGGCAAATGATTAATTTGGAGTGTTTCTGCTCCTGGAAACAAAGGCTATAGGCCATTTTGTGAATGTCACAAAGTGCAAACCCCATCTACAAAGGGTTAATGCGTTGCCTCGAGGATATTTGGAAGGGATTGTAAATGTATGCTAAGCACTGATGGTAGTTTTATGGAAAGGATGATATGTAACATTATAACTAATAAACTGGCTGAGTATAGAGTGTAGTGTAAAAGTGGTTTGGGTAAATTGGGGAATGAATAGCAGATGGATTAACTGTAGATAAAAATAAAAAATATACTTTTGTAATAGTACAAAAGTACTACAAGTAATAGTAACTATATGTTTTTAGTAATATAGACAGAATGAGGAAAGGATTCACTCTGATTATTGATCATTGATCAATCTCCGAAGGTTTCCAGTCAACACAAACCTGTTGTCAGCAGGATTGGAATTTATCTGAAATAACAAACTAATGGAACTTTGTACAGATCATTGCGAAGCCACGTTGGAATATTGTGCGTTGTGTTCGGGCTTCCAACCTTCACAAGAACACTGACAAATTGGAGAAAAGTCAAGTAGGAGCATGAAGGAGGATTCTAGGACTAAGGACTGAGGAAAGAACTTATTTTCATCGGAGAAAAGAAAATTGAGTGAGGCCTTGATCCAGGTTTCTAACATGTTGAACGGATAATGTAGACCTAATCCAGCTGTTTAACTTGGAGTGTGAGTAGCAGGACTGTTATGCCCAAGAAGTAGATGTGAGGTGAGCAGAATTGTGATTAAATTGGTTTTGGCACAGAGAAGTCTGATGGAGTAGAATATATCTGATCTATGGAAGGGATTCGTTTTTCATGCTTGTGATGTTCTTGTGTCTGTTAGATGAAAGTATTGAAGGTTGCCATAGTGATGTGATATTTGATATGAGTCCTAGGTCAGCTGAACCAGTCAGGCATGTGCTTCTGTAAACTGAGGATCGAGCCCTGATGCAAATACTACAGAAGGGCAATATTGCACTGAGGTGAGATAGCATTACAAAGACTTGGCACTCGTACTCAGGTTGATGAAGGTCTCCAGGCTGGGCCTCAGGCAGTTTCCTGGGCAGAGCTCACAGAGCGGTGCTATCGACAAGTGCTTCTATCTGGAGATAAGCGAGCTGCTCTGGGACTGGCTAGAAGAAGTGGTGGCAGCGCTGAGGTGGGAGAATCCACTCTGACAGGACTCAAGGCTAGTCATGGAACCCCTGAAGAGAAATAGCAAACAGTTATTACAACAAATAATCACATGATACTATTGCAATTTATACAGTGTTTGATCACATCAAAACATCTCAAAGCCCTCGCACTTTTAAGGATAATGACTCAACTGTTACGTAGGCAAACACAGAAACTAGAAGCATCCCACACTTAGCAGTGAAATGAATGATTAATTGGATGAGGGGTGATCCATAACTCCCTGACTTTCTTCCAAATAGCACCACAGGATCTTTAGATCCACCAGGTTCAATAATAATAATAATCTTTGCATTTGATATAGCGCTTTATCACATTGTTGAGAAGTCTCAAAGCGCTTCATAGAGTATAAAGTGGATTGACTGTGTATTTTGTGGATGAAATGTGGCAGTCAATTATGCACAAACTTCTGTCCCTTAAACCTCCTGACGTAGAATGATATCAACCCTGGGCTGAACAAGCAGCATGTCCTCAGTAACCATGAAAACATCTCAGAACTTGTTCCATCCAGACAAGGATAAGCAAAGTGCTTATATTGTACTAATGAAAGTCCCCATAGATAGAAAAGGGGAAAGATTTGGAGAGAATGTGGTGTGGATAAATCCATACGTGTTAATGGAGTTTGCTGCACCAGAGCTGTATAAGATACCCCAATCATGGGGTCCAGCAATATTGTCAAAGGAATATACCTAGCTCCATGAACATGGTGGGGGTACGGGAGACAGAGTGGAGTAACTCCAGATGCAGGAATGGGAAACGCTAGTGTCCTGGCTAAATACCCACCCACCCAACACAATTGCAGGAATGGGGAATGCCAATCTCTCAGTTGATTGCCCCCCCTTTCCCCACCCACACACACTCCCACACACACACATACCCCCACACAAACACAGGAATAAAGATTGCCCGTCTCTTGGCTTCGGTCAGACCTGAAATCCTCTGATGCTAGTACTTCGGTGTAAAACATGATCTTGCACTTATGGGAGGAAACCTGAAGGGAAGCCAGAACATCGTCCACGCGGGGTAGGGTGGTGGAGGAGATGGATGGGGAGCTGTGCATCTTCCATTGCAGGATATAGAAGCCTGGCCAGCGGGTCACATGTGAGCCCTGAAAACAGACGAGAGCAGTGAGTACAGACTGGGGCCGTCCCAGTGCAGCAGTGTCTGACCCAGTGGCTTGCTGATGCTGCAGCAGCAGATGTGATGCAATATGACTGACACAATAAAAATATGGCATATGGGCATTGCTGGGAACTTACCTGAACACTCTCACCCTCTCGACAGATGAGCAGTGATTCAACCATGCTGTAGTCCACGCCCAACACCCAGTTCCTTTCAATCAGCTGCACATTGTTGCCTCCAGGCAGTGGGACGAGGGGACTGCTGGAGTCTTTGCGACAAGGCTGAGGCGACCTTTTGGAGTGGAAGATATTAAACACCACATCTCCCTTCAGAATGTCGAAATCCCAGGTGATGACTGAGGAAGCTTCCAGAATCTCAATGACAATCTGAAAAACACAAAGTATCAGACACAATAAACACAACTGCTGCTTGTTCAGCAGAGTGAGGGCTATCGTGTGGGATTACGGTTTAAAGAGCTGGTGAATAAACTAGGACAGGTGTGGGAGGGCAGTGCTGGGACATGTGCTACCATTCCATACCTCGTGCGGAGCTCCTTTGAAGACGTTTGCTGATTTGTAGATGGTTTCGGTCCAGAGTTTGATGTGGTCTGCATACTCCAGCGCTTCCTCGGTCTGGTACAAATTCTTGGGAACCATCCCTCCCTCTGGGATACTGCACTGATACAGCAATGATAACATATAGAGAGAATTACTCACAGTGCAACTAGGGAAGAGACCCTAAGGCCTAAGGCTGAGATCCCAGCCTTCCAAGACCCCAACTCCCCAAGACCCAAACCCAACAAGATCACAGCCCCTGCGATCCCAATCACCCCTAGAACTCATCCTTAAGCCTTCCCCCATCACCACCCACAGAACTCAAATCTTTGCTAAAACAAGTCCCAATTCCAGAGCTCCAACCCCCAACTACTTGAGAACTCAGTCCCAACCCACAATTCCTCTCCCCCACCCCCACCCCCACACACACAGATCCCATATTGCTATATTGTAGATGTCACGCATACCACACACTCTCCGCCCAAGAAGTCAGGGATAATCTCCTTGTCAATGTAGTCCACCAGGCCCCCTGCCCCCTGGTAATTGTTGCCGCTGTAGATTAGGAACTTCTGCCGAGTGTTCTCATTAATGAAAGGGCTAACCTAGGGGAGAGAAAGGAGAACAATTCTATTGATCCGGCCTCAATAGTCATTCGCAGTTATGAATAGCAAACAACCTTATGAGTGAAAATATTTCATCCAACCTTTTTTTAACCCGACATTTTCAACAGCACCACCTAAGTGCAAGTTATTGTTACTCACCAGAGTCCAAAGCACAGGGAAGACTCTCGGGGCCCTGACAATGAGCAGCCTCCCCAGGGTCTCAGGATAATTGGCTTCGACCACCTCGATGACGCGGAGCAGAGCCTTCACTCCAGGGCGCCACAGGTGCCTCATGTTCAGTCCCTCCAGATCCACCAGGCAGGTCCACGAGCTGTCAATTCAGTCACAGATGGAAATTAGTCACCAGTAGTGACCTCCAACCCAGCCACTCCTTCCCACCACAATCTAATTGTCATTAATAGCAGCACAGGTGGCACTGAGGAATATGAACGTTTCCAGGATTCTCTCAATTGATAGCACTCTTGCCCCTGGGTCAGAAGGTTGTGGGTTCAAGTCCGATGTTGAGACTTGAGCTCGTGGTCTAGGCCGATACTCTTGTGCAGTAATAGGGGAGCACTGCATTTTCAGAAGTGCCACTCTTCGTTTGAGACATAAAGACCGTAGAACCAGGCTGTTGTTCAGGTGGATAGCGAAGACATGAAGTGGTGATTGGGACGATGTGTTGCTCAGAGCCTATAGCAGTGAGTGGGATGGCATGTTACTCAGACTGTAGGGTGAGTAAATGGTCTGTTACTCAGAGGCATGAGGGTGTGGAGGTGAGTGTGGACAGTGCTTTACTCACGTAATGGGGCGGCCAAAGACTTTGGTGTTCTCTTCACATCGCTTCTGACCATCCTCGTTAATTGAAAGAACCTTGAACGAGTGAAGAGAAGGGCAGAATTAGCCGATAGAACAATTCGAGTTTTTGTTCCCATTGAATGCATGTTAAGTATAAGTGGAAGCGCTTCGAGACAGCCACATGACGTGAAAGGTGCTATAGAAATATAAATTAAAGAACTGCATTTATAACTACAATAACACTTAAATAATGTACCATTTTAAATAGCGTGTTCCTAATCTCTTAATTTCTGATCCGCGTAAAGGAAGGATTTTGAGGCAATGGGCCAGGCCGGAGTTACTCACATGCCGGAGAATAGCCTCCTCTCCCACTGCCTTCAGCAGCCCCTTCGTGTCCATCTGACCCAGGCGCAGGATGTACAGTGGGCGGCCGTCTGCAAAGAAACAACCAGTGAGGCCAATAATTTAGCACAGCATGTAATATCTGAAACCCAAAGATGAACCTATAACCATTCGGCAGGAGGGAACCCTGCTTCTCCAGTGTTGGCAAACAGGCTGTTTTGTACCAGTAGGACATACCTAATCAATTGCTTACAGTTAGCCTTTGAAATGTCCATTGTCGATATTCGTTACACAATATTAAAGAAGCTATGATGGAGGACATGTCAACTTCCTCCCCAGGTCACCAAGAGTCTGGACACGCACGGCCCACAGAAATGGCCTGTCAATAACTTCTTTCTTTGCTTTTTTGAGAGGAACTAAGTGTGAAATATCCAGCGATCATTGAATAACAGAATTTCTGATCTTGTCTCTCATGACAGGAAGCGGTTAGTATTTCGGAAGGAAATTCAGACTTGAGTAAATAGCAGAAGTAAAACTAGACCCTAAGAGAGGAAGTGGAAGAAAACATTGGAGCTGAACCTAGAATCTGAGAGTGAGATGGAAGCCAGAGTCCAACAACAGGAGCGGAACCGAACCAGTCTGAGAGCGAGCGTGGAACTGAATGCGAGACCCAAGAGTGGAACTGAACCACAGTTGAGAGACTGAGTGGAGCTAAACCAAGGCTCCCAAGGAGCAGGAGAACACGATAGAACTGAACTGACAGCACACTGACTGATTCATTTATCAATCGCTCTATTGTCAGAGCATGTGGAGTCAGGGGGAAAATAGCAGTATCGATAGCAAGCTGGCTACAAAACAGAAAACAGAGAGTATGGGTAAAGGGTAGCTACTCAGACTGGCAGGGGGTGGGCAGTGCTGTTCCACAAGGATCGGTATTGGGTCCACTGTTGTTCACAATATACATTAATGATTTGGACTCAGTAATCAGCAGTACAATTTCAAAATTTGCAGACGACACCAAAATTGGGGGGAGTAGTTGATACAGAGGAGGACTGCAACAAATTACAGCAAGACATTAATAAACTTGTGAAAGGGCATTTTAAATGGCAAATGCATTTCGATGTGGTACATTTTGGCAGAAGGAATAAGGAAGTCACATACATCCTGGAAAATAAAAAACCTAAATGGGGTAGAGCAGCAAAGGGATCTAGGGGTACACATACACAATTCACTAAAGTAGTAACGCAGGTTAATAAGGCCATAAAAAAGGCAAACCTGGCATTGGGGTTCATTTCTAGAGGAATAGAAATGAAAAGCAGGGAAGTTATTGTAAATTTCTATAGAACCCTGATTAGACCAAACTTAGAATACTGTGTGCAGTTCTGGTCCCCACATTATAGAAGGTATGTAGAGGCACTAGAGAGGGTGCAAAGAAGATTCACAAGAATGATCCCAGAACTGAGAGGCTATACCTATCAGGAAAGGCTGAACATGCTTGGGTAAGGGGTGACCTGATAGAGGTCTTTAAAATTATGGAAGATTTTGATAGGGTAGGGACATAGGGAAGATGTTTCCACTTGTGGGGGGCGACCAAAACCAGGGACCATCAATATAAAATAGTCACAAATAGATCAAATAGGGAAGTTAGAAGAAATTTCTTCATGTATAGAGTAGTGGGAATGTGGAACATGCTACCACGAGGAGTTGTTGAGGCAAATAGCATAGATGTATTGAAAGGGAAGCTAGATAGGTACCTGAGGGAGAAGGGAATAGAAGGTTATGTTTGAAGGCTTAGTTGAGGAAGGGCAGGAAGAGGCTCACGTGGAGCATAAACACCGGCATAGACCAGTTGGGCCAAATGGCCTGTTCTGTGCTGTATATTCTAATGTATTCTAATGTATTGTTACGGTGACTGCTCTCACAGATGAGCTACCTCTGTCGTGGTGGTGCCACCCTCCTGTATAGTATTCCACCAGCACCTGGGGAGGTCTCCACATTTCCAAGATGTAGTCCACTTGGTACTGCTTCCGCCAGGTCAGCGACTGGCACAGGATCTCCCGAGCCTTGTCTATGTTGAAGTCCCGGGCCCGCAGGAACCGTAAAATGTGTTCGTCTTTGGGAATCTGCAACAGAGGAAGAGTCGCAGAACATTATCCAGAAGCTGGAACTTTACAAACTAATTGCGCACGAGTGTGCAAATGTATTAACATTGCACACGCTAACACTACACACACCAATACTCTTGGACTAACATTGCACTCACACTAACACTGTGCAAACCTGAATAGTATAAGGAGCCAAGAGCTGAGCATCACATCATCTTCCAGCCCACAGCCAAGACAAGCTGTGGAGATGAATGAGCAGGGATACTTAGGCAGACCAGGGTGTAACAGTGGACAGACATATCATTTTCAATGTTGAGACTACACTCTTTAGTGCTCTAAGTCGCTATGCTGTGTGAAAGACGCTACATAAATGCAAGTTGTATTATAACACTTGTCTATACCCACCAAACAGCAGGCAAAAGTGTAGAGCATTAAGCTTCACAAAACTACTGGACATACTTTTTGTCTTATTTTTCTGATACAAGTTTATATATTTTGTCTTGGAGTCTGGACATATACACTTGTATTAGAAAACAGATACAAGAACCAAATCTCAAAGCACTTCACACAGTGAAATTACTTTGACGTGTAGAGACTCGTCAGGTAGGCACATACCACAGCTAACCTGCCACCGATAACTGCTACCCAGGGTAATGAGGTGATGACTTGGTGAATTTGCATTCGGAAGGAACATTGGCCAAGAGAGTCCGGGAAACTTCCCTCTTCTCCCAAGTAAAGTTACTTGTAGTGATTGCAACTGCAAATGCAAAGGCCAGTCTGGCTGAGCCATGCGGGAGTCTAAACTACAACTTTCTGCAGACTCACATCCCTGCCTTGGCCACCTTTCCCTTCCAGGCACCATCATAAGCTCCTCTGCCATCAGCCACTGATATGCCACAGCCCGGGTCTGTCTCCTGCCACTCATTCTGCCCTGCACAACTAGCAGTCACCTCCCTACTTGTAAGCATCTGTCTACATATGTAAGCATCTGAACCAATAGCTAACTGGTCCCCTTCCAGACATGTGACCATACAGACCATCTTTTTATAAAAGATTTCAGATATTCAGGTTGTGATGGAATGGAATTAAAATACCTCACAAATACCTTGCTGTAAAATATCAACTAACCACACAGATATCCACTGCATAAATTTCTAGGTGATGACAGTCTTATGCTGCACCGTCTCAGATCTGTTCAGAAGCTGCTTGTTCTTACCATTGGGATTCTCTTGATGTGACCATGGACAAAATTACTATTTCTACACAGCAAACACATGCAACACTTCAAACCAGCACATGTCTATCTATACATGGGTCTAGAGGTGGAGATGGGCGAATGTATATTAAGCAACGTATCCAAGTGTGTACCTCTGCAGGTTTGTAGGTGCTTCAGTAGGCATATCTCTCTCAATACTTGTGAATGCATGAAAGTATACGTTTACATGTATTCAAGGATGTATGTGAAGGGTGTGTACTTGGGTTTAGCAAAGCGTGCACAGGTATCCTGACCATCTGTGCATCTCTGCACACATGTAAACACTAGTCCACATAGGTTTGTATGTGTGTGTGCACATGCATGTGTGCTACATTTATGGATATTAAATGCACTGATGCTATTTTCTTTAGACAGGGGGACAGATAAATGTTACTGTCTCCTCCACAACAGATGAAGTAAAAAAAAGTACACATTCAACCATGGAAAGTTTTTAACTCAGATCCAATAAGGTAGTGTGTTGAGACAAGTAATAAACAGCTTAACCTCAAGGGAAAGGACCTGTTACCCAAAAATATCTCCTGATCATAGCCTAAGATCACAGTTTCAACATTTAAGACGGTGCAGATTTTGGAAAATTCTTAAATTCAATCTCAATTTGAATTGCATCTCTTTTTGAGAATTAGGAAACTGGGAATGAATTTAAGAATTTTCCAAAACTCTGCACCATGTTAGATTTTAAGACAACAATCTTATGGCTAAGACTGGGTACATTTTCAGGCCTCTGGAGGTTCTGAGGTAATTGAAGCTCCTCAGTTTTATACTTGGCGTGCGTATGGCAACTGAGGAGTAGGTCAGTTTGGGGGCTGTTACCAGAGGACACAGTCACAGTCTGCTCCCCTGTCTGTGGTATCAAGCTCTAGTACTATAGGATACTGATCACTCGCTCGCACTAACATGCTGCGCATACAGTGAAAGCATTACCTTTTCTTGTTTCCAGTCACCTGCCTCAGACTACAAAGAGCACAGAGAAAGACATTTTATTGTGGTTCAGTACTTAAGGCAAGACTGGTCTCTGCAATCCTTTCCCACGCAACTTCACCACAGATCCAAACCTCAATCCTAATAAATCAGCTCGGGGATGAAATTCTTTGGCGAACCCAAGTGTGATCCTGTATCCTCTGTTACTGGGACAATTCCCCCAATAAATATAAAGCATATTCAGTTATTGGGTCCAATCAGACTCCCTTAGCTCCACGCTAATCAATCTAGTTTTAAACCTAATGATTTTTGGAGATGATTTTAACATTACAAAGAAGCATAGGGTGGTACATTTTCCCATGCTGAATGAGCTGGCATGTGTTTGCCCCATGTTGTACTTGAACAGAAATTACATCGCACAGGGAGTTCTGTGTCTTTTCTTGGCCACATATCTGTAATTTCTATTTCTCATTGGTGCTATTTGCCTCAGGGTTCAGCATTAATCCTTGTGCCACGTCACAACCTGACTTGCTGGTGCTGAGTACGGGTGAGTGACAATGAATGAGAATGTTTGGACTTAATAGAACAGACTCAGAGGCTCGACACGGTGCAGGAAATTTCATATGCAATTTCCTGACTGTTTGTGTCTAGCTTCCTGAAAGCACCAGTGACAAAGATGCAATGTGCAAGGATGGCACAAAGTGGTAGAATGCATAGAATCGCAGTGCAGCTGCAGCCAGCACTCCATCGCTGGAGTCATTGTTTGACAGTGCAGCATAGTAACTATGCATCAGCATTAATGTCACCAGGCCAGACACTGGGGCAGTTCAGCTGAAGCATAATGTTTATAACATCTACACTCGTCTCTGGTAAGGAAAACATTAGTAACTGCAGGACACCAGTGCCTTATGTACCTCGCATTCTCCTCTGACAGAATCCAGGAAACATTCCAAACTCTCAGACTTGCAACCAAAAAGAAAGTAGAAATCACGCAGTAGAAAGAACTTGAAACATGCCTTACAATAGATCTCTCTCTCTCTTTGAATTTGGTCACGAAGTGGGATTAATAGCTTGCTCTACACGGATCATCTCAATAAACTGACCATCCAGATCAACTGAATTGGATCATGGCATCATCTGGTGGTTTTAATCTTATCTGCATATGTTAAAATTACACTGGACATTAGTATACTAAGTTTTTTTTGATTAAGTTATTATGACTACACCTCGCCCTCTCCTCACCCAACTCCCTCTATCCTCCATTCACAACCCTACTGCCCTGCATGTCTTCACCTCCATTTCTACCCCCATTCCCTATGTAGGAAATTAGGGCAGAGGTTAAAAGAAATTTGGAAATAAGAATAAGAGGGTGATTTAGAAAAAAAAGGTAACAGTACCACAAATCCAAACAGCAGAAAATCTCTGTTTCTATCCACTTTAATCACGCACGTGAAACGCAACATGTGCCTCATGACCTATAACAGTCCAACTCTTGACAATCTTTGCCCCTAAGGTAACAACCAGCATCAACTTGTCTGTCTGTCTTCCAACCTTACCCCCTTTGAAAACCATTATCACCTGAATCCTCAATTCACGTATCCACCTGTAGAGCCCTCCATTCTCTCTAACCAATGAGTGTAGTTTTGGGCAGCACACTTTAGAAAAAAATCTTGGAGGCTGTGCAGAATAATTCCCAAGAATGACACCTGGATTGAAGGTACTAAAATACCAGTTTTAGGTACTAGGCTTACTTAGAAGCACAGTATGAGAAAATTGAGGCTATGCTTCTGGGAACAGAGAAGGTTGAGGGATGATCTGACAGAGTCATTTACAATAGTAAAGGGAATTGATAGAGGGAATACAGAGAAACTTGTATATGGTTGTACATCCAAAACAAGAGGGCATAATCTAGAAATTAGACCTAAACCTGATAGCAGTGAAATCAGAAGACATTTCTTAACTTTGAGCTATGGGATTGTGAAATGCACTTACTCAAAACAATTACTGCACAGTTGGTGGGAATTTTTAAAAGGGTATTGGAAAATACTGGGCTAGCAAGGGTATCACAGGGTATAGAGAAAAACGATGCAAATGGTATTGACAGATGGAGGCTCAAAGAGCTGAATTACCTGCACCTGTTCCAATATTTCTCCCCCTCTCCATCTCTAACCTGCCCTTTCTCTCCAAACTACTGGCACTCGTTGTCTCCTCCTAGTTACACTCCTACCTCGCTATTTGAGACTCAGTCTGGATTTCATCTCACCCACACCACTGGAGCAGCCCTGGTCTAAGTTCTCTCAGTCTGTGATCAGATTCTATGATTCATTGAGAAAGTCAGATTTTGATTACTGTGTATAGCTCGGAGTAGCATGCTTTATTTGCTCAAAGTATCCGAATTCAGAAAGATTTCAGCTTTGTTTAGGTCTAATAGTACTCGAAGGACAGCCACATGGAACCTTATCACCTGCCGAAGCTCCATTGCATTCCATTCGTCATACCTTGGGACGTCACATACCTTGCCCTTGTGTGTTTCCTGCAACCACTGGCGAAGTTGGATCAGGCAGCTCTCCTGCATTGGGCACAGATGGCCCAGATACCGCTCAATGTAATCAGCATCCAGTTTATCAGCTGAAAAATACACAAAGAGGAAAGAGTGAGTCCTTTATGCACAACATTCACATCAATGTATAGACAATAGTGTGGCCATTGCTGCCCTTGGGAATCCATCCACAACCCAAACAGCAAGTTCAGCAGTTTTGAATTTTGTTTATATTTTATATTTATATTTTCAACTCAACAGCCTCTGACGTGGTTCAACAGATCAGTATCCTCTGTAGATTGAGCTGCTAGGAACAGTATCTTTTCTGTTCCATTATCACGGGCATTGAAAAGGTGTGGGGGTGAACTTGGTATATAATACAATAGCTTGTTAGGCTTAGCAATACCCCAACGCACACTCTGGGGTCCCCAAACCTTGGATCTTCCAATCTGCACATAATACTCTCTAAATTAAATAAGCAGGATGTGTCCTTCAGTGAGGGTGCACGTTCCATTTCAATACACAGGAATTCCCATGTGTAGGTGGAATCATGGAATTCTCAGTTTAGTTCGGATGCTCTTAAGCATGTGTGATGGGTTTCCGTACGTGTCAGACACCTGGCTGACCAAAAAAAAGGAGACAATTCACTGTAATCATCATTCTGAGTAATCAGCTAAGAGAAACACTCAAAATATGACTGGATTGGCGCAGCTCTGCATACTCCACAGCACTGATTCGCATACCAGCTTCAGCTCACAATTCAGACCCACAACTCGTATACAGTAGCACTAAAACTAAGCTCATTCATAACATGCACAGACTATTCTTCTCAAACTCACGTATTGCATGGTTATCACAAGTGAAATGGCAAACTTCAGCTGTCCAGACCCAGTCACTAATGCTAACGTTAACAGAACGGGACAGCTCGGAGTCCTGTTGTTTAGAAGCGCAGTAACAAAGCACACACCATTCAAATGCATTCTGCTTGCTGAATAGTTTTGTGACAATGGCATGACAACCTCTTCGGTTGAATGGTTGATGTGGTTCTAATCCTAGTTCCAGCAATGTGCTGAGTTGCTTTTCCTTGTCCTTTCTATTTGGTGTGATGCAGCCAAACACTAAACTGGTTATGCATTTGAAGAATAAAATAAAACGGCTTGAGGTAAAGGGAATTAAGATTACAGAGATCTCCATTGGTAGTGTTGATTGCATGGCTATCTCCTGTGCTGTATTTCCTATTCGAATGAGGGACGCTTAAAATCTACACTTACTTCCTGTCTCATGCCTGTTGTCTGTCAGATGACTGATACTTTCTCAGTCTCATTTAGCATCTTATATATCTCTACAAGGTTCCCTCTGAGAGGACTCTTTTCAAGGTTGAGAGGCCTAGCTTATCTAATTGTTCCTCCTAGCTCACCCCTGTATCCAAGGGGTTCATCCTCGTAGCTCCCCACTGTACTGTCTCTAAGGTTTGTATAGCCCATATGTTCTACAGGTGGAATCCCACCACAGCACTGTACAGCTTGAGGAAGTGAAAGAGGAACAGAATCAGCAGAGGCTGTTTAAAAGTTTCTCCTAAACCATATGAAGAGGAACATTCAAACAACTGAAGCCCACAGTCACCAAGTGAGACAAGGCAAGACACTTGGCCTTACGCATCCAACACTCACCCCCAGGGGCAAAGGAACCTAATGGAACAAGTACTCACCGTCTGGTAGTGGGGTGGTTGCTTCCTGACCGCTCAAGCTCGGTATTGCTTCTTTGATGCTGCTGTGAGGCAGAGGTTCTGCCGGCTCAACCCTAATGTCCAGTGGTGGTGCCAGAGGGGGCCTGCTGGATTCTGCCACAGCCTCCACCGTAGTGATGGTGGCTGGAGGCGTCCATCGCGGAATATGTGTGATGCCCTGTGCTGTCAGCTGGTTCAGGTAGTACTCGATAACTTCCTTACCCTGAAACACCAAAATAGTGTTGCAAACGTATGGCCCAGTCTCCAGCAAAGAGCTGCAAGCAATGGCCATGATACAAGCCCGTCTTAGCAGCTTATCAAACATACCATTATTTGACTAACTGCCTGCTCACTTTTGATCCTATGAGAATGTGGCCAAAGACAATGAACATTAACAACAAAGGTAATGAACTGTAGAAGAAAAAGTAACTGTAAAAAAGCTGCCTTGGTGAGGCCAGAGGAAGGAGCCTGTGGGAGGGACCAAAGTACTAAGAGGAATTAGACACCTCCATGAAACAACAAGAACAAACTACATTTGTCCTTCACATCGGGAAGAAGTCCCAAGGCGCTGGACAGTCAAGGATTTGTATCCAAGCTGGGGGGTTAGATAAGGAGGGGTGAAGGGCATCCTGTATCTTTTGGCACAGCATTGATAACCATGCCACCTCCCTTCCTCCACCCATCCACCACCACCACAGGGTAGGAACTCATACAGGAAAGCAAGTGGTTGTGAAGGGGAGGAAGGGGATAAGGAAGTACTAACCTTAAAGATGTGACTCACATGAAAACTGCAGAACAAAAAATACAAAAGCTCTCTCCAAAAGCTCAACAAGTTTATCTAGTAAATAGTTGAACCACAAACACAGACCATGCCAGGTTTACGTCTCAGTCCATGCTATTACATGACCTCAGCTAGGGCAGCAATTGGGCTACAATTGGTCTCAGTGTCCCTAGGATTGAGAAGGGAAATCAGGCCTGCTACTGCTTATTGCTATCCAGAGAACAACCCCCCCCAGCAAGCAGTACGATGACTGGTTTCTAGAGAGGAATGAGTTGGTGTGTGGTGCAGATCTAGACTGGGTTGGGGAGAGGGGAGAGGCTTGGAGTACTCTACAGTTCAATTGTACTGTTGGGAGAATCTGAAGCATGATAGAATAGTGAAGAGGAGGAACATACAGATTCTACTGAACATGAGGAGAAGGTACTATGAAACTAAGCCGAAGCACTGTTGTTTATCTGTGATTATTATGTACAAATTCATAGATAAACAAGGAATTATTTCTGTACGTGAGCTGCTCTGTATAACAATGAGGACTTCAGGTGCCTCAGCAATGACTATGCACAGAGAGATGGCTGCTCTCCTACCCTCTTTATGTTGGCTGTGTATTGTTTCATTGCAATCTTCTCCACGGTGCTCTCAAAGCCAAAGAATGACTTGATGTCCAGCGATGCAGATTGTTCAAAGCAGGTCCAGTCATCATTGTCAGGGTGAACCTAGGGCAGTGATTAACACACACATTAAGCATGATGAAATACAAAGGAACAAGTTAAAATGCTGGGAAAGCACATAGGCAGAAAATGAAAAATTTAGTTGAGTCTAACAGGTAGGATAACATCTCAAAATCACAGGGCAATGTGAAACCTCAACAAGGTTGGAAATAGAGAATAGGAGGGAAATAACTCAAAGCTGAGTTGAAGAGGTAGTTTTTTTTAGAAGGGAATGTGCTGCATTATTGGAGGTGCTATCCTTCTGCCTGTTCAGGTGGCATGGCACTATTCGAAAAGAGAGAGTCCCTCCCAGTGCCTGGCTACAAACCCCCATATTGGTTTGTTGGGACATAGCTGTGTGCAAATTGGCTGCCACATTCACCTACAAAATACATGGTCACTAAACCTTACAGTATATCCTGTAAAGTGCTTTGAGAAGTCTTCCCAATCTGGATGGCGCTATATTAAATCTAAGGATTATTAGTTATTATTAATAATGCGGTGCTAGTCTCACAAGAACTCACTATGTAGCTGCAGAGCTCATTGACGAGGACTCTGCTGGAGAAAGTTTCATTGTGAGCCTCGATCCTCAGTGAACGCTCCTTCCAGTTCAGGCTGTTCTTCTGTATAAAATAGATGTACTCCACCCCTGCAATCTGCAACACAGCAAGAGAGTCAGTGTTCTGCATCACAGAGAGGGTACGTATACTGTGACACAGTGAGAGAGCTAGCGCACTGCAACACGTATACACTCTCTCACTCATACATTATACCTTCTTTAGTAGCCGTGGTGCATCTACGTTGAGTTTACAGCTCCGCTCCACCACATGCAGGGAGGTGTCCTCACTTTGGTACTCACTGAGAATCTCACTGCCGAGGAACACCGGGATCAGTGGGCAGGTCGGAAATCGCTTCTCATACGCCTGCAACCCAGAAACATTCCCTCAGCTTAGTGAAATAGGTATACAACAACAACAACAAGATTACATTTGTATAGCGTCTTTCACATCGGGAGGACATCCCAAGGCGCTGGACAGTGTGCAGTATTTCAGACCCGAGCTGGTCTTTTCATCAAACCTGAGCCTCTCTATAGGAATGGCACATGGGCATCGGGTGGGGTGGAGGTGGCATGGGGTTGGCATGGTTTAGCGTGGAACCTGGGGGTGAGAAAGGTTCTATGAGTGTCAACATTACTGGGCTGGGGAGGAAGAAAAGATGGAGTGGATGGAAAATCATTGGTCAGGGTCTCACACGAGTAACGACGGGCAGCTCAGGCTTCAAGTGCCATAGTAACAATGGACTGTGTGTCTGTCCTGAGGCTCTGCATTCTCATAGCCTGGAACGAAGAGCTGAGGAACACAATAGACTCCAGGCACCGCCTGGAAGAGCATTAGTAGGCTTAGGAGAGGAACACTGCAAGACACGCCTCACCAGATTGTTCCATTCACACAGTTCCAAATTCAGAAGCACTGGAGTTACATTGATAACATGGTATCAAAGCTTCTCTGTAAAAATCAAACTGATGAGAATCAGGGCCAGCATAAAGACAGCCTGGCGCATATGTGTGTGTGTTTGAGTATGTGTGTGTGGGGAGTGGGGGTTGGGGTGCTCACCAGGATTGATCTCCTTTCCTCACCAACTACTTACGGCTTGGTAATCACCCTTCACTGTGACGCTTGACCCTTTACCAAGGTCAACTGGTAAAATATTTATACACTTGTCACATCAACTTAAATAAGCAGTGTTTACTTCCCCAAAGCTTCCATACACAACGGGCAGAGCTGGTGAAACACACACCAGTATTAAATGTCCAGCAATGCTGGAGCACGCCGGGTAATCGCCCATCCAGCAAGCAAGGTTTGTGCCAGGACACTTCTCACCACCAAGGTTCATTCACTCACCGCCATCACCAGCTCAAAGGGATACTTGTAAACGCGGACCGGTGACTGGTACCTCTGCACCATCTTGCCTCTGCAATTCAAACAAACAAACACTGCATCAGCTTCCAATGCAGTAAAGCAGGGATTCACAGGACATTTGTCAGCCTGCTGATTCAACCCATCACATTCCTCTTTGCCTCAGCAACCTGAAACCTCCTACCATAGGCTACCAAACAAACAACAAAGAAAAAATACATTTTATAGCACCTTTAACATCGGTAGGACATCCCATCACCCAGTCACACAGCCCACCACCCAGTCACACACTCTCCTGCATCTCGTCTCCCAGACCTGCAACCTCCCACTCGTCTCCTTCTAGTAAGATTTGAGATCAGAATTTCTTTCCCTTCCCCCACACCCCACACCCAACACACACGTACACATATAAAGAGCTTGGTGAATCTTTGGTTAGGACCAAGGCTGAGGATCTGTACTGATGGTTTCTGAGCAATGGGGATTATCAAGCCCAGTGAGGCAGCTGATCTGCAATATAATGGAAGTTTCAGCATAGATTCTCGTGCTTGTGTTCTACCAATTCCCTTTTAATTTACTTCCCTTTTGACTATTTTTAATCGACAATCGTGATAATGCCTCCCATGCCTAATAATCCTTCCCTCACACTGCCTCTCTGAAACATTCTCCCCATTATTCCTCATCTTTCCAGAATGCCCAGCCTTCTGTCTTGCCATTATGGCATCTCTTTAATCACATAGTTAAGATCTCAAGATACGGAGTGACTGTATTTCCATATCTTGAGTTCTTAAGTAATCTCTGTGAAATCACTCTGTGAAATATGCTGACAGTGCCACCCATTCTCTGTGAGAAATGTTCCCAGTTATTCCCAGCAGGAACTACTTTCTCTGTGTGTACACGCACCCAGTGGGAATCATTTTCTATGAAATACGTTCTCGGTTATTCTCACGTGATCACAAGATCAGTTCAAAGAAGAAGGCTCTTCAGCCTATTTGATATAATCATTCTAGAATACTCACCTTACTGTCCTTCCATTCCAGCATCAAGCTACTTATTAAATCAGGCCAGCCTCGATTTGTGCTTACACTGATAGCATCTTGTCACTAGCAGTTACCTGGATAGACCTCACTGCATTTCCTGTCTCACCTAAAAGGTCCTGCCTAGCTGCTGGCACCAGTCCAGGAAGGGAGTAAGTACAGGTAAAGCCCACACTGTACTATAGGCCATCCCCCCTGCAACAAACTTGCTCAGTCAGTTCCTCCGATGTGGAAATCCTACATTCTTGTTCTGCATCAGTCAACAGCTCTAAAGGTGGGTCATCCGTCAATGCATTGCAGAATGGATGTGCACCACAATATTGGAATGTTTCAATCCTATTACATGCAATTCCAAAGGACAATGCGTTCCATTTTACAACGTGCATCAATCTGGAGCACTTGGGCTGGAAACCCCAACAACAAATTACTATCCTTGCACAGAACGTTTCCTACTTTCATGCACCAATAAGGGAATCAGATCTGAGATCTGAAAAGATACTTAGATAAATAAAAAAGCTCCTCAGGCCTATTTCGCCTCATCTTTCCAGGATACCCAGCCTTCTGTCTTGCCATTATGGCATCTCTTTAATCACATACTTAAGATCTCAAGATACGGAGTGACTGTATTTCCATATCTTGAGTTCTTAAGTGATCTCCATGTATCTCAAGGTACCTACATCATTCTGTTTTAATTTTTCATTATCACTGTATTCCACACATTCGGGGGCTTGATATACCAGAGACGCCACTGCTTTATTGGTTCAAGAATTGTGTTTATTAGTTTATTGGCTGCATTGATAATATCCACATCCAATTCTTGTGCCCACAATTTCCCTTTCCCTTTTAAACAATTCATGCACTGAACCATTGTGTTCCAGCTCACTGAAGCACAACTCCTGCATTCGTTAATCAGTCGCACATTTTTTCTCATGCTCCCCACACATTTCATATGCTCCCACTCAACATAATCACAATGGATTAAATAACAAGTCCAATGAAAGGTTATGTGGTTTTATTTTCTTAATTTACTTGCAGGATAACAAAATAACTCCAGCTAACATGAATGTGGGTCAGTTTATTAATACAACAGTTACAAATTGTGGTTAGTCTCACATGGATTTATACCAATCCACAATAACTAGATTCCATTGTTAGAAAATATCAAGCTGATAACATCTGATCAATTCTGTAACACACAGAGAAAGTGCACAAGGCTGTGATGCAAAAATGGTTTCAATATTCAAGTGTTCCACAGAGATAGCTTTCTCTACCCTGCCACCTCTAACACTCCCAAGACAGGTGCAGCATGGGTTTGGATACGGAGTAAAGCTCCCTCTACATTTTCTTAATGATGTGGCTTAACCCCATGTTCAGAAGAGTTCCAGGGAGGGATTTAAAACCTTTAACTATTCACCTTTAAAGCTATTCACAATTCCTCGAAGGGAGGGAATGTGAATAGTTTTAAAGGTGAACTGACTTCATTCGCAAATACAGGAAGCCTTGCCAAGAGGGATGTCCAGATCTCTGTGTGTCTCAGCAACACACTGACACTTGTGCATCTTGCTGTCTGTCTCCCAAACTGAAAGATGTTTGTCAAATATTATTCCTTAAAAACAAAACTTCTTTCATTCATTGAGCAGCAAGGTTCTAGTATCCCCCCAGATACTCCCTCTACATTTTCTCAATGATGTAGTTTAACCCTAAGTTCAGAAGAGCACTCTTCAGAAGAGCAACTGATAGTTACTGCAGAAACAGAACAAACATAACAGTGGGGCCCTCCTTCCCCTCAGGCTGTTGAACGGATCATTTCAACCTTCTGCTATTCTGTGGCTCTATTTTCATAAGGGAGGGATTGTGAATGTTTTAAAGGTGACCCATCTTCATTCACAAACACAGGGAGCCTTGCCAAGAGGAATGTCCAGATCTCTTTCACAACACAGAAACACTGGTGCATTTTGCCGTCTCCCAAACTGAAAGAGATTTGTCAAATATTGTTCCTTAAAAATAATACTTCTTTAATTCACTGAGCAGGAAGGCTCTGGTGGGGCCTCTGAGGCTCCTCCTTACCATACTAACATTTAATATAGTCCCTTTTACATCAAAATATCTCAAGGCACTTAAGCGTCACTTTAAAATGTAGTGACTGTTTCATAGGCAAAAGCGGCAGCCAATCTGCACTAGCAATGTCCCACAAACAATAAGAAGAGTATTTGGGGGGTGAATTGGGATAAAGGAGGAATTTGACCAGGACATACTCACACACAGTGAAACACTGGGAAATTACTAAATTGAAACAGGGCAGAAAAGATGGAGATTAAGGAAAGGATTAAAAGTGTAAAAAACTAGAGACAGCAAGGTACTGTGTGTTCTGCATCAGATGCTCTGTGCTTTACATAAGTCTCAGCCCCAGCATTCAAGTGTCGTTCTCAGTGCGCAGATGATGGCACATGTAAAGCCAGTTTAGAATGCGGGAAAATCTCAGAAAAACAGCACATTTTGTGGTTTTAAATTTTCGACTTCATAACATTTATTCTCTGAATCCCCAAATATCTTTCTGTTCCTGGATTTCAATGGGAACATTGCAGATGACTCAGTGTTTGTTTCAGGCAATTTACATGATGCAAATAAAACTATGATGCTGATTATCAAGAAACTGAAGGAATAAATGTCAATGGAATGTGAAGGAAGAGGTATGAGAATGGATAGAGATGGCTGGAAAATAGAAAACTAAGAGTAACAGTAAAGGGAAGTCCCTTAAACTGGCAAGAAGTAGGAAGTGTAGATTTACTAGGTTAGTACCAGGGATGAAGGCGATGAGTTATGAGGATAGGCTGACCAATTTGGGCCTATATTCTCTAGAATATAGAAAAATTAGAGGGGATCTTATAGAAACCTATATGATCATCAAAGGGCATGATAGAGTAGATAGTCGGAGATTGTTTCCCGTGGTTGGAGAAACTAAAACCAGGGGTCACAACCTTAAAATCAGAGGCCAGCCCTTTCGCACTGAGTTGAGGAAGAACTTCTTCACTCAAAGGGTGGTGAATGTATGGAACTCACTACCCCAAAGGGCTGTTGACGCTCAGTCCTTGAACATATTCAAGACTGAGATAGATAGATTTCTTATTGCAAAAGGGATTAAGGGATATGGGGATAAAACAGGGTTATGTTATTAGCTGGAGTTAGATTAGAAGATCAGCCATGATTGAATGGCGGGGCAGGCTCGAAGGGCCGAATGGCCTATTCCTGCTCCTACATGTTATGTTAAATGGTGATCCACAGGAATTCTTACAAGGACTTTTACTGTTCACCATGTATATAAATAATTTGGACTCAAAGGAGGTTTGATAATATAATACATAAGATATTTGCTCTAGAGAGCAGTCGTACATCTAATAGGGAGTTTAGAAGGAATTTCTTCATTTATGAGAAGTTGTGGTTGAAAAGTGTGGATTTTGGGGGAATTCTGACTTTTCTATCAGGGTTTCTACAACCTCTCACATTAACTCTGTTTCAGAACCTGGAACTCCCCACAAGTCTGAACACCATATCACAGTATGGGGTAAAATTTCACTTCAGTCTAGATTTTTTTTATTAACACAGCATTGCAGGGTTTCCAGAGTTTGGCAAATTGTTGAATCTAGTCTCGACTTTGAAGCAGTTTTTCTGTAGTTCTAAAAAGAAGCGCACAGAAAACTGTCTTCAAAATGAAAGTTGTATTTAAGAATTTGCCAAATTCTGTATGCTTCGAAATGGCTCATTAACAGTGTAAACAGAGTAAATCTAGATCAGGTGGAATTTCTACCCATGCCTATAAATGATCACAGTCAGTGTGTCTACCCTGAATAAAAGAAGCTACAGCTCCTAATCCTCAGACCACATCATGCTTGCAGCTTGGGTGGAGGAATATTTACAAAATCCATATTTGCATCAGAGGCTGGTCTCCACACAGGCTGTGACCTGACTGCTGCTGGTTTTGGAAAGAGATCTGTTGAATATTCTCTGGTGCTGTGGCACTTTC